TTTTTTTAAAATTACGCAATAAATAAAAATTTTGACCCAAATTAATTTTTTATAGCCTCGTTTGGGCCATTGGTAATGGCGTTAATCCGGGACAGGCGCCCCCCCCCCCCCCCCCCCCCCGGTCATGAAAAAAATGTTTAAAAGTCCCCGGCGTTTGCTTGAGTAAACTGTTCTGCATCGCCGGTGGCAGGACATATCTGACCAGGCGGTACATCTACTAGTACGTAGCTCACAGTGTAAACTGTAGGTACCTAACATTAGGCGTCGACAACGGCTTGAGATGGAGAAGAGAGGGGGAAGGCAACAAGAAACGGTTGAGGGAGATGATCGATCCCTTCTCTTGCTCTCCCCGTTCTCCCTAGCTCTGATTTGAGGGACAATTAGTGCAAGATTGAGGAGGATCGGGATCCTTGTCGTCTGCTTTAATTTCAAATTATTTGCGCAGGCGGCAAAACAGCCCACATTTTCTAGTCTGGTGTGACAACGTAGACGCATTGCCGCAGCCAGGCCCTAGTTCGGCGCTTTTCTGCCCCTCTCACATTGGACGCCAGCCAAGCCCAGCCCGCCAGCCGACCAGCCGGCCAGCCAGACAGACAGACGCTGGGGAAAAAAGCAGAAACGGGCGGCAAATGCCAATGCCAGATGTCGAAACAACCGTTACACTGGCTGCTGGGTCTTCCCTTTTCGGCCTTATGGCCCGAGCGCTTGGTAAATTCGCCGGACATATCTTCTGTGTACATTTACGTGGTAGTCTTCAATGTGCTCAAAGTGTACAAGTCCCTCGTTCGTCACCAATCTCACTATCGGAGCATCGCCGGAGACCCGCGGAGGAGGGCGGAGATTGCCGTCACTGCAGCATCTCACCGGGAGTTATTATTTAGGTAATAATCTCTTGGCCTTGCTGACAATTAATTCGTACGCCACTGAAAGGGGAACCAACGATGGGTTAATTGATCGTGCAGAGCGGTGCAGAGCCAGTTCAATTTACGCATACACCAATTTCTCCCAATGTGCGTCACGATCGGCGGGGATGTGCAACTAGCTCTAGCGTATAGGGACTACGGACACGCTACCAGCCAGCGTAGCTTCACTAGATCCCTCTGCTGCAGGTCGTCTCTCCACCACTCTGGGTCCCTTGTTCAGATGCCTGCCAAATCGCCGACTATTCTCCAGAGAGTGAGTTTCGGCGAAATGCCCGTTTCCATCCAACAACTTGTCTGCATAGTACACGTGTGTACGGAGTACCTACCTTGGTCACACATATCGAGGAGGCATTCTGAGCTTCTTCACGGGGCTAACTCAGATGGAAGAGATGGCTCACGACGAGGAGCTGCGGCATGTCTACGCTCGCCTGAGGCGCGGCTGATTTCTGACGCTCGATTTCGCGACTGCGGCTCTAGGCAGCTGTTTTTTGCACCAACACGAATAGCACGGCTAACAACCTCGAAGTTACAGAGCCCGACATCGCCTCGATTACCTGAGATCAATGAAGGCGGTGTCCGTTTAGACGGATGGATCCCAATGATTTGGCAGCCCTAGGGCCCATTCCCCAGCAAACTGCGGGCCGGAACGGAAGCGACCTTGACCCTACTCCAATGTAATCCTATAATTAACCCTCTTGTCGTGAAAATCCGCCCGCGCCCCCCCCGTGGTGGGCATATCCGTACGTACTTTGGTTCCTGGTTCCTGGTTAGGTAATTTGGGAGGTGGTAGCAGCATCTTGACCATTTCCCTAATGCGGCCTAGTACGGCTTTTATTCTGCTGCCTGGATGGCACCTCATGGCAGTTGGGTGCCAGCCACATCGTGATTTGCGATCATCAATCGAACAGGCTTGATTGTGAGCCAAATGTACCTTACTATTCGACTGAAATACAGGAGACCAGACCGCTACGACCGTGGCCGACTCGTGTCAATCACAGCCGACCTTGACTAGGTCTATGGCCCGAATGCATCTTTAGTTCCTCTCGTCCCGTCGTTCCGACGATCATCTCGTACTTCGACCCTATACCCGACAGGAGATAATGAGCGGAGGGCCGAAGCGCACACCACCAATATCCGTTCAGATGCAAGCTCTACGATTATTCAACTGAATGCGGGAAAGCGTGCTTGCAAGGGGAAACGGAAACGCACTAGGCTTCACCTGACCAAGGCCCAGCACAACTGTTACGGTGCGCGGGCTTTGGTTCGTCAGTTCGTATTCTATTGGCTCTAGGTACTCCCTACGGGGCTATTCCTCACAAGGTTAGCGCAGGTACCCACACACCTTAACTAACTGGTCTAAGCGCCCGCGGTTGCATCGTAGATGCACGGCCCATGGTCATTATCCAATGCCATTCAAGCGCCAACCCACTTGCGCAGGCGTGTGCTGACCCTGACGATGACAACTGTCGGACGCAAACCAATGGCAAGGCCATCTATATGGCCATGACGCTCGTTGCATTGCCTGCCGAGTGCAACTTCAAAGATGGCACACCATCTTCGGCGCGTTGTTCACTGGCAAGAAAAACCGCGCACAGAGAGTCCACAAGCAAGCTACCCCCCTTTCAGACTAGAGGAGAGCCCCATTTGCTCCATTGCCTAATTGTACTAGGCGGGGAGGTGGCTTGCTGCTCTGCCGGGGGGGTGGGCAAGGGGATGGATAGCGTTTTGTGGGTAGACAGGGTCCGGCAGGTGTCTTCCGATTGGTCCCGAACCGCCGTCAAGACCGGGGGGTCGGCAGGTGGCCTTCCCAAAGCGGCCGCCCTAGTTCTAGCTGGCGGACAGGCCGGCCGACTGGGCCGTCGACGCCGACCGACTTTGTCAGCGAGCGGGCCTTGTTACTCATGTTGGCGACAAGTTTGAAACCAAACCTCCATTTCCCTCTCTGGCCAATTTTGTTTCTAGAAAGCGAGTGCGAGAGAAACCCGGTCACGCTGCAACCGCAACCCACCGAGTTTTATTTGGTGTATGTATGCGTATGTATGCATGTGCTCGGCCCCCTGGTCTCTTCCGGCCGAGCGGCCGGCCATAGCCCCGGGTACCGTTCACCGTTCGTAAGCATATCCGCTCCCCCAGCAAAAGACGCGAGAATGAGCCGACCGAGGGAGATGCCAATCGTCATCGTCATCGTCATCGTCATCGTCATCGCCATCGCCATCGCGTCGTGGTTGTGTGCCGCTGTACGATATCATCTCAGAACCTTAAATCCTCCAGCCCCGTAAGGTAGTTTTGACAACCGTCAAGCACCGGCACGGGGGGACGAGCCAGACATTCAATGACCCCTCAGATGCGGAGCCTAGGAGTCCCAATCACCTCCCCTTGCAATTCGCACCTCTAAAATCTTGGCCCTGAGCTGAGAGCCGAGAAACTGCCGAGGCAATAAATCTAGATGCTTGTCTCAAGTTGTAAGAATAATTGGTGAGAATCTTGACGTAGAAATGGGGCACGGCATCAGAACCAAAATCAGTCCAGACCTCCGAGACCGAAGCGAATCTCATCCGAGTCCCCCTTCAACCAACCAAGGCATAGAAGTTACCTAATCAACTACCCCGCGGAAACGAGACACAGTCATCAATGGATCTGTGCGACACCGATTGCCTGTCACATGTTGTTCGCCCAGGCTGGCTCGTTTTCGCATCGACAATATCATTGATCGCCTTGAGATTTCTATTTACGGCTTCTACATTACATTGCGCATCAGATGCCATTCATTGCCTGCGTAGATCTCAGCCAAATCAACCCCCCCCCCCCTTCAACTGAGACGTTGTCACTTCGACTTGGCTATAGATCCACGCGGCGCGAAGGGTTTGTTCAGCCCTACGGAAACTTCTTCCCCAGGCCGCAGGTGAACGGGTTGTGGACCTGATATCCAATCATCTAGATCTCGTCGCTCCTTCCCGTCCTATCCAGAACTCGAAGTTCTGTTCTCTTCCATCTTATTACCCATTTCGGGTACCTATTTGTCAGCGTGCTCCTGTAAGGCTTCTTCTGGTAGGCTCGCTCGGCCTCCTGCTGTAAGACCTGCTCTGAGCTCGCTGCCGTGTGGGAGGGATTACCATGCCATGGAAACGCCTCGCCGTCAGTACGAAGTGGCCGATCTCCATATCGCCACTCTCTTTTCCCTTTGGCGACCATATCTAGCGATCCTTGTGGTCTTACGTAAATATCGTAGATGGGCGACGCATGCCGCACACGAGACCATTGCTAGCCCACGTAGGCGTCTCTCGGGTTCCTCCGTAGGTGTCGCACCCTTCTTCTTTTCATTTTTTTAGCGAACCGGGGGCTCCGGCGTGTTGAGTCGTTGCCCTCGGAGACATATCAGATTTCGCGCGCCCTAGGAGACATATTAGACCCCGCCTTCGGAGACTTATCCATTCTGTGTGTTTCTTGGCGGTATCTGGGATTTCTCCGCGTAGAGGAAGAAGAGAGAGGATGACATGCAGAGAGGCGGAGAGACACAAGAGACACGAGAGAGGTATAGGCGAAAGAAGGTCCGAATGTTGAGAAGCCGGTCGAAGTGTGGATACACCCTCCGGCGCCACACTCTGCCTTACCAAGTGGGTGGATGTGTGGAAATTCAAAAGGTGATCAGGTATGTATGTACTTAGACGATGACGGGTAGGAAGCAGTTGGCCGCTGCATACACGCAATTACCGGCAGAGCATCCTGTCAAAATAGAGTATACCGGGACTGCAGACTCGCCTGCCCGTCGGGGGGCATGCACAGCGCAGGTACCGACCAAAACACACAAGGCAGATTTCTAATCAGCGCCGCCTCCCACCTCCTCCTGCTCTAACACGTCCCCGTTCACGGAGTTTAGCCCACTCATTCGTCGCGGTGCAGACCCCCCTCACCCGCCCTCCCGCTTCTTCGCTTGGGAGAGCATCCTTCTAGATCTCCAACGGCACCGCCAGGTGGCAAAAAGCCAACTGACATGCTGCACACAAACTCCCTCCCTTCCACCCCTGCCCCCTTTCCCGTCGTCAAGTCACGCGACTGGGGAAGATCCACGCTCCAGGTACAAACCCTCTTCCCCCCCCCTTCCCCCTCAGGAACTAGGACGGGCCGGCTAAAGCGGGCCGTGAGGCGTTCCAGTCCTGGGATAGCCTGTGATATCCCCCTGGACTGCGGTCGTCTCTCCCGTTCTGAATAAGCCGTGGGGGGACAAGATCATCGCAGGATTTTGGGGGGGGTTTTTTTTTTTGGGGGGGGGGGGGTGTTTGATGAAGGCGTAGGTAGAGATGAAGGGTCGCGAAGAGTTGTGAGCGGACGAACGAGTCCGCGAGGATTGCATTCTCGGGTGGTGGGAAAGGGGGCCCATTTCTCTTTCCCCCTCGCCACTTTTTGCGAGCAAGATTTCGAAAGAGCTGCGGCACAGTCTATGGTGCTATTCTCCAGTCCGACTTCCAGACCGAGCCCAGATGGAACACATGGATCGGAGAGTCTATGGAGATAGGGGGTCTTCATACCGCCGGGGTCGGCTGGCCACCCAGGTGGGCTTCCCTAGCCCCCGTCCCCTTACCCGGTATTTCGCTTGCCACCAGCCGTTATTCCTTCGCCGGACCAAGTACTCGGATTCGGACTTAAGACGAGGTCCCCGTCCTAACGTAACGGCATGGGAAGGCTGGTCTGTGGTAAAATCAAGCAAAATGGGGTGGTGGTGCGGCATCAGAGAACAACGCGCGGTTCAGCCGGCATGGAAGCACGGGACGAAGAATCCTAGGGTGAGCAGCACAAGCTGGCCACCTGGGTAGATGGGTAGTTCAACGGCTCTAGGTGCGCAAGAACCCCTTTTCAGACCTCACGACTACGTCAGCGACGTGGGCGCAACTGACCTATGCCTCGCACACTTTACTCCTGGGTTGCTACCCGGACAGACCTGCCTCATGCAGGAAACAGGAGAGACCGGGCGGTCCATCCTAGGAGCGCCATCTATACTAGGCATGGCATCCATCCTGGGAGTGGCATCCATTCCACGGACCCGACGTTGCCGACAAAGGTAGGTGGGCGTATGTAAGTTGACTTGGAAGGAGACAATGGCACGACAAGACGGGGACTACCTGGCAGCAGCAGGTGTCAGGCACAAGCATAATGATATCAAGAAACCGACTTCACAAACACCAGCTGAGTGTGTAGTGTAGTGTAGTTACAAATTTTCCGCTTGTTACATTCCCCCCTTTCCCTTTCGTTACTCCCCCCAAACGCCTAGCTTAGCCACAAAGGCCGGAAAAGTAGATAGAAGCGCAGGTGAGAAGCCCGAAATAAGAGGTACAGGTCCCCCACCCAGCGAGGGGACGGTAAGAGTGTCATGAATACTAGAACCTACAGATAGTAAAACGCGATTTACGCCATGCTGTAGTTTAACGGAGCGCGCAGCGATTTGCCAAACCAAAAAAAAACCCGGGGATCCAACCATCTAGCACCGAGTCCATCGTCAGAACTGAGCCCTTTGCGAATTTTCTTCTGCTTGCTCGTCCGTCTGTCTGTCCGTGGGTACGCCATTCTTTTCCTGGTCCAATCTAGAGCTTAGCGTGCCGAGCCTTGAAAATAGCAACCTTGTCGTCATAAAACAATATCTCGCGCAGGCGCAGCTGAACCCTGGAAGACGAGTCCGGCTCGACGAAGCTGTCGTCGTCCGAGTCATCGGCGTCCGAATTCTCGCTCTGCGTCTCGTCCGGGTCCGTCGGGCTGGTAGGCGTAGCCTCCTCGTCGTCGCCCTCCTCGTCCGTCACCTCGTTGTCGTCGTCGTCCTCCTCTTCGGACGTCTCGTCGTCGTCGTCGTCGGCATTGTCGCCGTCGGAACCCTCGGCGGCCGCGGCGCCGGCGCCGTTCGATTGCGAGCTGGCGCCATTATGTCCGCCGGCGCCGGCGCTGCTGCTGCCGCCGTTGATGTTCCCGCCGGCCCCTGATTCGCTGGGCCGCGATTCGAGGATCTCGAAGCACTTGGTCGAGATGCCCATATAGCAGAGCTGGATCTCCGGCCGCAGCGTGATGATGTCGATGACCTGCATGGCTAGATGCTTCGGCTCGAAGGGGATAACATAATCGGCTATGTAGGGGATGTTGAGAGAACGGAGCTGGGGTAGGTTGGGGAGACGTTGGAGGAAGGTGTGCTATGGCAACTGTCAGTTTCTAGGCTTGCAAACGGGAGGCCATGGCCAAAGTCGGCCCGCTGTGAAGGGCCAAGGTGAAGATTGACTTACCCAGTCTTTGAAGTCGAGCGACACAGCCAACTCGCGCAAGTTGCTCATGCGTCCGCTCGTGATGTACATCAAGATGTCGGTCGTGAGCACCCAATTCTGCCACCTGGTATTCTCCACCGCTGAAGTCGTGGTCACGGTACCTTTGATCGCGCTGTCCAGGAGCAGTTTCCGGAGGCTTGACCGGTGCCGTTTCAACGCCCCCTTGAAGATCTGGTCAATGGTCACAGGCGGCGGTCCAGACCCTCGCCTTCGATCCTGCAGAAATAGAATTTCTAGAGTGTTCGGTGCCAACGTCTCCTTGATGAAGCTGATGAGAGCGGACGAAGTGACATCTGTGTGTATACGCTTCAAGGAAAGATGATACTGTAGCGGCGCATTTGGGCACGGCTTGGTTGCCGAGATTCCAAATCCGGCGCTCGTAGGTGTCGGCTGGAATTGCCTCCTCAGTAGCTTCCATAGGTTTTCATGCTGGGCACATTCCAGTATAGTCAAGCTCGACAAGACCGACCAGTCTATTGCGTTCCGGCAGACCTGCATCGAGAGCGGTATCCTTTCAAGTTCCAAAGTGTGTAGCTTCAATTTCCCTTCCAACCTCTTCCTTCCGTCCATGCTGGGCTTGACCGGCTTGCCTGTTTCTGGTGCTTCTGGGATGCCATCCCGTCTCGTTGACTTTGATGTGCTCTGGCCTTGGGGCTGTGAGGAAGGCCCGGGTGCCGAATTACCATTCGGACCATGTGAGACTACGGCAGGAACCGGGCCATTCGTGGATGAAACAGGGTTTCCGTCAGCCTGTCCTTGGGTCGGGATAGAGGCACTGGAGGGTGCTGCCATCCCGGGCAGAACGGGTGTCTGGGAATAGACTTTCTCCTTCCCCTTAACGGAGGCCTTTCTCCTAATGTCGTAGATCTTCCCAACTAGAACTCCAAGTACACCGCCCAAGCGCCTGTCGCCGATGGTGCTCTCGCCAGGCCAGCGGGCATTGTGGTCAACCTGATGCAAACCAGGGCCATCCCATGTCTGGACAAAGTCCTTGTGTACGGCCGTCGAGGATATTCCCACTCTTAGTTCCTGGAGGCGGCCTTTCGAGCGCTCTATCAGGTCGGCCATCTCGTCTAAGTATGCCAGCTCGTCGATCTCCAGAACTGTGAGGCTCTTCACCGGGGGGAGGACACTGAAGGTGGGGTACTCAACGAGGTGTTCAGAGTACGAGACGGGGGCTCTTGGAGGCGGGTGGACAGCGTCGGCCGGTAAAAGGATCCCGATCGGCGTCAGGGTGCTGCCCACTGGGACGACTGCCGGAGGGGGCCCCAGAGGACTCGCGCTCGAACTTGACGATCCTGAGTTCTCGCTGTTATCATGCCACCTAACCCATACACGTGATAGCTTGCACTCGTTGTTATCGTGGCGCTCCGGCAGAGACGCGAGGGCCATGAAAACGTCGGAAAGCACGCCTGTAGGCATATCCCATACGAAAGTCTCCAGGTTGGTCATCTTGGCCACTGCCAGGGCCACCAGGGTGCCCAGCATCTTCCCGCTCTCTTTCGAGATCATGTACTCGGCGACCCAGTCGTCCGGTCCGTTTCCAAGCGAGAAGTTGCGGGTGTACTTGGCGTACTCGTTCCCCTTGAACCTCGACAGCTGCGGGGCCGTCCCGGGAGAAGCCAGCTTTCTCATCGTTCTGGTAAACGAGCTTCCTAGACATAGCGTAGATAGGCCGTAGGTAAGGGCGTCGACGCTTTTGGAATCTGTCGAGGCTACATGGCCGTCCGGCCACACGATGTCGAACCGGGCGTAGATGTGAGGCACGGCGAGGTTATGGAGAGTCGAGTTCGTCAGGGCCAAGGCGGTGAGGTCGTTTGTGTGCGTCATCTAGAGGGGCGATGTTAGGAAACAGGGGGCTGTCGCCTGAGACGGAGTCGGGAGCATACCTCCTTAACCACCAGTCGCAAAATGTCTACGGGCAGCTCCAACAGGGTGAGAGGGCCCTTCCTCTCGGACACGGCCTTCCATTCTTGCTCCTTGCCCCCCAGGTACTTGGAGACCGTTGACCGTGTCTGGTCTCGCGCGGTCATGCTGGGGGATGGCGTGTTCGCGTCGACCGGAACGCTGCTGTCGACATCCTGAACAGGGAAGATGGCGACGGGGGATGGAAACTTGTCGTGAAGAGCCATGCCATGCTCTGGTTGTGTCACTGGGGATGGTTGGACCTCTGCAGCTTCAGCCATTACCGAGTTTGGGTGAATATCATGATTTCTAAATGATGAGAGGGGGGAGGCGGGAAGAGAGGAGGCGGCGCAGCGAGGACTGAAAATAGGCGATGGAGCTGGAAGCAGGTATACGAGGTGAAGCCTGTCGGCTGCTATTTGGTGACGATGGGCGACGCAAGGATAATCAAGGCTCTGTGTTGTGGTTCTAGGAGGCTTAACGTGCAAAGGTCGGGATTGAGTAGGGAGGTCCCAGTCTTAGGTGTACCGGGTACCTGGGCAAAACAAGCTTAAAATCATCGAGGATCGGCCTTGTCAGGTGTCAAAATTCAACAGTTTCCATAGCTCCCTGCTCAGTCAATATCACAATTGGAATATCGTGAGCCCGTCTTAAAGAGAGTTTCCCGGTTGCTTTAGCCAGATATAGGAGCCGTGGAGAGTAAGATGGTTTAAGCCTCTCGCTTTCCGTGGGCAGACACACTTGGGAGCCTCCAAGGTTGGAGCCTGAAAGTGAGGCTGGCATCAGTGGCAGCTGCCATGGGTACTACAACCAGATGTAGAGCTACGAAATACTACCTTGCTCCCGCTTTACTTGTATGCATCCGGCTCCGAAAAACGAAATATCGTGCAGGCTCTTGATCGTACTGCCGCCATAGATCTTTCATCAATATGTAAGTCTTCCATTAATAGGCGAGGTAGGTACATCCGTACAACCTACTACCGATGTCGTAACAGCCCAGTTGTACGCATAACCAATACCGAACTAACCCGCTTAGTGCTCCCAGAATAACATCATCATATGCCCAAGCTTCATTTGTGGCTACTGAACCCCTCCATTGCTCGGGCTCCTCTCCGCCTTCTATTATTTATTCCCTTACCCACTACATACCGCATATTCATTGGATCAGTACCGATTGCGGGACAATAAATAAATCAACCGCATGTAACTGTGAATATTTGCCTATCTTTTCGATCCGGTAGCGCCTTCGGCGGCAATCATGTCGCACCCGATATAATACATCTGGCCTCACTGTGGTTTGTAGCGTGGCTGGCTGTTGGAACTTGGAACCTCAGGCTCCGTAAGAATACTTGACACCTTTTTCGCGTCCTCATTTCTGCTGCCTATGCCCATCGCCCTTGCGTCAGCGACTGCTACAAATCAACGAAACCACGGTGTCCAAAAATCCAGGGTCACCCGCCGTCCCTCAGCCTTTTTTTCTTTGTGCAAACACTTTTAGCCAGCTCGTCCCCTCTCTACTTTCGAAGCCGGCGTCTCGGTCGCGCCCAACACACCCCCGGAATCCGTACAAACGCTGTGTATCTCCAGAACCGAGCACCAAGACTGCAGCTCACCTTTCTGCTCTCCAACGTAGACTCTGAAATATAAACCCGCGACAGGGGCACTCTCGATACCTACTACCTACGTCAGAACTACCCACTCCACCCGCTTCGACGCCTCACATACACCTCCCCCCCCGTGCGACCGACCAGCCAACCACCATGGCGACCTTTGTGAAAGACCTCTGGGAATCCATCTTCATTCCGGGCCCGACGCCGACGCTCCTGGTCGCCACAAATGTGACCTTCGCCGCGCTACAGCTCGTCTTCGCGAGCCTCCTGTTCGCGACCTGGAGCGTCCACTTTGTGGTTCTGTCTGGTCTCTCCGGCGGCCTGTGGTGGGCCATCAACTGGTTCGCGCGCGAGCTGAGGGTCCACCAGCTACAGGAGGAGGAGAAGGAGCGGCGGGCGCGAGAGTCGGAACCGGCGGCGCCGAGCGGGGAGAGCGAGACCGAGGTCGAGACGGCGAGCGACGGCGCCAGAGGGAGGAAGCTGGGAGGCGGCGCGGCTAAGACGCCGTCGCCGTCATCTTCAAGTCAGGAGGTTGGGGAGAAGGCCGGGGAGCTCAAGCATCGCGCCGCGGGGCCGGCGGCAAAATCAACGCCCTGGGGCTCGAAGAGCAGTGTGAGCACGGAAGACGAGTGGGAGAAGGTGTCGGAGAACGAGAACGACAAGGACAAGTGACCTGGGCGCGGAAGTGGGAATTGTCGCACCTGAGTGCAATAGGTTTAGAATTTGATGCGGGAGATACCATGGCAACGAAGGACTATGCTGCTCGGTCTGTCTATTTGATGATACCTACTATGTATAGGCTCATAACGCCATTTTCGACTATTCACAGTCGAACAGAAGGCATATGAATGCTTGGGGAGGCAGCATGGGTAATATCAATACATCTTCCCTATGTCCCGTTAGAAGCATACGTAGTGTTTCATTACAATTACCTAGGCTTCCTTTGCGAAAACCACCTTACTTCGTGCTACACTATTTATTCGTACACTACATCCATACACTCCATCCCTGTCCTCACCTAGGTGAGTTCCGGATCTCGGGCGGACACCATGACTTGCGTGCACGGACCATGTCCTGGCACCGTCTTGGTGTCACTTAGCTGCAGAACTCCCAAGAGCCTCAGCCCACTTGTCCACTTGTTACTTGCCCACATGCGACAACACACCAACCGACCAGGCACTCACCACCACCGCTGTTCTGCCCCCCCGCTGGCCTAATCACCTCCCAAATTATTGCATTACACCTCTCTCTTGTGCACCTCTCTAGCTTCACAAGATGGCCCCCGGAGTGTCGCTGTTCTCGGTCAATGCGATCATCATCCTCGGTGTCGAAGACGGGTCCAGGATATTTGCGAAATACATGCCAAATGCTAGTAAGTTGGCAATTCGGCCCCCGACCTCCAGATCAAAATGCCTGGCTAACCACTCTGCCCACAGCCAAGGGCCAATCCAGCGGTCTCGCAGACACAAAGTCGCAGAAGCTATTCGAGAAGGGGCTTCTGGAGAAGACGGCGAAACAGACAGGCGACATCATCCTCTACGATAACCAGATCGTGCTCTACAAGCAGGAGGGGGACTTGATGCTCTATCTTCTTGGGGGTACACAGGAGAACGAGATCCTGCTATACAATGCCCTACTCGCACTAAGGGACTCGCTACACCTCCTCTTCCGGTAGGCAGACCTCCTTGCAACAGGCAAGGCATACATGGGACTAACGGCTAGCCATAGGCAATCGGTGGACAAGAGGACGGTCATCGAGAACTACGACCTGGTGTGCCTGGCAATCGACGAGATCGTGGACGACGGAATCATTCTGGAGACGGACCCCACGATCATCGTACAGAGAGTCAGCAAGGCCCCTGCACAGGACGTCAACCGCATCGACCTCAGCGAACAAGGAGTGAACAATCTGGCACAACTAGGAAAGGCCAAGTTGACGGATTGGTTGCGGCAGGGTCTGTGAGGTGTCGTTGGCGTGCCAGCAGGGCGCGTATATGTCCACCTATGGCGGGGCGAGGTATCACCATCGCTCTACTGCAGCCTGTGGGCGAAGGAAATTCTTCTTGGCAGGCGAAACGAGTCCCCTCAGCGGGCTGATTTGGGGTCCAGGTTCGTCAAGTGCCCGCCTCAACCTACTTCGGCGAGGGCCCGCATCTTGTCCCTAGCAGTAGTCCCATCGACATTTTAGACGAGTCAGGAACGCGGCCGCGCAGGGAGCACAAGATGATGGGTTCGTCTTTTGGGTTATTAGCCCCATGTGCAGCATAGCTTCAGTACACCTGGTGTCTCTTCTGTGCTGCGCCATCCTCTCAACGTTGGACGTCTTGAATTTCCCTTCCCGTGAACAGTCCTATCAAATGCACTTCCTGCCCTAGACGCTGCCGCACGGGCTTGACTATTTGGATCAAGCAACCCATTGCTGTCGCGCAGTTCAGCTGCATTGCCGACAGCGGGGCCCACGCAGGGGCGTACATATCAATCGTCAGGAGTAGCCACGCACACGGAGCCTGCTCCATCAGCTCGTACTTGTTTCAAGAAACTGAGCAATCCCAATAAGATCCGAGTCACTAGGCTAGTTGGGCCGGCATGTTTTGGCTGTAGGAACTACTTCATCCTCCGCTCCTTTTCCTAATTTTCTTCTTTTTGCTTGTTATCTCGATAGGTGGTGCTGCAGCAGCATGGAGCAGTTGTGCATAGGAGCCAAGTCCCTTGGCCGGCGCAACTGCCTCTAGGCATGCAACACCACTGTACATCCGTACTTATCAAGAACTCGTATCCCTGACAGCGAAGGGAAGGCAAAGTACAGAACTAACCCACTGCAGGGCTATAGTTGCGCATAGCAACCACTTCCTAGGTTGTATCAGTGTAGTTGACAACCTCAACCTACATGTATGTCATGCTCTACCTGCAGTGTAGTGTGCTAGGCAAAAGTACAACTGCTACCTGGCTTGCCTCTTAGCTGACAGTGTCCTCACGTTCAACAGCAAGTGCTGCTCTCAGCAAGAGGGTCTCAGGAACACAAGGGTGTGTCCATGACAACTGTGGTAGGTGGCAATTGTGCTACCTAGGACACTGCTCACTGCTTGGTTTCATCAATGCCTATAGCCTTGCTGAATCCTTAGGTTGAAAGAGGTGTTAATGTGGGTTGCAGATGTACCTATTATTGTATGTCTTATATAGCAATGCTACCATGGAATTGTGCTGTGAGGCAGAGCCTCCAGGTCCAAAGCATACCCCGCATTAGCGATGTGGATATCGCACACCGCCCTGCCCACCTAGGCGCCACGCACCGGGCTAGGTAGGTAGGCAATAACCCGGGGCGGATCATCATTTTTACTACTGCCGCCAAAGCTTCAACTGGCGCCGGAGATTTTTGGAGTACTTTGTTCTGAGCCAAAACAACTTGACAACCTGAACGCACCGCGTCCTGTAAATTCGAATCCAGGACTTGCGCAGCTCCCATCAAGATGAAGCTGGTCAGGTAAGCTCTCCCCAATGCCATTTGCACGACGCGTGCTGAGCTTCTTCCCAAGAGCCCCGAGGCGACGATCGAAACTGACCATGGTAACCCACCTAGATTTCTCATGAAATGCGCCAATGAGACGGTGACCATCGAGCTGAAAAATGGTATGCCCCGACCTCCCCATTTGGCGATTGTTGGAAGATACGAGACTGAGTACTAACCCCTCCCGTCGCACAGGCACCGTCGTCCACGGCACCATCGCATCCGTCTCCCCACAGATGAACACGGCACTACGGAACGTCAAGATGACGCCCAAGGGCCAGGAGCCGATCCCCCTCGACACCATGAACATCCGCGGCTCGACGATCCGTTACTTTATCCTGCCGGACTCGCTCCCGCTCGACACGCTCCTGATCGACGACGCGCCCAAGCCCAAGAACAAGGCCCGCAAGGAGGCCGACCGCGGCGGCCGGGGCGGCGGCGGCCGGGGTGGCGGACGCGGACGCGGAGGGGGCCGTGGAGGTCCCCGCGGGCGCGGGCGTGGCCGCGGATTCTAGAGGATGGCGACCAATGGCGACCGACCCCACATCCGGAATGGGAACGGATGACGTTGAGATTGAGGAGGGGCAACTTGTAAGGGATGGGGGAAGGTTATCGCCGCACTAAATGGAAGCGACGTGCAGCCGATATGGTCGGTTCGGCCGGCTGCGTACTCGTCGCCTGTGTAGCGGCGAGGACAAGATGGAACCCATTGTCCCGTTTTCTTTGTGTTGAGGGCACTATCTGCCAATAGAGGCTAAACAAATCATGATGGCGTTCTAGGACAGACAAACAAAACTTGCAGGAAGGCTTTGGTACGGCTTTTGGGTGCTACCCTCAAGGCATGTCATGTATCATCATGCTTACAGAGAGGGCAGGGACAATAAAAGAATACCCTTTTGACAACATCCCTCACCTCCGTCCCCGTTCCCCCCTCGTTATATATTCTAACTCTCGAACCTCCTCCCCCCTATTTTAACCCTCACCCCCCTCCCTCCAAATCCTAACAACCTGCAGCCTCTCCCACCCAGCCGTCCTCCCACTAGTCCCGACCGTCTCGGCCCTCCACGCGGGCCCGAACCCGCGTATCCGATCCTTGACGGCCTCGGGCCCGTTCCGCGCGCACAGCAGCACGTACGCGCACCCGCGCGCCGACAGCAATCCCGGCAACCCATCGACCAGCCGGTCCGTCGTCTCCATGCCGTCGCGCCCGCCCGCGTACGACAGCTCTAGGAGGCGCTCCTGCTGCTCCTCTGACGCAGCACCGGACTGCTGCTTCCCGTCGTTGTCGTCGTCCCAGGCGGGCAGGGACGGCATCTCCGCCGTCGGCACGTACGGCGGGTTGAACACCAGCACGTCGACCAGGCCGGGCCGCAGGGGCGCGGCGAGGTCGGCGCGGACGACGTCCAGGAACTGGCCCGCTGTTGCTGCCGAGCCGTGAGATGAGGAGACGGAGACGGAGGAGACGGCCTTGCGGACCGTCTCGGCGGTGGCGGCGCAGGCGAAGGGGTTGACGTCCACGCCGGCGGAGAGGACGCGCGTGTGGCCGAAGAGGGGGCGCGCTTGGGCGGTTAGGAAGGCGAGGACGACGCCGGAGCCGGAGCCTACTTCGAGGATGAGGGGGGGTGGTGGTGGTGGTGGGGTTGGTGTTGTTGTGGTGGTGGTGGCTGGTGTGGGTGATGCTGATGTGGATGATGTGGGGGGTTGCGCATGTGAGAAGCGGGACCTCAGGAAGGCTGTTTCTGAGGCGGAGGAGAGAGTGTCGAGCAGGAGGAAGGAGTCCTCTGCTGGTTCGTAGACGCGTGAATAAGACACGTGGGAGGTGTCTGGTGTGGGGAGCATTGTGGTGGCTGGTGGCTATGAAGATTGGCCTTGATTGGGAGCCCAGATTGGCCTTGATTGGGAGCCCAGATTGGCCTGTGTAAGTTGGTGATGCTTCACTTTCCAGCCAATTGAAGTTGCATGTCCAGCGACAGCATCAGTCAATTCAGCATCAAAATTTGATCGGAATACGCAGGAGCACGTGATAGGTCAGAGCCTGGAATTATGGGTTCAGTCCATTGTCTAAGGTCCCCGAGTCCTTCTTCAGACCATCTAGTTTTTTGCCATGGTTTGCTGTCCGACGCCTTGGTTGGCGATTGAGTTTGAGGCTGAGTTGGCATTCAGTGTGTGTGTTTGTTTGAAACGGCGGCGCCCGCTGCGGTCAAGTGGCAGGGCTACCTACATATGCCATTGAATGCCGCTGGCCGCTTCCTGACTTGACTTCCCGACTTCCCACCCCTTCGAACAATTTATAACAACCGAACTCTGTCAAAGGCAATCGGAGGAGACCATCCCCCGTTGGATCGGGTGCCCCTCTCACATCACCACACACCTAACCTCGACCCCTGGATCACGCAGGCTCGGGCCCGTTCCGAAGCGGAAGCCGTTGTGCAGGCCGAGGACCATCCTCACCTGGTTCCGGTCGTAGACGCCGAGTAGGTCGTGCGTCGGGCACGGCTCGGACCAGGCCCGGTACGACGGCGGTGCCGGCTTGCAGCGGCCGTCGAAGAAGCGGCCACAGGTGCTGAAGCCCATGCCCGGCCCGCACGGCTCGGCGATCCGCCACCAGCGGCAGCCGCAGCGGGGGGACTTGAAGAAGGCGGTCTTGCACATTGGAGGTTTTCTTTTAAAAAGTTATGTTCGTCTAGCTTGGGGGATAGTGGCTTCGTAGGTATTTCTACTGTGCCTTGGTTTGTTAGGCCCTGGATTATCTTAGTGTGTCGGGAGTTGGGAGGTTGAAAACTGACTCGAGTGCTCCTGTGGAATGATAGCTCTGGAGAAGGTACGCGCGCTGTCTGTTTATCGACGATGAGAGGCAGAAGCAGGGGATGTGGAAACCAGTAACGGCGACACATGAAATCACTGGCTAAGGATTGACGAGAACAAGTGAAGCACGGCAAAGAGATAGTAAGGTAATGAATCTGTTAGATGAGAACTGCATCGTCAGGCTGGTGGGTAAAAATCCAATCCGGGGAACAGCTCGAGGCCACGGGCTGGAGTGCCTTGGAGGTAGGTAGGTACCTACCTGCTCACTCCTACTGCTTCCATTAGGTACGCATGGAGGCAACTGCAAAGCACCTCCACTTCATCACGCGTCAATTATCCCCTCTGATGGTCAAATACCGTTTCAGAGTGAAATGTCTCGATCTCCACAACTGCCATGAAATTCCCCATGGGATATCAAAAACAAGGCCTTGTTATTGCTCCTGTGCTGACCTGTCTATCGTGCCTAGCTCCCCTACCCCTCCACTACCCTCTACCTCACCCACCGACACCGCATCTTCATCGTCATCACCCACCCCAACCAGCTTCCGCAGCAGTCTCTCGATCCGAGCCGTCGACTCCTCAAGGGCCTCCAACCTGCCAGCCATATCGACATCTCCGCCCCCGCCCAGACTCGCCCGCAGCTGCTCCACGAGCCCCGGAAAGGGCGCGACGCTGTCCCGTCTTCCCAACGCCGCCAGCGGCGTCGTCTTGGCCCCGTCGCGCCCGCCGCCGCCGCCGCCGCCTGCCCCCGCACTCCGCTGCGAGAAGAACTGCCGCCTGAGCATGCCGGCCCTGAACTCGTCGTCGGCCGCGATCTCGTCCAGAACTCGGTCCGGCGGCGGGAGGTCGAAGACGGCCTCGATGCGCCCGTGCGCCGTGATGCGCCACTTCTCCCAGAACCAGGGGCGGGCCTTGGCGGCGCGCGGGGCCGTGGCTGCTGCCGACGCCGATGTCGAAGTTGTCCGGGCCGCGGAGGAGGATGAAGATGAGGATGAGGAGGAGGGCCCGAGGTTGCGGCGCTCGGCGGCGGCGATGATCAGGAGGAGGGGCAGGTTCAGGGAGCGCACGCTGGCGACGTGGATCTTGTGGAACCAGCGCGGGCTGGCCAGGAACTTGAGCGGGACAAGGACCAGCATGGCGAGGATGTTGAAGGGTGGCTGGTAGGCGAAGATGGCGTCGCTCTTGACGCCCTCCAGGGTCATGACAGCGTGTCGGAACTTGATCTCGGCGGTCGCGTTCGAGATGATGGTGCTGAAAGTGTGGGAGAGCATGGACACGAGGATGGTCAGGAAGAGGGTGTTGCCGAGGAAGGCGAAGGTAACCATCAACGCAGGTCCGAGCAGCCAGTGAAAGTCGGTCTGCGAGGCTGAGTTAGCATCCAATGCATTCGATATTGGAAAAAAAGCTCAACGAACAGATCGGTGGATTCCAGTGCCGTCCAGGCCGAACCATATAAATATCATCCACTTGCTTATCGTTCTACAGCATCGCGTCAGCCAGATGTTGCCGACAGATGTCGACACCTAGAGGGTCTCAGGCTTGCTTACACTGCTTCATGACGTCCTTCGCCAAGCCAGACCAGGGAGAGCAGGAACCCGAAGAAGCACCTGGGAATATGAATGTTAGCTGGATGCGTTCCACCTATTTTAAAACCCAAGTGTGGATAAGGGACAAGGAATCTAGCTTACCATACGGCCAAGACGGACAGGAGGGCAAAGTCGGCCATCATCGACCTCAGCGACATAAACAGCAGGTTGTCCGACAGGAGATTGAAGGCGAGGCGGGGGATCAGTACGAGAGCTCCCATGGCGAGGACATCTAGGGCCTGCTGGCCGGGGACAATCGAACCGATCCACCAGCCGTAGATCCGGAGCACCAGATATCCCCAGTATATGGCCGCGAACGTGACATCCAGAAACGACCAGAGGTTTTGCGTATATACATGCCTGGGATTACAGTAAGAAGTCAGGTCACCAGGAGGAATCGTACCACTAGAGGAAGGCCGGTGGGCGGGAAACGAGACTTACCAGCCGTGCTCCAACACCGTCGCCAGCAGATCCAAGACCCACCCGAACGCGTAGACCGTGAAGCATATCTCAAGCCAGCTCAGGTAGTTCGGATCCCTCTCCGCCATGAACGCGATGTATAGGGCGAGGAGGATGCCGAACTGCACGATCTCCAGGATGTTTCTCGTCCGCGGGACGATGAGGCGGTACTGATTCAGCAGCGGCGCCTCCTTCGGGTTATAGAGCGAGATGGGGTTCTGCTTGTACCGGTCCGGGATGAGGTTAAGGAAGCTGGAGGGGGTGTAGATGATCCTCCCCTCATACACAGCATCGACCCTGTTTTCCCCCGCCCGTTGTTAGCAACCAGACCAACCAGGGCGGCCCAAAAAAAGGGACAAGAGGAGTTAGTCAGTATCGCCTTACACTTTCTGGCACGGCGTCGAGCTGAGGAAGACTTTGCTCTCGGACAGGATGGCGACCTCGAGGGCCGGCAGGGTGGCGTGCCACGAGGTCGCGGCCCAGGCCTCGCGGCGGGTCTCCGGGGGCGCGTTCTGGAAGGGGTCGAACCCGGCCAGGAGGACGTGGGCGAGGACCAGCAGGCCGTCGGGCCCCTCGCTGTTGTCCTCGCCGAAGCGCCGCAGGACGCGCGTGGCTACCAGCTCGCACAGCGTCGCGCGGGCGAACTGGGCGTTCTGCCGCGTGCTCCGGTGCGATTGCTCGCTCAGGAATCGCGCTCGGTTGACGAGTAGGCAGTAGACTGTCTGGGCGTTAGGGAGGGGGAAACGCGACGGCTAGGAGGGAATTACGGGCTCCACTTACTGATGGAGATGTCGTCGAGCTCATAAAACTTGTCGACCAGGGGTCGGACAACGGAATGATTGATGTGGACATCCCGGAGCTGGTCTAGACTCAGATAGTCTTCTACGACGGAGACAATGTCGCGCCGAACTCGGTGGATATTGGTATAGACAGGTAGATGGGAGTGCGAGTCGGAGGCGCAGCTAAAGGTAGGTTCCCGGTTGAGCTCGGGGTCGGTGGCAGTACTTGACAGCAACGGTCTCCGCTCCGGCTCCGAGACCTGGCCCCGGGATCTGCCATTGGGACCCGATCGATCTCCCATCTCGCTTTCCGGGAGAGAATGTGGTTCTTTTGCTCGAGAAATGGCCAGACTCATTCATCACTTGCAAGGACGCATTATAAACTTGAGCAGAAATGAACCAGTGGGAACAACATCGCGTCCATCATACAGGTCTCATGAGAGATATTTTTTGAGGGCATGGCATATTAAGGGGATACACCCGTCATAGGTGCAGCTCCCCGGGCCTTAGCGTCTAAAAATACCCCACGCGGCCCCAGATCCCCGGCTGTTCGCGACCGGTCTAGGCTCTGACACATGCTGGACCCCCACGTAACGGTATAGGGGATTTATTTACAGAATGGAAGAAACTCGCGGATTCATCGGACATCAGACCCATGTGGTTTGAATTATTGCAGTTTGATGACTTTATTATACTGACATAGACTGGAGGACAGACATCCACCCATGAGCACATTCATTCTGAGTGCTAGAGTGGAACGGGGCATGATCCAATTATCCGACATTTAATATACCAAATAGTTCCATAGCTTTCTCGTAGATATCACAATCTCATGAGACAGTCTTGTACATAAGCAGGGCGAGTCAATCTGAAACTACTCACTCAATTTTAGCCCTCCCTCTCAAAAAGTCCAGCCGTGGAAATCATCGACAAATCTCACCGCCGAGGCGAGATACCGCTCATGGACGTCTCCCCATGTCCTCGCCGCCTCCTTCATCGCCCGAATTGCTACGACGGAAAAACGAGTCAGCACTCAGGAATCGGAATGATCGGAATCGGCATGGCACCCAACACCAACTTAACTCACCCTTCACGTAATGCGCCCCCACCGCCCACGGCGAATTGAGCGCCTTGTCTTCGACGTACGCCCAGCCCTTCCCGCCGAGGTCTCCGGGGACGAAGTCGGGGTCGATCCGCGGCCGCAGCTCGGCGATGTACACGGCCAGCACGAGAAGCCACCACTGGCGGACCACGCCGACGTGGAATCGGGCGGGGATGAAGGGCAGCAGGACCCTGACGGCGTGGCTGGTCGTGAGCGCGTGCACGAAGAAGAAGTTGTACGAGTGCGCCCCCGGCGGCACCGTCGCCACGAGCAGCGCCACCGCCGCCTCCTGCGACCGCTCAAACTCCCGCACCGGGTCGCCCTCCGGTCCCCACGCGTTCCAATACTCCAGGATGAGGTCTTCGTGCTTGTCGAACGCCGGCTGGATGTTCTCGAAGCCCGGCTTCGAGAAGAGCCCGTCGAAGCGCTTGTCCGCGGACAGCTTGTCGAGCAGCTCGGCGGGCGACGCGGGGGCGATCGGCGACGGCCGGGTGTACGATGGGTCGTCGGTGTATTTGTGCAGGAAGTTGTACTGGGTCGCTGCCAGGCCCAGGGCCTCCATGGCTATGTCTTTGCTGTCCATCTCGTATGCGTAGCTGAGGTGGATGAGAGGATGTCCAACTGTGTTGGGAGCTCATTAGTAAAAAGCAATGCACCCCCGGGGACGGGAGGGGGCAAAACAGAATAAGACGTACGGCCTGCGATGAGACAGTTGACTAAGGGCTCTTCGCCTTGAAACATGTACTTGTCCACGACCTTCTTCCAGTCATACGAGTAGGCGTGCGACGAGAGGCTGTCCTCGAAAAAGTCCACATATGCCCGCTGGTATTGCCTGTCGCCGAGGAAGTCCCTCCAGTCCTCCTCGACGACCTCCTGGGGCGAGTCCTCCCACGGCTCCAGCTCCTTGGCTTCCGTGTCGTATAAGTGGTGAAGTTGCGACGCGCTGGCGCCCAAAAGGTAGGCCGAAGATAGAAGATGAGGCATATGGTTGTCGAACTCGAGATTGTGGTAAAGGATCGAGTGGTTGACATGGTTTGCCCTGAGTAGGTGCTTCAGCGTCCGCGGCCGCTTCTCCGGCGAGGCCTCAACATTGTGCACCTCGACCGGTGGGATGTGGATGCCCTCCTTGGGCTTGCCCGAACCTGCGAGGAGCCGGTTCACCAGAGGAACGTAGGATAAGATGGAGGCCATTGTGATAGAATCCTTGAAAGATCTGCAAATTACATATTCAAAACTATTCGGACCAGCCTTCGCTCTGAGGCGGAGAAATTGTCAGCTTCAACTATCGGAGTCGTTTATTTGTTGAGAATGATGGCGTGACGTCAGGGAAAACGGACTACCGTTTTAAAACATTTTTGATACGGATCCGTAGTTGCGTTATGATACGCCAATGCCTCCACACTGCGTCACAGCTTGTGCCCCTCCCCCGCCTTGAACCAATCCACACAAAAGTGAACATTGTCAACCTCCCTGCCTACTTAGCTCCTAGCACCCCAACTCTGAATTTCGCCCTCTGTCTGGGAATATGGCTCCACCAGCGATAATTGCCCCGTCTATCCTCTCTGCCGACTTCGGCAACCTCGGCCATGATTGTTCGCGAACTATCGAGCAGGGCGCAGACTGGCTCCATGTGGATATCATGTAGGTCCCCTCGACCCTTCCCGGCGAAGACAGCTAGCTCCGCCCCCCTGGCCTTCTTTACATTTCCAGAGACTCACAGGCTCAACCAGGGACGGCCATTTTGTCCCCAACCTAACCTTCGGCCCCCCCGTGGTGGCCAAGATCCGGAAACATGTCGATCAGCCTGGGCAGAAGTACGGAAAGGGGACATTTGACTGCCACATGATGATCGCCGAGGTACCTAGATTATCAAGTCCCACAGACAATGGAAAGATGGGCCATATCTATAGAGCCGACTTACTGACCTGGGCAAACCATCCCTGCAGCCGAAGAAATGGGTGAAAGAGTTCAAAAAAGCCGGCTGTGACTTGTATTGCTTTCACTACGAGGCAGCGACATCCTCAGCCGCTGAGAGCCCCGAGGGGCACTCTGAACTGAAGACGAACCCCCGCGAGTTGATCCGATATATCCACGAGTGCGGCATGCTGGCCGGCATTGCGATCAAGCCAGGCACAAAGGTGGATGTGCTGTGGGATGTGCTGGACAGTCCGCTTGAAAAGGAGCGGCCAGATGTGAGTGTCAAGCCCCCACCTGAGGCTGCTTCTGTATGCTAATGGGTCTACTCGCTTGCCAGATGGTCCTTGTCATGACAGTTGAGCCTGGCTTCGGAGGGCAGAAGTTCATGGCGTCTGAGCTCCCCAAGGTCCAGGAGCTGCGGAAACGATATCCCCAGCTTAATATCGAGGTGGACGGTGGGCTGGGGCCCGGGACGATAGACCAGGCGGCCGACGCTGGTGCGAATGTCATTGTTGCCGGCAGTGCTGTGTTTGGTGCCCAGGATCCGGCCGAGGTCATCTCACTGTTGCGAGAGGCGGTAAACGCGAGGGGCGGGAAGTTATAAGAGCAAAGAGTAGGCGTGAAGGCGTGGGAAAATTGCACGGTGTTAAAATATGTAGACGATGAGATGCTGCGATATAGATGATGGATGAAGCCAGACTTGGTGTATGCAGCGTACAAATCCATAACTGATCCTCACACTCCGACTTATCAAACTGCCATATGCTTGGAGTGCGCCCAGAGATTTATGCCTTCTTGGCGAGCACCCTGTCTAGTGCTGAGATCAGAGCCTTTACCTCGTCAACTGCGCAACTGATTAGCAACCCCTGTCAAGTTGCCTCGGAGGAAGCAGGGGAAATTACCTGTGTTGTAATGAACCATGCTCACTCTCACCACAACATCGCCTTCGCCCACAAGTCCAAGTATCTCCTTCGCCAGCCTGACCGAATAGAAGGTTCCGGCCCTAAATCCAAAGTTTGTCTGCCTCTCCACCGTCTCAACCAGATCCTTGGAATTCCAACCCCTGACCGTGAAACTGATCGTTGGCACCCTAAGCCGTGCGTCAGGACTGGTCTCCCCCCAGATTGTCACATCATCCCGCGCGTTGAGATAACCCAACAGTGTCTCCTGGAGTATCGTCTCCTGCCGGATGATCCCGTCCCACTTGGAAGGACCGTCACTGGGGCTTAGATACTCTGTGACCGCGGGTATAGCATATACTAGTTCATAGCTGGCACCCGCAAGGCCGAGCTTGTCCTCGAGCGTCTTGTGTGCATTGAAAAAATGTCCAAACGATCGCACCTGCGATAGCCCGTTGGGACTCGCGTAGAGCAATGAGATATGAGGCCCATACACCTGGCTGCGTCAGCTCGTCACACACATGAGACCACTGCCGGGGTACATACCTTATACCAAGAGAAGGAATAAAAGTCAACTCCCAATTCTTTGACATCAATCTTGCGATGCGGCGCATAAGCCACAGCATCGACGCAGACGAGGGCTCTGGGGCTGTGCGCATGGGCCGTCTCCGCAATGGCCTTGATATCGTGGATGGTGCCCAGGATGTTGCTCGCATGCGTGAGGGTCACAAGCCTCGTCTTCTCACTGAGAAGACCCTTGAGACTCTCTGGCGTCAGCTTGGGGTTCGCCTTGGATCCGGGGTCTGTCGCTGATGCCTCCGGCTTCCACCACTTGACCACCAACTTCTGACGCTCGGCAACATCGACCCAGGCTTCGATGTTGGACTCGTGATCTACCGCTGACACCACCAGCTCGTCGCCCTCGTCGAACGAGAGGGCGAAGGACAAGTTCCGGAAGAGCTGCGTCGTCGACGACCCGAGCACTGGGACGGATGTAAGACGGGAGGACCGTACTAAGGGCGGAAGTCGCCCATAAAAAAGGGGGGTGGGGAGGGGTGTGTGTGTGTCAAACTTGCCTATCTCGTCTCTGGAGGCGTTGATGTACTTCGCAGCCGCGGCATAGCCTTCAGCGTACCGGGCCGTGGAATTCTTGCCGGTTGCATAGCTGGCGCCGAGCTGGACGTTGGAGTGTAGTAGGTAGTCTCGGATCCTTTTTGCAAGAACACTCAATACCGTGAAAAATGGACCCATGGGCGAGGGAATTAGACTTACCGGTCGACTACTGTTCCCAGAGCCTGGCTTCCTCCGGCGTTGTCGAAGAAGACTTGATCGCTGCTCAATGAGGGGAAGCTCTCCCTCACCTCGTTGATATCTAATGAAGCTTGAGAGGACATGGTGTGGATTTGCGGTCACGCTGCTAAGCCAAGTAGTCGAAACGAAAGGGAGCGTGAGGCAAGTGGTGAAGCTGCGGAGACATCTACATTGAGTTGTGAGTCACTGGATGCGCTACCTCTGCGCTATCCCGAGTAGATGTTGAAGGCGTGCTGCATTGGGAAGGTCACGTCGTTTCATGGTCGGTCCAATCCCAAGTCGGCTCCGGCGCAACATAACTGGGAAATCAAGGGCATCAATTTGGACGATCCTTTTGCTATGGATCCATCCATTTGCACGGCGGCTCGATGCATCTCCAGTTGGCTCAGTTTGTCTCGAATCCTGCGGCAGGAGAAGGCTGCAGCTGCGAGGGAAGGTGCAGCATGATATTCTATTAGTCGACTCTGGTGGGACAGCCAGTAGCGCCGGCGTCTACAGAGAGCTAGAGGAGGGCATATGGCATGAATGATATACAAGTGTTGTGTTGCCCGCCCAGAGTGCGACTGATCTGGTCGCCGGTTTCTCCTCTGGAATAGGCTGTCTTCCTGCAGGTCCCTTTTCTTTTGCAAATTGACGGGCGCTTGAGGCTTCATGCAAGTCTCGTTGGATAATGGCAGGGACGGCCGCTGTTTGCTGTCTGCTGTCTGCTGTCTGCTGTTTGCTTCGAGGCACAGCATTGGTGGCCGAACAATCGAACGATCGTTTAGGGACCAATACCGTTTGCAGTGTGGGTTGTGGGCTGAGTGGTGGCAATGGGACTGGAGGAGAAGGGGGGAAGGTGGAAACAAAAAATAAAAATTGGGGCAAGGGTATTTTATCTCGACCAAGCCCACCTTCTCGATGCCCTCACCGATCCCGCGTAACTCACTGCGAACCTCCACGATTGCGATTAATTGGTATCAAACTGCCCAATTGGCTTCTTCAGGATGAAGCGGAAGGCTGAAGCAGCTCTTGACCGCAAGAGCTCTCTCAAGAAGAGATCGAAAAATGGTTTGTTCTTGAGCGCCCCTCCAGCCTTGCGAACTCGTAAAAAAATAAAAAAAATAAAATAAAAATAAAAATGGCTAACCCAAGCAACAGCTCTGACCGAAGAAGACGCAAAATCAAGGTTTCGAAAGGGCCTTTTCGACAAGACCGTCCTCAAAAACCATACCTCTGAATACGCCTCATCCTCTCCATACAAGCACTGCGTCATCTCGGGCCTCGTCAATGACACCCTCCTGCGCTCGGTGCGGGACGAGATCCGGGCCAATGTCTCCTTCACTCCCAAGGAGACGGACATCTACAAGATCCACCAGTCCGGCGACCTGGCGAACCTGGACGGCCTCGAAGACGACGCGCTAGCCAAGCTCCCCTCCCTCCTCTCCCTCCGCGACGCCCTCTACTCGCAGACCTTCCGAGACTACGTATCCGGCATCACGGGCTGCGGGCCCCTGAGCGGCCGCAAGACCGACATGGCCATCAACGTCTACACCCCGGGCTGCTACCTGCTCTGCCACGACGACGTGATCGGCTCGAGGAAGGTCAGCTACATCCTGTACCTGACGGACCCGGACCTGCCGTGGAAGGCCGAATGGGGCGGTGCCCTCCGGCTGTTCCCCGTGGCGGAGCGCACCGGCAAGGACGGCGAGAAGGCCAAGACCCCCGGCCCGGACGTGGTCAAGGTCATACCGCCGGCGTGGAACCAGCTGAGCTTCTTCGCCGTGCAGCCGGGCGAGTCGTTCCACGACGTCGAGGAGGTGTACCACGCGGCCGGCGGAAAGGAGGAGCTGGAACGCGACGGCGGCCGCGTCCGCATGGCCATCAGCGGCTGGTTCCACATCCCGCAGATCGGCGAGGACGGCTGGGTCGAGGGCGCCGAGGAGAAGGCGGCTAAGAACAGCGGTCTCATGCAGCTACAGGGCAACCCGGACCAGTACGACCGCCCCGAGGCAAGGCCGGTTACGGTCGAGCCGAGCGAGAGCAGCCAGGAGAGCGACGAGTTCATGCTAGACGAGGCAGATCTCGAGTTCCTGCTCAGGTACATCGCGCCGACCTACCTGACCCCCGATACCCTGGAGCGGGTGGCGGAGCATTTCGAGGAGAACTTTAGTATCACTGTGCCAGGGATACTATGCGCCAAGTTTGCGGACAGGCTACGAACATACGTCGAGGCTCAGGAAGCCACACCCTTGCCACAAGAGAGCTCCGCCATCGAGAAGAAGAGTGCCTGGAAGGTCGCCCGGCCTCCCCACAAGCAGCGCTACCTTTACCAGCGGCCTGGCGACTCCAGCAAGGACGACAACTCGCCCATCAAGGAACTCCTCGAGGTCCTCCTGCCGAGCCGCCAGTTCCGCGCGTGGCTGCAGATGGCCACCAAGAGCACAGTCGAGAGCCACGACCTGGTCGCCCGGCGGTTCCGCCGCGGCAAGGATTACACGCTCGCGACGGGCCACGATGGCAAGCCCCGGCTGGAGCTCAACCTCGGCTTCACGCCGACGAGCGGCTGGGGAGACGAGGTAGAGGCGGATGACGATGACGAGGACGAGGACGAGGACGGCGACCAGTCGGACGCATCTTCCGAGGCGTCTACGGTTCGCAATGGCGCTCCCGCCGCCAATGGGAAGGCGAAATCTGGCGGCGTCAGTTCCAAAGAGAAGGGCAAGGGCAAGGAAAAGGCCCCTGCGAAGAACGAGCCCAATGGCAAGGACAAGGAGTGGACCGAGGAGGAGGAGGAGGAGGGAGAGGTTGGAGGTCACGAGGTGTATATGGCGGGCGACGATGATGACAACGAGGATGCGGCCGTCTACAAGAGCAGCGCCGACGACGACAACGTCCTGTTCTTCCAGGCCGCGGCGTGGAACAAGATGACGCTTGTGCTGCGCGACAGCGGCACGCTGCGGTTTGTCAAGTACGTGAGCCGGAACGCGAAGGGGGACCGGTGGGATGTCAGTGGGTCATTTGAAATTGAGGAGCAGGAGGATGAGGACGAGAGGGGAGAGAGGAGCGGTGCCCCGGTGGGTGTGCTGGACGACTCTGAGGAGGAAGAGTTCAAGGGGTTCTCAAGCAGCGATACGTCCGATTCTGACTAGGTTGGCACTATGTCTACTAGCGTTCTAGACTGAAATAACCCATCATTCATCTATATAGTATACTTCGTTGTTACCGGATCTCAAGTAGGGACTCGCTAAATCGCGTTCAGATTGGAACTCATGAAGATATAAAGGAAGGCCAGGCTTTCCTCTGACAAGTTACTGCTGACAAACAAACCGTCAGTCAGGGGCTGCAAACTGTAGCCGCATTTAATGTGGGGAGCTCCATCGCTGATCTAACCGGTTCCGGATTAGCGTTGAATTCGCTCTCCTTCAGAAGCTGGCCTGAGCCGACAAAATTTCTTTTCAAAGAAAGTCATTCAAGAAACTCTGGACAGCATTTCGAAGTACTCAGATATTATCAGCTTGCAGTCGTTCCACCACACATCACAATGTAAGATTCCCACTACCACACTGCTCATATCAAATAGTATACTAATGCAGTCGATGCTTTTGAAGGCAATCTCTTCGTCGCGCTGCTTTCCGGTCCGCCGTCTCGGCTGCCAGGTCAGCTACCCCGAAGGCGCAAGCCACTCCCTTTGCAACACAATTTGGAGGCAATGCCAGCACTGCGAGGACATGCGCAGTATCAATCGGAAGGTTCTTTTCCCAGAGCGCCCGTGTCCTGAACACCGAAGAGTCTGGCGACGCGCAGGCTGTCGACAATGCTCTGAGGTCTGCTTCGGAGACTGGAGCCACTACGACGAAATCAGGGGCACCCGCTGGCAGAGAAGGAGAGACTCCTCACGGCATCTTCATTCGCAACATGGTCTTCGACGCGACTGAGGAACACCTCAAGGAAATCTTTGAGAAATACGGAACGGTGACCAGGGCTGCTGTTTCGCGTGATGCTCGTGGCCTGAGCAAAGGGTACGCCTTGCCTATTCCCTTTCCTACCTAATTCAAGCGCCTTGAACAAGAGCTAACCAACACCGTTCTTTCGCTTAGATTCGGCTTCGTTTGGATGAACAGCGCCGAAGAGTCTGCCCGGGCAATCGCCGAAGTGCATGGCTCCTTCTGGCACGGTAGACGCATCCAGTGCGCCCCGAAGACGTCACCGAACGCGTCCGCTCGCACGGCAGCACAGGAGCCGACCAAGTACATCTATATCGGAAACATCCCGTACGAGACGACCGACGCTGAGCTGAACCGCCTCTTCAAGAGCCTGGATAACGTCGTAGACGTTCGTGTCGCCGTCGACCGCGTGACTGGCTGGCCGCGAGGCTTCGCCCATGCCGACTTCACCGATGTCGAGGCTGCACAGAAGGCGCACCAAATGCTGCAGGACTTCCAGCTTGCTGGCCGGCAGCTCCGCGTTGATTTCACGACTGGCCCGCAAGATGGGTCAGGCTCGAAGGGCCAGAAGCCATCCTAATTGGGGAGGTGTGGATAGGGGGTTTCCTTACACCCTGGCTGAAGTTCTATTCTGGAAGCTGTATTCTGATCTGATTGATAATGGAGATACAGCGGGATGGCGCGAGCATCCAGGGTCTGGATGGCTTGGGTGCTGCTCCTACGTGTAAGATAACCAGATAAAAGATAGGGTGATGATACCCTGCATGTTTGGGATTAGCTCTGTCTGTGCTTGGGATACTAGACGATTGTAGTCTGTATAAAATTGAACCTCCTTTCTCTCATTTTGGTATTTTCTTGCTAAGTGTCTCTGATAAACCCCTGAAAAAGTAACCGCGATCGGCCCGCGCGCCGGCCACATGCATCCGGAAGTGGGGTGGAAATCCGGGGCAATAATTCCCAGCTGCCTCGGTATTTCAGGTGGCGGCCCAGATTGCCAATTTCAGGTGTGCCCAGCTGCGTTTGCCCCGAATGACCTAACCACCACAAGAACTATAACTCGATTCTCTTTTTCCTCTGCCTGCCTAGTTACCCATACAAGCTCCTTTTCAGCTGCATTTCCACTTTCCTCATCTGAAACCGTCAAATGCGATAAACCGACCGACGCAACTAACTATCGAGCGCCCCACCGCGAGATCGAGCCGGAATCATCCCAACACTCGTTCTCGCCCCGCCAAGGCCCGACGACATGTCTTTCCTCGGGGGAGCAGAGTGCTCGACGGCGGGCAACCCGCTCAGCCAGTTCTCCAAGCACGTCCAAGACGACAAGAGCCTACAGCGAGACCGACTGGTTAACAGGGGACCTAATGGATCCCTAGGAAGCTTCCGGAGCACGGGGAACACCCCGCAAGACGAGGTATGCCGCACACGCCCCTTTCTCCCACTCCCGAGACCATGGGAACTGACGCGCCGGACCAGATGGTGAACGGCTTCCTCCACCAGTCGCCAAACCTCCCCGAGATGTCCCTCGAGCAAAACCAGGCCGCCGGCCCGTTCGGCTTCGTGCGCCCTGACCCCGCGGGCCAGGGCGTCCACCTGCGCGCCCAGTCGGCGTCACCGACGTGGGGCGGTAGCCAGTCCGCCATGGAGGCGGCCTTCAACGCCCCGCCGGGGACCCAGTTCGGCGCCGACGACTTCGCCCGCTTCCAACAGATGAATGGCCCGGGTGCGTCGTCGTCGGCGCGTGCGAGCCCTGCGTTGGCCCAACAGCAACAACAACAACAGCAGCAGCAGCAGCAGCAACAGCATCAACGGCCGATGATGGGCGTGGGTATGATGAACGGCGGGATGAACTACGGCATGATGTCCCGGCCGATGTATCAGCCCATGTTTTCGGGGCAGTCGCACATGACCCACCACCAGCAACAACAACCGCAGCAGCAGCAGATGGAAGGGAAGGGAAAGGAGAAGGTCATAGAGCTGGACGATCACACCTGGGAGGAGCAGTTTGCGCAGATCGAGCTGCAGGATAAGAACCTGGAGGTCGCCGACGAGAGCCGGGCCATGGAGCCCGAGCTGGACGAGATGGACGAGAAGCTGATGCACTCCGAGACGGGGTTTGGGGACCTCGAGTCAATATGGAGGGGCATCCAGGCGGAGCAGGCGGCGATGCGGGGCCTGGACGAGGAGGAGGAGTTTGCCAAGTTCGACCACGGCAACTTTGACGGCCTCGGCGACTGGGACATTGGCAACAGCCGCATCGGCATGGACCCGGTGGTGGCCGAGTACCTGTTCGAGGAGGAGAACCTCTTCAAGGAGCAGACGAACCCGTTTGAGCAAGGGCTGCGGATTATGGAGGAGGGCGGCAACCTGTCGCTCGCGGCGCTGGCGTTCGAGGCCGCGGTGCAGAAGGACCCGGACCACGTCGAGGCGTGGGTGCACCTCGGGTCGGCGCAGGCGCAGAACGAGAAGGAGGAGGCGGCCATCCGGGCGCTCGAGCAGGCGGTCAAGCTCGACCCCAACAACCTCGCGGCGCTCATGGGCTTGGCCGTGTCGTACACCAACGAGGGCTACGACAGCACAGCCTACCGCACCCTCGAGCGCTGGCTCTCGGTCAAGTACCCGCAGATCATCTCGCCGGCAGACCTCTCGTCGCCGGCCGAGGTCGGCTTCACGGACCGGGCGCAGCTGCACGAGCGCGTCACCAACCTGTTCATCCAGGCGGCACAGCTGTCCCCCGGGGGTGAGCACATGGACCCGGACGTGCAGGTCGGGCTCGGGGTGCTCTTCTACGGGGCGGAGGAGTACGACAAGGCGGTGGACTGCTTCTCGGCGGCGCTGCACTCGTCGGAGCTGGGCACGTCCAACCAGAGCAGCCAGGCGCACCTGCTGGGCAACCGGCTCGGGGCGACGCTGGCCAACAGCGGGCGCTCCGAGGAGGCGATCGCGGCGTACGAGAGGGCGCTGGAAATCCACCCCAACTTTGTGCGCGCGCGGTACAACCTCGGCGTCAGCTGCATCAACATCGGCTGCCACGCCGAGGCGGCGGGTCACCTGCTGGCCGCGCTGGACATGCATAAGAGCGTCGAGAAGAGCGGCCGCGAGAAGGCGAGGGAGATCCTCGGTGGAGGGGGTGCCGGGGTCAGCGACGAGAGGATCGAGGCCATGACGACGCAGAATAGGAGCACTACGCTGTACGACACGCTGAGGAGGGTGTTCACACAGATGGGGAGGAGGGATCTGGCGGAGAAGGTCGTCGTCGGGGTCGACCCGGAGATCTTCAGGGGAGAGTTTGACTTTTGACGGGGCAGATAAGGGGGCACTCCTGGGACGAGCTGGGAAGATTGGGCGGGTTACGTTAACGGTACAGGGCTGCTCTGGCATTGGAAGGGGGCCATTGGGAAATGGGGGCGGCTCACAAAACCCGACCTTCTGACTTGCGTCGAAATCGATGCTATAACGACACGAGAGAACAGGGCCATCGTCATCCTGGTAAGGGCCTGGATGAATGGCTAGATCACGCATTACATATTAGGTATTTGCTACAATGTAACTAGTAGTCGGACCTATACCACGTTGACGCTGGATTAGAAGAGGCTCAATAGATGGTGTTGCATCTTAGGTTTCTTGGTCTAATCATGTACAACAGCACAGGCTGCAACAGAGCTGCCCGCAGCAACCACCAACGCAAAACTTCATACCCTGACAAAATACCGAGATCTGGAATTACCAAAAAGAAAGAGGAGTCCTATGCGATTGACCACTACAAATCCACACCGCAGGCTACATCATTTCCTAGGCCATCTTCACTAACTCGAGAACATGACGGCCTCGCAAAATATCCCGGTGTCGTCTAGCGAGGCGTCGATTGAGCATCTTGACCTGGACCACTACAGCAGTTTCGTTCGCGCGATATCAAATATTCTATCGACAGAGATAGCCGAGGCCACAATAACTCAGCTCGCAGATGGGCTTCCCACGAGAGCCATGTACAGCGAGGCTCGTGGCTCGTTTCCACACCGAGACCATCCCATCCTAAAGCACACCGAGCTTTGTGAGGGTGCCTCTGCCAAGGCGAAAGAATTTCTTGTGGCTTTCGATCCGATGATACTGCGATTTGATGCTACAGTATGTCTCTGCTTGGTGGTTTTGCCCATATGTCCTGTATTAACCATCTCCGCGTAGCTACTTCAGGCATATCAGGATACCTCCCCAGGCAGTCGTCAGTTTGGTATCCGGCTCATCGAAATGACTGCTGTTGCTATCCATCAGATTGCGGTTGCACTTTACCAGCTCGATGAGAAGGCTCACCGAGGTGATATCGACAGTGTCATGAACTGGGTCGCTCCCATTGAACAATACGAGCTTCACGGCCGGTGGGAAACCAAGCCACACTTCCCACCCAGACCGTCGCTCTTTTTTCACCCTGACTACCTGGACCACCACCAGTATCCCTCTGGCACCGCTGACGTCGCCGGGTACTGGGCTGAAGACCGGATCTTTGGAGGAGTTGTGCTTTTTGACCGCGGGAAATCCGACATGGAGGTAAGCTACAGTCAGAGAGCCGTTTCTGGCCAAGTACTGATGATCGCCTGCTTTTCCTCAGGCGAAAGAGGTATACTTCCATTCTGGAAGAAGAAGACAGACACACAGGGTATGGTTGCTACTCGAACCGCAACTAGAGTCCCTCATTTCCTTCCTTCTCGACGAATCCGGCCGGGTCGAGTCCCCATTGCCCATTTTTGTCGACGAGAAGAGCCGTAAGCGCTTCGATGCCTGGGACGCAATGGCATTCCACCATATCTTTCGTGACCGGTGGGAGCGCTCTATCCCTGACATAAAGGACGAATCGAGCATTCGATACAACACCGGCGATTACCCAGAGCTGCAAGACGTTTTCGACAAACTCGCCGCCGGCCCATCATATGATGTGCCGGGCAGGTTTGACCCATTGTCCACTAATATAGAGAAGCACGCGAAAGAAACAGAGGGGAGCGGTCCAGACGCTCCAGCAGGTCCTGCCGCCCAGCCCAGCGAAACAGCAGATCATCCCGGCTCACTTACTACCAGGTCAACCACCGAGGATGATATAATGCGATTATTCGGCGAAACGAAGGAGGCCTTCCTCGCCCGTCAGGCCTCATTTATCAACGGGCCATCTTATGACGAGCTAATGCAGAACTTCCTAAACGAACCAGATGAGGGTGGCCCGGGAGCTTCGGCAGATCTTGCCAACCAGAGGCGTGAAACTTCCTGAGCTGGCAGAGAAGGAAAGTGCTCGTGGATACCGGAGGTCGTCTACCAAACAGGGTCATGGCAGGGCACTCCTAGATCCTGGGCATGGGAACTACGCCCCTGACTCAACCTCGTCTAACTGCATCAAAATAATGCATATTATTGCTGATCTCAGGGCTAATGGCAATCTGAATTACTCCTTGTGCCCGACGTATCAAATATTGTAGACGATGAGACCTGCTGTGAATCCAGAGAGCGGCGAGAAATCACGTGCAAGCCCCATGATATGCATGGATCTTGGAATTGCATGCACAGGCCAGCGGTACAGCGATTAATAACACAGTCCTCGGGGCGATCATCTACGGACTAGAATACATTTCCCGGGATGAGGGCAACTCCATCCCAGCCGGCGATTCCTGCTCTTGAGAGGATCCCATGGTCTACCCACAACTCCACAACAGTGTGAATCCGTGCTCCGTTTCTCTACCGTCACCGTGGGTCGATTGAGCAGCATCTTCAAATCGGGAATTAGGCGCAGCCGAGAGCGAAAGCGTTCGCACTCCTTTTAAACCTTCCGCTGGGGTCTAATTGAACGACCGCGCCTTACGCCCCAGACAAGCGATCCATCAATTCTCGAGAAGCAATGCGCCCTTCTTCTTCTTTCTCAGAGGCGAACTTGACATGCGAGATATAAAAAAAGACATTCGTTCATCAAACACCGGTCCTAACAAGGAGTTGCCAGCCCTCGACGAGCTTAATACACCTTAATCCACCCGAAAGCTCCAGCAGCTCAAGCTTCCAATCTCAACCTCCCCTCCCCCTCCCTAATCAACTAGCCCACCATGCCATCCCCACGGCGCATACGCCTCCTCTTCTACGTGGTGCTAGCCGGCGTGGTGACAATGCTCTTCTTCACGGCGCAGCAGCGGCAGTCCCGGCCGGCGGACACGCGGACGCTGCGGGACTTTTACGGCAAGACGATGGGCGCGATGGACAAGGCGCGAGGCGCCAGCGGCGGCGGCGGCGGCGGCGGCGGCGGGCAGGCGGTGATGGACAAGGCGACGGGCGACGTGGACGGCGACGGCGACATCGACGAGGACGACGAGCGCCTCGCTAGGGAGACGTCGGAGCGGCTGAGGGCTGCGGAGCAGAAGGCCAAGGAGCTGGCGAACGCGAAGGGGCCGAACAGGCCGGACCCGCCGCGCGATGTCATTGGCGTCGGGAGCTCGGCCGAGGGGCAGGTCAAGAAGGTTGGGGCCGGTGCTGATGGTGCCGGGGAGGAGGTCGTGGAGTCGGAGGAGGAGCACGAGGTCGAGGTGGTGCTGAATGGGATTCTGAAGAAAGCTCCTGGTACGGTTCCTCACTCGGTCACGAATCTTGTGTGTTTCTGCTTCGCAGTACTGATATCCTTGCAGTCATCATCTTCTCAAAGTCGTATTGCCCTCACTCAAAGAGGGCAAAGGGCATCCTCCTCGAGAAATACGTCATCGACCCGCCGCCGTTCGTGGTTGAGCTCGACACGCACCCGCTGGGGCGGCAGATACAAGACAGACTCGGGGAGACGACGGGTCGGTCGACGGTGCCCAACGTCATGGTCAGCGGCAAGAGCATCGGCGGCGGCGACGAGATCGCCGCCCTTGACAGCCAGAAGGCGCTGGCTGAGACCATCAGGACATATGGCGGCAAGGCCGTCGGTGTGACGGAACGCTTTGCTGGGAACGGAAGGGTGATATAATCCGCCAATTTTTTCTTTTCCCATTGGCAAAATAATCTGCGCGAAATCACCCGAGAACCAGTTCCACTAGGTACACATTAATTATCTCTCTTCGAGTACCCGTTTCTTTTTCAATGCGCGCTTGTTGAACGCGATCGGAGCCCGGCCCTAAGGAGCTGGAGCGAGACTTGGGACGACGGGCAATATTGCATTCTTGGCGTTCCGGGGTTCTGTCTCGCGGCGGATCATGTAGGATAGATAGGTATTCAGATGCTCACTGTTTAGGGCAAACTGCGACCGAATTTCGACTATCTTGCCCTTTCTCCGGACCCGAATATCAAGATATCTTGTGTCAGTACGTTCACTTCTCAGGGGCGAGATCCGGTGGGCCTGGCCACTTTGAATGCCCACCCTCATCATCCCAGCGAGCGGAGGCCAGGAAAGGCGCGGTTCGATAGGGGCGCATACACTACTGCCTCCGTACCTCGATAGTTTGCGATTCATGAACTTTCACACTCGGGCCTCGTTCACTGACCATCCCTATCCGCCCTATATATATCCGCCCTCTCCCCCTCCCTCCTTTCCACAACGTTCCCACTACCAGATCTTTCCAACCCAACAAGCTGGACTTGAGCTTATTTGCTTGTAATTCTCCATCTTATTTCCGACCTCCGCACGGCAAGACATTTATTGAGATTATCTTCATCAATATTATTTGCCCCCAACAGTAACCTGCTTCCGAAGATTGGAAGGTTTCGGTGCGGATGGAACTGAACAGCTGCCCTGACTGGGAAGAATTTGGATCATCACTAGTCAACGGCGTCATCCTGTTATTGCTTCGGAGGACATGTACCTTGTTGGATAGCGTTTTGGGTTGTGTGTCTTTAGTATTTACACGCAAGGCTGCGCTTCCTGGTATCGAATTCTAGAAATCCTATATAGGTGGGTTTCAACACCACAGCACTGACCACCACCCTTGGTGATGCTCTCATTCTTGAAGGAAATGCCACGGTGAGAAGGCCTTGCAAAAATTTCAGTATTACTTGATTTCCATCTACCTCTACCTCTTCGTCCCACTTGCAGAATGTTCGGTGTCCATAAGTGAATTCGTGTCCATCAAGGTGTTCATTCATCCCGAGATCAGAGGGTCCTGAGTGAATTCACTCCAAAGAATCTTCACTCTCTTAGAATTCACTAGGTAGCTAGCTATTTAAATATGTACCAAGTCGGCCCATGCAGTTCCCTCGTCCTATTCACCACCCTTTCAACATATTCACTTCTAGGGGGGCCGATAATATATATTCGCGCCGTGTGCGATCTCTTCACAAGCATAAAAACTTCCATCCTCTGTCCACTTCAATTCCAACCAGACTTCTCTTGGTGTGACAACAGGATAACAATACCATTTGCACCTGTTTGACGTTGGGAATCAGGAATTCACCATGACATCCATCCCAGGAGACGTTATCCTCTCCATCGCCGAGTGGTCGGATCCTGAGACGATCTTGTCCCTGATGCTTGTTTGCCGGGTAGGTCTGACACACGGCGAGGTGCTTGCAGCAACTAACCTGGGTGTGTTTTCCAGTACTTCCACCTGCTCATCTCCGAAAATGAGACTCCCATTGTCAAGGCCAAGCTGTGCCACCTCCAGCAGCTCACCTTCCACCCATCGATGCTGAAGGCTGATGACGGCGTTCATTTCCTGCCCGCCCATCTCCAGCCAGCCCACCTGCAACTTGTGGCGCCCCATGGCTGCGTCATCAAGTCCGGCACGCCTGACCGCGGCGCTCTCCTGCCGCTTTCCTTCTCCGTCCTGAAGGAGCTCAACATGCGGGAGGCCCGCCTCGACGTCCTCCTCGTGGCCGATGGACACATGGAGACGGCCCTCCAGGAGTCGGGGCTCTTCTTCCCGGATCGTAGACCCACCGATGACGAGATGAACGTCCTGATGGCCCGGCTCCGACGCGCGTGCCGCATTACTGATCGTCTGGCCGACTGCACGGCGGCTGTCATGGTCGAGTATGGCTTCCCTGGTCCCATGTTTCCCGGGGCCGAGGATGGAGACGACGACGAGAACACTGGCGGCACGGGCTCTGACGACGGCCTTGACGACAGCCCCGACGACCAGGACAGCGGTGCCCTTCCCGCCCCTGTTCCTCTCTCGACCAGAACCTACGAGAGACCCTTGCCGAGCACCCTCATCCACCCCAACCGGCGCCACAACAGGTTCGGCATCGCCCGCGCCGTCCGCTTCGCGCAGGGGGACCTACTCCGCGCCCTTCCCCTCGAGGATCTGGTCTTCCTCGCCATCCTGACCAGCATCGCGGGGCTGGGATACCGCCGACTCCACCACGCAACCGCCTACACGGACCCGGAGTTCTTCGAGCGCGCCACGGCCTTTCAGGAGACGGTCCTGCGCCAAGGAGCAACTGTCACGTTCTGGGGCAAGTTCGCCGGCGTCCGGGTCCCCACCCAGGCCGAGCTGGAGGCCCTGAGCCTGGCCGCCATCGCGAGCATGAGCCCGGCGACTACAACTGCCGGCCCCAACCAGGCGGCGCTGCTGCCGCCGACGACCGACGACGCGCCCGGGGGGCAGACCCCGCAGATGACGGCGATGCGCGCCTACGTGGACCAGAAGACCAACGACGCGCTCCGCGAGCTGCGGTGGTGGGAGCACGGCGCCGGCGCCAACAACAACATGGGCGCCAACAACAACGAGGACGAGGACGACGAGGACGAGGCCCCCGCCGGCCTCCAGATGACCGTCTGGCGCACCATCAGGAAGAGGTCGGGTTGGAGCAGCGACAACGCCGGCCGCAGGGCCCACGACCTCGCGCGGCGCATCGTCCGCGGTCTGCCCGCCACTGTTAATGTCGATGCCGATGCTGGCGGCGACGACGACGCGGCGGCTCAGGATGAGGCCCAGGTTGAGGCCCCGGCTGAGGCTCGGGCTGCCTAACTTCCCCACCTTTCGATGGCTCCGGTTTGAGGCACACGCACGTGGAAGAGTTCGGTTTCTGTTTTCTGGGCTTTGGGGGCGCGCTGGCGGTCTGTCTGTCATTAGGGAAGGGGCGCTTGGAACGGGGGAGGAGTTCTACATCATCAGAGGCGTCTTGCTTGGTTTTTGCTTCTCTGGTAATTGGGTTCTTGTTAAATAGATCTCATGAGTAGCAGCACAATGGTGCATGGTTTCCTGATGCATCGTCTGATTCAAACCCATGGGATGGAGCGAGTCTGTCCACCCGCTCACTACCTACATTTGGGCTCCGGCGTGTTGGACATGATGATGTCTCTACCTTTGCCTCTATCCCTGTCTACGCACAGTAGGTGGGGTAGTAGATCATATTGAGGTATCATGTCTTCAAAGGTATCCATAGAACAGGAAGCAATGATTTGGAAGGTCCTTGTGATGGAGTTAGGGGAGTTAGGATTTAAGTGACATGATGGTCTGTGCCGCCAGCCAATTAGATGCTTCATTCAAGATTGCATTGTGCCTGGCACCCTTCTCCACATTCACAAGCCACGACTCTGACGGAAAGGATCGAGCCTTCAGCTTAGAAATAGTCAAATGATTACAAATGGCACAATATCAGGTAGACGAAGAGTAGCACCGCTCTGTGCCGCAGAGACTTAGATATAAAGTATTGCCAGTGTTTGCAAAGTCCAATCTTCTCTAGAATGTGTCTTGGTGTGTTGAACAAGGAACAGCCTATTGCATAAGCCCCTTTCTAAGTCGAACAACACGTCGTCGTCCTCCTTAAAACCAATATCAGCCTTGTCCAGAGCAATAATCCCCCTACACTCCCCCGCCACCTCATCACCATGGCAACTCCCACCTTATCACCATCCATCCCCCCAACCCACCCAGCCGTAGTAATCACCGCCGCCAGGGCCCCCTTATCCACCATCTCCGTCCCCACCGAGGCCCCCGGGCCAGGCGAGGTACTGATCCACGTCCTCTGGACATCCTCCACACCCTTCGACTTACACCAGTCCGACGGCGGCCTCGGTATCATCCCGCCCCACCTCGCGGGCGGCAGCTTCGGCGGCACCGTGGCGCAGCTGGGCGAGGGGGCCGCCGCCGGGGCCCGACTCACCGTCGGCGACGTCGTCTTCGGCTTCGACTTCCGCCTCCCGCGCGCGCGCGCCCACCAGACCTACCTGACCACGGACGCGTACATGGTCTCGAGGCTGCCGGCGGGCCTGACGCTGCCCGAGGCCGTCGCCGTGCCCGCCAACCTCGTCACCGCCTTCCACGTCACCACTGCCGACCTCGGTCTTGCGCTGCCGTGGCCGCGGCCGGCGGACTTCAATGCCGGCGGCGACGGCGGGCCGACCATCCTCGTCTGGGGCGCCGCGGGCAGCGTGGGCAACTACACGCTGCAGGTGCTCCGGCACTGGGGGTACAGGAACCTCCTCGCCGTGGCGGCGGGGAAGCACCACGCGCACCTGCGCGGCCTGGGCGCCAGGGAGTGCTTCGACTACACGCGCGGGGATGTCGCGGCCGAGGTGCTGGGGTACGCCGGCCGGGCGGGCGGCGGCGCCGATGGCCGGCCGAGGATCCCGTACATCATCGACTGCATCGGCTCGCTGGAGGGCACCGTCAGGCCCATCAGCAGGGTTGCCGAGCCGGGCGCCACGGTGGCGGTGATGCTGCCTGTCATTAAGAGGCATACCACCGAGGATGTTGCGCCCGAGTTTGAGATGGACGTCTCGAAGGTCTTGCCCGGCGAGTGGAAGGAAGGAGTCGAATTGAAGGGGACGAGGGCATTCCTCTACCTACAGGTGAGTAGCCTCAGCTGGGCTGCCCGTGAGCTAGAAGCTTAAACACATGGCTGACAACGGTGGCAGAATGAGTTGTTTAAGGAACATTTGCAGGCGGACATCATTCCGGCCTTGTTAGAGCAAGGAGTGATCAAGCCCAACAAGTTAAAGGTTGTCGAGGGCAAGACCCTTCTGGAGCGAGCAGAAGGCGCACGGAAGCTGCTCAGGAATCAAGCGCCAAGTGGAGAGAAACTTGTCTGGAGAGTTGCGGATGAGTAACCGGCAACACAGGGCAGGGGAAGGTGACGATGCAGGAGAGAACGAGCCCAGACCTGGCCGAAGACGGTCCACGTTCTATCCAGGGATTGTGAATTGCACCTGGGTAGGTAGGGAGAATCCGTTGCCACTGAGCAATCTGAATGGTGGCATAACTCCATCGCTAGTCGGTAATGTCGAAACCGAGATCGAGATTGTGTGAACATAGGTACCAGCGTACACGGAGTTCCATCAAGCTTACCCGTTGCAAATTGGGAATACCTTACTTTAGCCTCTAACCGGGATGCGGAGTAGGTTTAACCGACACCCAGGGGAGCACTGGAAACTGTCCCATCGTAACATCTTGTCTGCCATCTAGGTAACATGTGTGCTAAAAGGCGGGATTCGCTTCCGGAATCCAAGAATGGAAGGAAAGCCGGCCGTACGAAGGGCCAATTTTGCCCGCATCTTGACCCTGTGGTTGCCGCACCAGTACAAATCCTGGTTTCCGTTTCCACAATCAAGGGATGATGCTCCAGAATCTCTCGACATAGTGTAGGTTGGGGTCATGTCTTTGTGAGATAAAGCTCTCCACTTGGTAGCCTGTCATAAAGTTGCCATCACGATTGCTGTCTCGCAACCCTTGCCAGAATCTGCCGAGATGCTCTTGACGTCCATCCCCACCATCCTCTTTGGTCTCTCGACGGCCAATGCGGCGCTCACGTATCGTGGCGTCGACTGGTCATCGGTGACCGTTGAAGAAAGAGCAAAGGTCTCGTACAAGACAGCCAGCGGCGAGGCGAAAGCTCTCGAGAACATCCTCGCCGCAAGCGGCGTCAACACGGTCCGGCAGCGAATATGGGTGAACCCCCAAAACGGAGACTATAACCTTGCCTACAACATCGCACTCGCAAAGAGAGCAAAGGCTGCGGGACTGGGTGTGTATCTGGACCTGCACTACAGCGATACGTGGGCAGATCCCGGCCACCAGGCAATCCCTTCGGGATGGCCCACTGCCATCGAAGACCTCTCCTGGAAGCTGTACAACTACACCCTGGATGTTGCAAACCAGTTCCAGAGCAACGGCATCCAGCCCACGATCATCTCGATCGGGAACGAGATCACGGCTGGTCTCCTATGGCCGACGGGGGGGACTTCTTCTTACTCCAACATAGCGAGGCTGTTGCACTCGGCCGCCTCCGCAGTTCACGACTCGACACTCGATCCAAAGCCCAAGATCATGATCCACCTCGACAACGGCTGGGACTGGGGCACGCAGCAGTACTTCTACCAGAAGGTGCTCTCTCAGGGGACCCTGGTCGAGTCCGACTTTGACATGATGGGCGTCTCGTATTACCCCTTCTATAACTCGGGCGCCACACTTGCGAGCCTGAAGACGAGCTTGACAAACATGGCCAACATGTGGGGCAAGGAGATCGTGGTCGCCGAGCTCGACTGGCCGACCTCGTGCCCAAACTCTCGCTATGATTTCCCGAGCGACATCAAGAGCATCCCGTTTACTGCGGCGGGTCAGGCGACTTTCATAGAGCAAGTTGCCAGTGTTGTTGCGGGGGTGAAGAACGGTAAAGGCCTGTTCTACTGGGAGCCTGCTTGGATCCACAACGCGAACCTGGGATCTTCATGTGCCGACAATTGCATGTTTTCGCAGTCAGGACAGGCCCTGTCGAGCATGTCTGTATTCTCCAAGATCTGAAAAGCCGAGTCTGCGAGCTGTACATACCTAAGTAGTCAACACGCTGCCGCATTGGGCAGAGTTGATCAGATCTTTGGCTGCCCTGCCAACCACTCCTCATGCATCGCCTTCTGCTTCTCCCACTCCTTGACCAACTTCTTCCTTCTGCTTTTCGAAACCTCCTTTCCGCTTGCATCCTTAACCGGAACGCCATCCGCATCCCATTCTGAAAACTCGCTCGTCTGGAACATCTGCAAGTGGCTGACCTTGGCCTTCTCGCCAAGCAATCTCTTCTTTTCCGCATCCTCCGCCTCCCTCTGCAGCTTGGCCGCTTTCTTCGCAGCAGCAGCATTCTCGCCCGCCGCCCGGGCATTGCGTAGAGACCGGTCTACGGGGCGTACAAGCGCTGGCAGCGGCGGGTCGCGATCTTCGAGATAGATATCAAGATTCCAGAGGTGCGTGTCGCGTAATTGGTCGCAGAGTAGGAGGAAGTCTTTTGCAGATGCTTTCACCTCCACAAGTCTGCCAGTATCTTTGCGGAAGTCCTCAAGCACCTGAACGTACGGTTGTGCATTGGCAGGTGCGGTCGCCTGTGCTGTGGGTAGTCTGGCCTCATCAACGTGTTGCGCAATGACTGCATAGTCGAGGGAGCCGGAACGAGCAAGCTCTCGGACCTTATTGCGGAGCTTAGAGGCTGGGTAAACATAGGGTCGAGCCTGGGTCGGGATCTCGAGACCGGACCATGCGAGCCGGTCAGCCTGGAGGAGGTCGCCTTCAGAATCAAGTCCAAAGATGGTGACTATGCGCGTGATCCACCGAGAAAGAGTCAAGAGAACGTCGTCGGAGGGATCCTGAGCCAGGTTGTACTCTGTAATGAGATCGGACAATACGCGCATGGCCGCTGGCGTGTTGAACGAGTCGGACAAGGCTGCATCAAGCTCCTTTTTGGCTTTGTCAAATGCGTCCAAGAGCTGCTGGTCTGCCGGACTGGTCTTCCGCGTGCCGTCCACCGCAGATACGCCATCTCTGGTTCTGGCAGCTTCCAGGCTCTTCAGGAAGAAGTTGTTCAACTTGCTCTCCCATGATGTTGTTGCCTTCAGCAATTCTTCTGTCACTTCAATGGTATCCGCCCATGAGCTGAGCAGGAAGCAAACGCGAAGGGAGCGTGGGGTCCATTCTGGTCGGAGCAGGGCTTCGCGAATAGTAGTGAAATTCTTCAGACTTTTGCTCATCTGTCCTCGGCGCGTCAGTATACAGAATCATCGAATAGCATCGACTAAGGGGACCACTAGCCTTCATTCCTTGGATACTAGGAGTCCGTTAGCATGCGTGACACAGAAGGGGGGGGGGGAAACAGAGTGCCGAAGTAACTTACCCAAGGTGTCCCGTATGGAGGAAGTAGTTCACCCACTGCACCCGAGTATTACCACTGGCCGACCAGTATGCCTCTGACTGGGCCAACTCGTTATCGTGGTGTGGGAAACGTAGATCGGAGCCCCCTGAATGCAAATCGATGACCTTACCAAGCACCTCCGAGGCCATCGCCGAGCATTCAATGTGCCAACCTGGACGTCCTTCGCCCCATGGGCTCGGCCACGATGGCTCACCTGGTTTACTGGCTTTCCATCTGTCGAGGGCGCCCACCTGGTTAGTGCTGCCCATAGATACCGAGAGACGAGAACACCTACAGGGCAAAATGATTGTCATTCCGCTTCAGCGAGGACTTTGACAGCGAGCCTTCACCGTCGTCTTGCAGCTCCTTGTTGCTCTTGTTCGAGGGCTCCAGGCGGGCATAGAAATGTCCCGCCCTCTCGAAAGCCTCAATATCGAAATATACCGAGCCGTCAGAGGTTTGGTAGGCGAACCCGTTCTCGATAATCTTGGCCACAAAATTGACGATTTCCGGCATATACTCGGTGACGCGTGTGATAACGTCTGGCTCGAGCACGTTCAAAGATTGCATATCCTCGGAAAATCGATTTTCGAATTTTCGAGTGAGCTTGGTAAATATGCTGTGGTCTTTGGAGTCGATGTCCGAACCATGCAAAGAATCAAGGTATGGGAGGAGAATATCCTCGGCTTGTGTCAAGAATTGAGACAAGCCGGGCGCATTTTGCAAGGCTTCGGCCGCTGATGCTGCCGTCTTGAGATGTACCTTGAGCTTGCCCTCTTTGTCCCCAGCGACCGCACCTTCCTCTAGGGCCTGGCCGTCGAGGACTCGTCTGTAATACTTACCAACCACGGTGTTGTATCCTTCTGGTGTAACATCAGGAGGTAGTAAAGGCAGGTTTTTTTGAACATATTGTTGGAATGCCGTCCGAGTTATCTCCAGAACAGAGGCGCTGGTAGGCCCGTCCGCTTGGGCATCGTGATCCCGTTTGAACTGCTCAAACAGGTGTTGTTGCCGGCCCCGAAGGATGATCTTATCGTCAACCTGTCGCCACGTTAGAATAAGGGCAGATAGCTGTCTATACTGCGACGTACGTCGGTGATGTTCATCACGAACTTTACCCGGAACCCAAAGTAGTCCCGCAGTATGCGACGAAGGATGTCGGTCGACACATAATTGCGCGCGTGCCCGAGGTGGGCGTCGTCATAGACGGTCGGTCCGCAAGTACTGTGATGCACATTCTTTAGTTATACTGTCTTTCTTGCATGCGATCAAGCGTCGGTGGCCTTCAGCTAACTGGGTCTGGAACATAGACTTACTACCAGGTAACGGCATCACTTGCGACCGGAACAAACTGGTTTTTGGTTCTGGTGAGGCTGTTGTAGACTTGAAGGGAAGGGAAGCGGGCTTGGGAGGAAGCTTGTGGTAGCTCCCAGTGAGGTTGGAGTTCCCGCGCCTTCGATGCCATTTTGCAGCTCCAAATTCTAGGTCGTCTCTCGTCAGTCTTGAGGGTATCTGGGCAAAGCGTCGTTCTTACCGGTTGAGAGAAGAGAGAGGGCTGGCAAAGTGCTTTATCCGAGGGCGCATTGGAAGCCTTGACTCACGATTTGACTCATTGGGCTGCAGCTCTCCGATTGCGAAAATACGCCAAGACGGCCAGGTTTCCTCTCGGGACCGGGGTCACGTGACTGTCTACAAGCTCTTGTGGGTCTACCTGAAACGGGAGATCGGCGCCAAGCGCCGAGCGATGTACAGGAAGCGATGGACTTTTGGATGACCCTAGAGCAGAACGAGCAGTCCAACACTGTCATCTGTCTGTCAAGTCGATTCCGGTAGAATGTGTCGCGGCCGCATGGCTTGCCGTCTAGTCAACGCAGAGATATAGGAGAACGAGCTGGAATGGCGAAAGACCGCACGGAAATGAACCACGCCAAGGCAGCACGACGCTGTCCGGACGTGGCGAAGATAGCGACGTGCAACGTGTGAAGTGTGAAGGACGAAAGTGAAATGCCGGATGCCGACGAGGAGGGGGGTGAGAGGGAATCACGCTTTATATATTCCAGTCGTCAGGCTGCTCCCCCTTGTAGTTCCTCCGTCTACCTGAAGAAATGGCCACAATGCCTGCGAGGTCTAATAAATACCCCTACTGGTACGTCGAACACGGGCGTAAGCGGTGCTGTCTGGGAACTGGGATGAAGCTGAACTCGAACCACCAGCTTCCAATGTTGGAATTTGCTACTCTTACACAGAACGAGAAAGTATAAGTGGCCCGGTCCAGCCCAAAACTTTCCCAAGAATCGGGCCCGCCTCATCTAGATACGACCAAAACTGGGCACAGATCCAGTCGCAGGTGAGGGCTAAAGCTTCTTTGTCACAGCTCCCCAACGAGGCGCATTACGCCTTCGAGGCCGAGCACACCGCAGTAATTCAGTGGAGACTGTCGTGGGCTTTTTTTGCCATTCAATGCTGCAGCGCTTCGGGAGCAGACTTCTGAACGTCATAGTCTTGGCTCCTGCCAGCGTAGTCAGTGGTTTGGCAGATTTTCCATCTCCGCCTCCTCGACCTCTCTATTAGGTGACGTTCCCGTCAATCTCTCACTGGCCCCCTAGAGACCCCTGAACTCTCCTGAAATCTGCCTCGCCTACTGTGCAGGGAGGCATCCCGCGGCAGGCTGCATCAGTCCCTACTCGCATCCCCGGCCGTCACTCTCCTCCCTTCTCTGGAGGCCTTGCGAGGAGTGCTTTATTTAGGACGTGTGTAATAACCCGTCACTTTCCCCTCGCCCTCGGCCGTCATTCCTACTTACCTCATTGTCATAACCGCCCAAGGACATATTTAGCTACATAATTACCTCCTTGTTTGCCGACGCACATTGAATTCTCCTGCGCGAGACATAGCTTCTTACAATTCTCTCCAACTCTCAACATCAGTACAATGGATTGCGAGGCGCTATCGGCTTCGCCATGTGGCTATATCATCAGCAATTTCGTGTTTTTCGGACAAATTACTTGTTTTCATGAGTTATCTTGACATTCGATCGCTAAAGTGTTAGTAGTCCATCCATATTAGGGGGGTCATCACCGTCATGGCACAGGGCATATACTGACATGCTGTAGTGAAACGGCAACATGAGGGAGAAGTTTGCCATACCGACTAGAAACAAGAAAATACCGGATACCATGCGGCACCCCCCATTGGAACACCAAAAACGCGCGAATTGCAACTTTTCACCACCACCAAAAATCAATATATTATATAACGACCCATATGATCTATATACCGTTATATAGCCCTTTGAATAAAGATCAGATTCATGTGCTTTGCCTTGACCAGTCACCCATATCTGGTGCGCATTTCCGGTTCCAATTCAAGCCCCCCCCCCCCGGCTATTGATTCGTTCTCCACAACAATAACCTCTTCTTCATCATGGACTTCTTGGGCCTCAACCACAGCATCGGGAGCTTGATTAATTGCTGGGATTTCTTCACCAACAGCTAAAGCCTCCGCTACTTGAATGAACCGACGATTGGGATTTGGAACGGCCTTTCTTTTCTTCCTGCGCTTGAGACGGGCCAGTTCCTCTTCCAGAGCCTTGATCTTCGCGTCTTGAGCAGCCAGCGTGAATTCCAGGGCTTCAAAGACCTTGGAAACCTTTGTGTAAATAGCCTCCTTGTCGTAGGGCTCCGGATATGACGGCTAGTCTTGGGTGTGGAATCTGGGTCCGATTCAGGGGCCGGCTCAGGAGTAACCTCTATGCGGTTCTCTTGGGTTTCTGGGTGTCTGAGTGCCTTGGACCTTGAGATTGGCCGATTTCCTGTTACTCTCCAACCGGAGAGTAAAGGCTTGGTGACCATGGCGACTTGCCTTGCGTTTGCATATGCGCGTGTAAAATTGACCTTATCCACCAGTGCAGAATCAATCAGGGTTGCCAGCTTTTGGAGTTCCTTGCGATATGTTGCCTTAACCACATTGAATATGCTATTATCCAACGGCTGGAGGCCGTGGGAGCAATGTGCTGGAAGATAACAACAGAAAACGTTGTTCATGAAGCAGGTGGCCATCTAGTCATCCTATCGATTCGGGGGTGAGTCAGACCTCTAGATATATAGAGATAGCTAACCGTTGCATGGCTACCATGACCATCTGAAATGATCAATCTAGCGTCTGACTCATCGCCAGGTTTGGGCTGGGGTAAATAGACATCTGTGAGCCACGAGGCTGATATGAGTATCGGTCCAGCTGCTTTCTGATGTGATATAATGCCAGTCCGCAATCTTACGAAATTGGTTAGTAAACCATTGTTTCTGGAGCTCCTGGCCTTTGAAAACGATCCCAGGCTCAGAAAATTAATCTGTGGCAGTGACTGCTTCACTAAATGTCGCCCAACTGCTTGATTGAGGGCCTTTGAGAAATACTCTTCGCTTGGGATCAGAAATTCCTATCACAAGGCTGTTAAGGCCTACAAAATAAGTATAGATATATAGATATGTTAGAAATATTAGAATTAATAAGATACGTACCGTAACCCGCCATGATGCTGCCCTTATCAACATTCACAATGTTCTCCGGCTTAATCCTCCCATATTCATTCTCCCGTATGTTGAAGTACCAATTGACCGCTTTGGGTGTAAATAAATTGAATCTAGCTGCTTCCTGACGCCTTCCAAACTCGGTCTTAAGCTCTGGATGCCTCTTAATGAGCTTGGCGATCCAGTTCTGGCCCAACGGTACTTGTGTCTGAGCTAGGGAAGTGACACACGCGCGGACCTGGCTATAGCTCGGAGCATATCCTAATCTCCCTTGACGGATGCATCCATGATGCCAACTAGGACTCATGGTTCTTAAAGAGGTGTTGTCCGGGCTAAATTTGATCGTCTAAAGCCCCTTAACCATTCATACGGTTGAGAAGGGTGGTCTTAGGCACTCCGTGCTTCTGGGACGATTTGTGAAGTGACAGCTTGTTGTCTGTAACGTCCAGTAATAAAATTGGCTATATTGTCCTCGGTAAAAGGCTTGGGAGGCATTGCTAGAGGTATAGACAAGGGACGAGTGTAGGGAGACTTCAAGGGGTTGAAAAGCCGTTATCGGTGCAAAATTTGTTCGACCCGGTACCACAGATATATTAAGATTATATGAACTCTGAAAACTAAACTCTATGCATTTGTTTGCCCATTGCCTCTTTTGGCATATCGATGGCTTCACAAACGGTCTAAATACGTATAAGTGAGGTTGTAGTACATTGGTGGTTTTCCAAAGGTGGGGGGTGGTCCAAAGGGGGTGCCGCATGGTACCTCCAATCCGAACAAACGACTCATAGACCTGGAAGGGGCCCTCGCTTGGTGGAAGAGACACTAGAAGAGGCTGCGTGAAGGTGAAAGAGGGTGGTGGTCAGAGGAAGGAGGCCAAGGTTTTGATATTGCGATGGGACACTGTTCGGGTCCTTGACTTCCTCCCCAACCAGCTCCCTGTATTCTCAGCGCACAGGCCTTCGGAAAGAGGTTATGACCCAGTGTCAGCTATCGCCCACCCTACTTTGGCCGTTTTGGCGCTCGCAACGTGCGTGTTCGCTGTCCTTCCATCATAAGATTACTAATGAATGTCCTGAAATACCGTTTTGTAATCATGTAGTCTAACCAATTTTCTTTGAGATTCTAACGTGATCCCTTTGTCAAGATAAATGATATATAAAGATAGCTTAGATGTTGGTGGTGGGTGGGGAGGAGGTTAAGTCAACGTGGGTTGATGAAGTTATAATCGCATGTGATTCCAGAAACCTGACGACAGCCTCGTGCCCGTTTCTGGCAGCCCACGACAACAGCGTCCGGCCAGACTCATCCTTTGTCTCGGTATCGGCACCCTTCTCAAGCAGCAGCTTGACCATGGCCTCGTGCCCATTCCCGGCAGCGCACAACAACGGCGTCAGGCCAGACTCATCCTTTGTCTCGATATCGGCACCCTTCTCAAGCAGCAGCTTGACGAGAGCCTCGTGCCCGCTCCCGGCAGCCCACGACAACGGCGTCCAGCCAGACTCATCCTTTGTCTCGATATCGGCACCCTTCTCGAGCAGCAGCTTGGCGATTGCCTCGTGCCCGCTCCCGGCAGCGCACAACAACGGCGTCAGGCCAGACTCATCCTTTGTCTCGGTATCGGCACCCTTCTCAAGCAGCAGCTTGGCGATTGCCTCGTGCCCGCTCCCGGCAGCCCACGACAACGGCGTCTGGCCATACTCATCCTTCGTCTCGATATCGGCACCCTTCTCGAGCAGCAGCTTGACGACTGCCTCGTGCCCATTCATGGCAGCCCACGACAACGGCGTCTGGCCATACTTATCCTTCGTCTCGGTATCGGCACCCTTCTCAAGCAGCAGCTTGACCATAGCCTCGTGCCCGTTCCTAGCAGCCAACGACAACGGCGTCCGGCCATACTCATCCTTTGTCTCGATATCGGCGCCCTTCTCGAGCAGCAGCTTGACGATAGCCTCGTGCCTGTTCTTGACAAACTCCTGGTCGTCTGCTGCTAATGCTGCCACTAATGCCGTGCTGTAGTCTCCGCCTCGTATGTCGACATCTGTCTTCTCCTTAAACAAGATATCTTGGACGACCTGCTTTAGACCAAGATAGCTTGCCAAAGCTAGATCCGTCCAACCTTCCCACTGCAGTTTTCTCTGTTTGAGGTAGCTAGGCACCCAAATGCTTGCTTGGTGCCCGGCTATATTACAAAGCGTACGCGCATCCTTTCGAAACAGATCAGCATCGGTTACTTCCTGCGAGACAAAGTGCAAAGGCCAGTGGGCAGCGGCGTAGGCGAGGTATAGGTGTTGTTTATCCTTAGCAGGGCTGTCTTCAACTGGTCTGTCGATATCGGGTAGCAGCAAGTAATAAAGACACGATCGTGATATCGTACTGTGCGACTGTGGCATATTGAAGCGGCCTTTCCAGCTCCCTTCTTGTTTAGAATCCGTAAGGAACTCCCTCGCCGTCTGGTGGATAAACGACAATTTCGAATCGAAGACGCTGATGAAGAGGCCGCAGAGATTCGTGACGACGCTTCGAAAGTTGCTTTCTGGCCAGAGATCCTCCTTGAGTGCCGCGTGTGATGCCAACCTTTCTTCTTGCACAGCCAACGTTAATGCAATGTTCGCCTCGTCGAGAGTAAGAGGCCGCGCGGCAGCAAGCACAATTTGAAGGAGAATCTCTGTCCGTCGCCGATCTGTGCTTCGGCTCAAAATCTTTTCGTATGCATCAGAGACTTGGGATGGTAGATGAGATAATAAACGTTCTATATCGGAACGTTTACCGTAATCAGCGCGCTTCCTTTTAATGATGTCGAATGTCAGATGTAGCCAGAGGTATGTGCGATGCTCCATGCTCTTGAGGCGTTCAGAAATCTTCCGTTGATCGTCCGCCGTGAAATTGACTGTAACGTCCTGCACTCTGGCGTCGATGACGAGATTAATCTCTCGGCCGATTTGCTCGGACTTTTCCTCACCGTCAAAATGCAGATATGCTGCAGTTGCCGGAATTTTCTGGAAGGAATGTTCCAGATCGTCATACGGACGACTGGTGACGAGAAATTTGAGTTTCGAGGCATGATTCGATGGTTTCTCGTTCGGAGAATAGAACTTCTCAAGTATTTCGATGATTTCCTGCCGGCTGTCCTTGTTGCATTCGTCTAGAGCATCGAGCACGCAAATGATATCTCCAGCATCTAAAGACGTGGCGCACTTTTCCAAGATTCCCCATAGCTCGGAGAATTTCTTGGTGAGAGTTGGACCATTTTCCCTATGGCTCGGGAGCGCATACTCGATCAGTCGAGAGGTAGAGGGACACGTGAAAAGCTGGTGCAGTATCGCACATAAAGCATGAGCACCGTCCATGCGGCCTTCCCCCCCATCCTTAAAAAAGAAGTAACAGACAGCTGACGTTGTGTTCATGATGGCATGCGGTGTGATGGTAATGGTAGTGACGTCTGTGGTCAACTTTCCCTCGTCAATCAGAGATTTTGACAAGACCGACTTGCCACGTCCAGGACCTGCTGAGACCCAGAGTAGACTTGGGGACTCGCTGTCGCGCCACTTGCAGAACTTCTCGTCCGTCAGGAACCACTCGCAGGTGCCGGGGACCCTCTCTGGGTTGATGTTCTTGTATCTCTCGTAACCTTCTGCTGCCGCCGCCAAGTCATGAAGCAGTTGTGTTTCCTTCTCGTCTCGTTTATCCTCCTTCAGAGTCTGAAGCAACTTCTGCATCCCTTGCAGCTGTTCATCCCATTTTTGCCGAATCTCTTCCTGTTCTCCAATAGGGACGAAACGACTACAGTCTTCGTGCGAAGTATTGATCTTTTCCCTGGTCCCAGCCCAATCGTTGGAACCAGCCATATCGCGCCATGCGCGGCGAAGCTGAGCTGTAGAGAGGTGGCATATGACTCGGGCCTGATACTCCATGATGTAGGAATATAGTTTAGCCAAGGGTTCGATGAGGGCTTGGTAATGCCGTCGATGTTCGGATTGGAGATACGTCTCCTCGCAGATTCGCCAATACATTTGGAGATCGCTAATTGAATTAAAGCCCTCCAGCATGGCCTTATTCTGCGCGACGCCGCTCGTAAGGAGCTGTCGGGGTAAGTAGGAGCTCAGCAGCTAGGAAGGTGATTTACCTACGGGTAGAAACAACGAAACACCAGACCATGCTAGCGCTGCGTATGGTTGAGTGCTCACAGCTTCCCTGATGATCGGGTCGGACCAGCGGATGAACTCTGCCAGCTTTTGGACTTGTTCTTGCACCGTGACTTCTTTGCCTCGAATTGAGACTCGCCACTGCTTCTCTTTTCGATCTTCTAACAGCTCATTCACGATGGATTTGACCCACTCCCGATTTGAGAGATTTGCGCTGGCTGTAGTGTTGCCCTGCAGGTGCTTGTTGTAGTCTGCCATCAGTTCGGGTTCTCGCTCCTGAGCTAGCTCGTAAGCCATAGTCCATAGATCGGCGTCATCGCTCGTCGAGGGTGTGTCGGAAACGGTTGGCTGCGGTACGGATATTGGCGACGCGGAAGCGGGGTTCGGAGCTAACGGCGCGGCCTGTTCAGGTGATGGCTGGGCAGTGGTTGTCGTAATCGGCGAGGTTTTGACAGGTCCTGAAGCCGGCGCGGCCGTCGTAAAGGTCGAGATCAGGTCCGGTGTCGCAGGCGAAGGCGAGGAGGAAACTCCGCCGCCTTGCTCCGCTCCTGCATCAGGTCTTTTCTTAATCTTTCGCGACAAGCGGTCTTTGATCTTTGAAAGATGCCCCATATTGTTCTGAAAGCCGAATTGCAAGAGAGATATCAATGGCTGTCTAGCAACAAATGTCAATGGTTAGGATTTTGCAGTGCCCGACCGGGCGGCTAGGCGGCCGACCAATGGACATGCCAACAGAAAGTTGACGACCATATTGGTTCGCTAGAAGAAGAGCATGGATTGGCAGCGTCAGCCACAGCAGAGGAACCGGATGTATGGAGTGCCTAGAAAACCCAACAGCAAGAAAGGTGCACGCAAAACATCCACAATCGCTATGTTGCGCAATACAAGGCGACGCCGGGCTGGAATGGCAAACTAACTGGGCATACCGCAGGGGTCCCGTCCTTTGGAGGGCGGGACGGGCCCGCCCGCGGCCCGCTCGGATCAATTGAATTCCGGGCATCTCTCGGAACGGGCGGTACCTAGGTACTCTGCAGATCCAATGTGCTCCGCTCCGCTGGTTCACCAGTCGCGGAGGTCAGTTTCCTGAGTCCACGGTTCCCGGTATGCTCCAGCCACCACCGCCCGGAATCCACCATCAGTTGCCTAATTATGACTTAAAGGAAGGGGTTTTATCAAACCTGGACAAGGCGATCCCCCCTAGCTTCGACACCCCGCATGGCTGAGCGAGCTTAGCGGGAGGATGAAGTGTCTATGGGGAGACCTCAAAGCTACAACGTAGTAATATCGGTGGTGCTAGGAGGCAGAGTCAAGGGCCATTGGTACTGCCATGCCCCTGGATCGTAGCCCAACAGCTATTGCCTAACCAGCCCAAGTGGCATGTCCACCGCAGCTGAGTTTGCTAACCCTTCGTAAAAAACGGCTTCAGGAACGAACGCTAATCTTTAACTACCTCTTATACAGCATACGCAGTACATCCGTACAGGGAAACTTAGAAGCTACCTACCAAAAGCGAAATTATCCTTCTCCGGATCGCAAACATCGTCTTAGTGAAAGGTTCGCGCATGTCCGGATGATGCTCTGTCATTGGATGGGCCGTTGGGGGCATTTGTCGTGGGAATTCTCGCGCTGGAAGGCTGATTGTGGTAAGGGGGCCTCGAGGTGAACTCTGGACTACTGACGGGCACCCCGGATAAGGGTAGGGGAGTGAAGAAATGCATGTCGGAAGAAGGTTCCTATCCATAGGTATCCAGCAGGCTGAGGATCACTCGCCACATCGTCCCCATCTACATAGTAGGAGTGCTCGAGCTCGCACTACTGGAGTAGAAGTACTCTATTGATTTTTTTGGGCCAAGTATCGCTGCAGCAATGTTGCTCGCCAGCGCATTTTAACTACACAAGCCAACTTTGTTAGCAGTATTCGCGGTCTGTCGATGTCCAACTGCTCAGGCTGAATGGGTTTTCTAGGCTCTGTGGCGGTTGGTTGTCGAGGATGATCTGGCACGTGATATTACAAAGCGGCCTGTGCTCAATTGCGGTCTGGTCGAATCACGTGTGGCGGGGCTTGAGGGCAAGCCAACCCTACTCACATACTAAATTTTGTGCTGTGAGCCGACCGCGCTTACAAGTGTGGACCCGCCTTCCAAACCACTTCAACAAACCGACCGAAATCAGATTTTCGCTCTTCGATACGCACATATCGAACAGAGCGGGATCTTGACCACCCAACAACACCGCAATCATGGCTGACGAATACGTATGTTGATATCCATCTCCCGAATCGATGTGGAAACAGGATGGACGCAATTTTTGGCGTCCGAATCAGTACATTGGCTAACGTTTGGCGATTGCGCAGAACGCCGAGGAGGCCGCTGAGATCAAGAAGAGAAGAACCTTCCGCAAGTTCTCCTACCGAGGAATCGATCTCGAAGCGTATGTTTTCACATTTCCTATCCTCGAAACCCGCTGCCAGAAGAAGCTGCCGTGCGCGGGGCCACCACCGCGACGGCCAGCTCTCCTTTCGACGAACGAAATGCTTGGGCCCGATGCTTTGGAATTCGAGACGTAACTGACACGCCCATCTACAGCCTCCTCGACCTCGGCTCCGATGAGCTCCGCGATGTCGTCCACGCCCGTGCCCGCCGCAGGATCAACCGGGGCCTCAAGCGGAAGCCCATGGGCCTGATCAAGAAGCTCCGGAAGGCCAAGCAGGAGGCCAAGCCCAACGAGAAGCCCGACCTCGTCAAGACGCACCTCCGCGACATGATCGTCGTCCCCGAGATGATCGGCAGTGTCATCGGCATCTACTCCGGCAAGGAGTTCAACCAGGTGGAAATCAAGCCCGAAATGGTCGGCCACTACCTCGGCGAGTTCTCGATCACATAGTACGTTTCCAATCTCCCGCCTCATTTATGCCGTTGGTCGCGCCAGTCCATCCGGGCTGTGATGCGAGATGGGTCTTCCGGTCTCGAGTTCGGTGCTAACCTTTGATTACAGCAAGCCTGTCAAGCACGGTAGACCAGGTATCGGTGCCACGCACTCTTCTCGTTTCATTCCTCTGAAATAAGGGCTGTGGGGTATGGGTGGTTCTTGCATTCAGTCAATCATGGTCTGGCGAAAACGGACAAGGTTTTGCTTGGTGTTATTTACTATCCATAGATGATAGGAACATGAGCAACGTGATTGAACCAAGCCAGCTTCCAAATATTGCGTCTATAAAATGAACTGGACCTCTTGCGAATGGCGTCTGCTATGTGCTGTCTGGCTGGGAGGTTTTGAAACTAGTCAGCTTTCCGTGGTCAGCATCCAAAAACGCCAGCATCCGTAGACGCAAGCATCTTACTATTACGATTCCTTGTGTGTACGATCGTCATTGTATTCAATCCCATCCAGGGACTTATTTTACGTATGTTGGCCAATATTGGGGGCCATTGCTACTCGACTCCCCAAACACCAGCCATGCCTCCTAACCGTCCCTACCAGCCATCCTTTGAGTGCTTTTCGGGAACTATTGTTCAATGTCTGATTCGAAAAGCCATGCTGTCAAACGTCTCACGAAGATTGAAGAATGCGGTAGACATGCCAAGGGTGCTAAGTTTTACCACCTATATCCATTGCAGCTCGCGAGCAAAAGCTCGAATCTCTATGTGCAGGCGTTGAGACCTAAGCGGCGGACGGTGTGGTACAAAAAGACAAAAAACCAGCATCTATTCCAGCTGCTTCGCAGCGGCCAGCTTCTTTGCCTTCCTCTCCTCCTCTGCGTGGTGCCGCTCCCTGTAGTGGGCAACCACGTTGTCGAGGTTCACGTTGTGGCCCGCGGGGACGTTGAACGGCGAGCCCCCAGTGAATACCCTGGAATAAATAATTAGCGCAACCCAAGCAACTCCTCCCCGTAGTCCTCCTTCTGGGGATCGCCAGCCCATGCTAGGGCACCGTGGTGGACATACTCGGGGTACTTCAGCTCGACGTGTTGGTTCCGCGGGGCGTAGTACAGCAGGTGCTTGTCGTGCGCTGCCTGCTCGATCGCCGCTGTGCGGAGGGTGTTCCGGAGCTCGTCCTGCTCCTTCAGGAATGCAAACCGGTCGAACAGCTTGGTGATGGTGGAGGGCTCGCCATCCTTCCCTGGCCTGGAGATTGAGTAGACGATGGCGGATGTGGCGACGGCGCCGATTGCGACGTAGAAGGCGGTCTAGAAAGGGGGCAAAAACAACTAATCAGTATCTTGCTCTGCTTGAAAATTCCGCTGGTGTGGATTTCCATTCTGCAGACATACCCCTAGCGATTCCTCGACGGGAGGAGCGGCTTGGTGGCCATGGGCGTCAGAGGCGTAGGATCGCGCATTTCGAATGGTGGTTGACCGTGATCGCCGGGCGATGCAAGCAGCCCCTTGCCTGATTGCCGACATTGTGATAACGGCCGTTGTTCGGGTCAATTGGTCGTCGCAGGGATCGAGATATTTGCTCAAGGGCAGATGCGGGCAAGAGCTTTAGCAGGTGATGTTATCCCGCAGCCGCGCATTGACCTCGCTTAACGCGCCTATGTACCCAAGTACCGCCAAGCTGGCCAATCGCTGCCTGCCAAATACATTCTCTGAGATGGCGTTCGTTCTCCTGCTATTTGACCCACATCGCTGGACCTCGGGACGCCTGAATGTGTTGAAGGTTCGAGATCGGAGGCGAACTCCATCAGCCCTATGACAAACTGTCCTCTGTTCTAGTGGCTTCACAGTGACTCTGACTCATTAGAAGTGGTAGTCGTGTTCAGTTCAACTAGTGTTTACTTTTGCTTCATAAGCCTTCTTTTTATGTCTTCGAAGGAGTTGTTCCCCAGATCTCCCGCTTCCCTTCTATACTTGACACCAACAGGTTACGACTCCACTTTCCCCTATTTAAAGCCCTGCTCTTGAAGTGCTACTACCTCCGGTACACGTTCTCTGTCATCGGCTGGACGTAGTTCACAAGACATTTAATTCAACCACGAGGATGGCGTCTGGCGGGGACCGGTTTTCAGCGTTCAGGTTATTTGCTCTCATTGGGCTTGTTTTATTGGGCATTGCCACACTTGGTGTTGCAACTTCCTCACCCCCGAACCAATCAGCACCATCGCCCTCGGCTGAAGTCGATCTGATATGTCACACGGACAACCCGGCAGACTGCTACCCGCGGATATTTCAGCCATCAGACGAATTCCAGATAGTCCGTGAGGATCAGGAACTCCCGGCTGGGCTCCACGTTCGTTTGAACTTGTCGTCCGGCAAGAAAGAGGCAAAGATCAACGTTCCAGGCGAGCAAGACGAGGCATTAGAAGGGTTGCCGGTCGACTCGTCGGTTGTTGTCGTCGAATCGGAGCAGGCAGAGGATGTGGGTATCCCGGCGGGGGCTCCGGCCTACGACGCGGCTGGTCAAATCAAGAAACCAGTCCAGGACACCGAATCATTCTACGACTCGTTGAAATTCTTGAAGAAGGGTCTTAACCTCGACGAGGCTCTTGAATCCTTGGAGGACATATCGCACGACATCTACTACGGCCTAATGATCGCCGAGGAATACGACACCGTGGAGTCGCTGTTTTGTCTCGCAAACAACCCCCAGGTCTTCGAGGAAGGTGTTGAAGGAACCGTGTTGAGTCGGGCACGGGTGGCCGCTTTGACTATTGCCGGGGCTGTCCAGAATCATCCTAAGGCGCTTAGTGAGGTTGAGAAGCACTGGCAGACTCTCAGGACACTGAAATGCCCAGGATCAGCCGAAGACTTGGGGACGGCCACTTTCCGACTCATTGCTCCCAGAGCGTCCGATAAGCACTCCTCCAATCATGCTGCCGTAGCCAAAGCTAGAGCATCTGCCATCAGAGGACTGATCAAGAGTCCCGTCATTCGCAAGGATTTCCTGGAAAGCGGCGGCATGGAGTTCCTTCTCGACGTCTTGGTATCGCAGACCGGAGCCGAGTGGGAGCCCGTGCAGAGGAGGGTGGCGCTTCTGGTCCAAGACAACTTCTTGGATGAAAGCATGGGTGCGGCGCTGGGAGAGTGGCCCAGAAATGACCAAGCAACCGATCACTGGTGCAAGAACAACGCCGGCGTGTCTGAGGGGTGCTGGGACTGGGAACTGAAGAGACTTGTACAACAGCATCGTTCCGATAAGGGGCATTGGAGTGTGGAGTTAGGGGATCAGCTGAGCAAGGCGAGAAAGGCTCTTGGGACACAGCCCCGAGCCAGGGTAGAACTATGATTTCTGTAGCATCCGATATACCCCGTTTGATTCTAGACAATAAATACACATGGAGAATTCGAATCTCTAGTTTCGTGTTGATCAGCATGCATTTTGCTGGTTTGTGGCTGCTTTTCTGGCACATTGATATTCTTACATCTCGGAAAAAAACACCGAAGACTGAACACATAGCTTGGGGCGAATTGATCTGAAATCTCTTCAGCTCAAATCTCGTCACAAATACTGTTCCATCAACCTACCATTTCAATACCCAACACACACGCACATGCACACCCTTCTTCCACAACCTCATTCCCCACCATGACTAACCCCTCACCCCCGGCCCCGCCCCCGGGCCTCCGCATCCACGGCACTCCCGCCCCCACCACAACCACCACCACCCCAACCCGCGGCCGCTCCCTCCGCGCAACCCGCCCCTTCCCCGCAGGCTCCCAAATCGCAACCTTCACCACCCCGCTCATCGCCATCCCAGACGGTCCCCACGCCCTCTCCACCTGCGACTGGTGCCTGCAGCAGCGCCCGTCCCCGCCCGCGTCCGCCTGCACGGGCTGCCGCGCCGTCGCGTACTGCGGCCGCGGATGCCAGACGCGGGCGTGGCGGGCCGGGCACAAGGCCGAGTGCGCTGCGCTGGGGCGGGCTCGGGCGCGGAGTCGGGATGGGTGGGTGCCGACGCCGGTGAGGGCCGCCATGGGGGTTCTGTTGAGGGTTGGGGCGGGGGATGGCGGGGTGAGGGGGGCGGTGGGGGATGTGCTTGGCCGGGGGGGTGGTGGTGGGGGAGGCTTCCTGGAGGGGAATGTCGAGGGGTTCAGGAGGGATGGGGCCGTGTGGGCGGATCTGGGCACGCAGGCTGTCGCGGCGGCGATGTATGCTGGGTTCGAGGAGCTGGCGCGGAGGCCGGAGGGGGTGAGGGAGTTGCTGTGCAAGGCGAGTTTGAACTGCGGGGGAGTGGGAGGGAGGGGAGGGAGAAATGCTAATGGGATGAAGAAATAGATCCAGACGAATGCGTTTGACCGCTCCGATCCCGATACTGGGACGGCTGGCATCTTCCTCGACCCGGTGCTTGCCATGGCCAACCACTCCTGCATGCCGAATGCGTTTATCTGCTTTTCCGGCAGGACGGCGATTCTACGAGCCGAGAGGGATATCGAGGAGGGGGACGAGATTGAAATTTCGTACATTGGTGAGTACATGATTACTTTAAACATCCAAACAATCTTCAAGCCTCCTTTCCAATCAGAAACCCCTCTCCCCCAGTTTGTTCGCCGTCTGATGATATAACCAAACAGACAACACGCTTTCCAAGTCAGAGCGGCAGAACGCCCTGAGGCTGTACCACTTCCAGTGCCAGTGCCCTCGCTGTGTGGATGACCTAGACGTCTATCAGGTCTGCCAGGCCTCTCCGCTTGTCCCACTCAACGCTTTCAGTCTCCAACCCAATCTGCAAAAGCTCCGTAACCCCCCGATCAATAGGGGGATGTACCAGTCACCAGCAACAAGCTCAACCGCGTCGCAGGAGATCGCTTCGGCCACCTCGGAGAAGCAAGGGTCCGAAGGCTCATTGGAAAAGGCGAAACGTCAATGGGCGGCATGCAAGCCGCTGATCGAAGCCGGCATGTTCGCTGTCGAGCCTGTTCCGACGATCCTCCACGACCTCGCCAACTTCTGCCAGTCTGGTGACCAGAACTTCGCCTCCGCGCTCTCCTTGGCATGCTTCCTTGCGACCGAGTGCCACCCCTTCGCCCACGTCGCGCCATTCAAGCCCTGGCGAGTAAAGGGTGTCATGCTGGTCGCCGGTTTACTCAGCCAGACGGCCCCGCTCTCGATGATGGGCGAGCTGGCAAGCACGTGCTCCCACTCACAGCTGGTCGCCGCCCTGTCCAGGTGCGACCAGGTCTCCATGTGCGAAGCCTTGTTGCGATTGGTTGTCCACTACGGCCCAATGGCGCACTCGGAGGACTGGGACGTGCTCAGGAGTGCCCAAGAGCTCCTGGGAGATATCGAGAGCCTCCAGGGGCGGGAACGGGAGTCCATGCTGCTTCGGGCTTGGGCCACCAATCCGCGGCATCCGGACGGCCGGGCTTTCTTTGAAGAGGCAGTCCTGAAGCCGATTACCGAGCTGGCGAGCTTTGCCATCGAGATCTCAACCGCGGAATTGGACGGTGGTAGCAGAGCAATCACGAGAAGTCGCGGTTGAGTCCTCGAGAACAGAGAGCAGGGAATTTCAACCCCTTTTCCTGTTCGCAGTTGTTTTACCATCGCTTGATATGCTGATAAAAGGCCTGGCTGATGCACGCTGCGTTCTCTTATCCACCTTTCCAGTCTTGGTCAGGCGAGCATTTCCTGGATGCGGAAGTACCGGGCTGGACGAATTAGGTTCCCACTCGGTTGCTTTATCGGGCGTGTCGGCGAGTTGGGATGCGAAGGCGGTTCGTTTTGTAGAATTAGAGCCAGGAACCAACGAGCCATCCGGCCCCGAGGACCGCCGTTTTCTTCGAGTAGGGAGTTCATCTCCAGCGCGATAATCATCGTTATCATACTGGTCATATGGCGATACGTCCTTGGGGCTATTATGCAAAGATGGGCGGTCTTGTCTGGCGCCTTCCATCCTCTCAATACGCCCCTTGAAAATCTCGAACTCCATCTGCAGGCTTTCAACTTGGCTGGCCCGGTTCCCGATCTTCGAAATATTGGTAGTCAAGATATCCAGCTCCCTCGATGGGAATGACTCGGGAGGCTTGGAGCGGCTTTCATCCATTTGTTTTCGGAGCTGGGCTAACTCCCCTCGCACGGCAGCCATCTCCTTTGCATGGTCTCGGGTCGATATGCGGTCTCTCACGAGGGCCCTCAGTCCTTCAAGACCATCGCTGTTTTCTCGCACTTCAGACTTCACACCAGCCAAGTCCTGGCGGAATTTAGTAGTCACGTCCTCCATGTTTCGTCGAACCTCTTCGATCGCGTTGTTTGCAGAATTTAGCTGACCCTCAAGCCGCTTGATTGCGGTATGGTCCTGGGCCAGTCGCTTGACGTCGGTAATTTCTGTCTTGAGCGAAGACACGTCGTCATGGTTGCCTCTGATTTCGCGTTGCAGTTCGGAAAGCGTTTGCCTCATCTTGGTGAGATCTCCTTCAACCCGAGAGACAGCCTCGTCTAGTGCGGAAACGACCTTGAAGCCAGCGCTGTCGATCCTCTCGATATCACCCCTTTGTGCCTCCAAGTCGGCTTGGAGCTGTAAGATATCTCTGCGCTCTGGCCCCTCTGGAAAGTGGTATCCATTCTGCGCCGCTGCTCCAGGAGCATCTCGGGTGCGTGCCCGATCCCCATTGGTAGAGCTGCCAAATTGCTCTGTCCCTGCCCTCGAGGGCTCTCTGAGTTTGAGGTATCTTTTGACCACAAAGTCGACCTCTCTGCCATCCCTGAAGCTTATTGACGACACAGAAGTGGCGCGTAGAAGGATTTGATTTCTGGGAACCAACCATCAGTGATGCTGGCTTCCTAAACGCCTTGAAGGATAATCAGAGATCTCACTCGTCAAGTACATGGTTTGTCGGTGTGTTCAGGCATTTTATGCCCAATATAGTATTGCATTGGGCGCAAGCAATGTCCTGCAGCTGGCTAACTGATTGTCAACATCAAGCACCGCTCGAGGGGCTAACCGGAGCTTACCATGCGTCGACCAGTGTGCCTTTTTCGCCGAGCCTCAGGGGCCCATGCGATACGATCGCAAGCGCGTCTTGTGGCTCGACAATGGGGCTGAAGTAACTCCTCCCTATCTGAGTCCAGAGATTGGGGAAGTCACCGATAGCAGCACCGCACGCTTTACAGGTACAACTGATGTTTTCCATTGTTCTGCTTGGGGGCAAACGTGGGTTGTGGGTGAGTTGGGTTTAGAAAGATAGGTCTGACATTCTGGGGCGAGGATAGGTAAGTGGGAGGCCGCGATTCTGTTGATCGCCTGCTATCTGGCGTCAAAGCTTCAGTGGGATGCTGTCAGGGCAATTAAGCTTCAATCGCGTCGACACGCGTAAAGTGCTGGGGAATTCGGCCAATGACTGGACACGGATGGGGCCCGTCATCGTTTTCAGCCTTTCTTGCACCAGCCACAACGTGGAAATTATGGTAGAATACTCACGTGAGGACATGTGGGCTGAGATCGCCGCGACATACAACCAAAAATAGGTACACAAACGAGTCTTTGCAATAGGCTTTAGCCAACATGCTTTCTATTGCGTTTTACTGCTCTTGGGCAGTAGTGCCTGAGAAGCACTGGGACCGAGTTAGGTGACACTGAACTCTTTTTTGCCAACCAACCAAACCTGAGACAAGAACCATTTCCTGCCATCAATCATCAACCCATCGACATGGGCAACGACGTAGAGGACTTGGGTAACTCCACCCACAATCCCGACCATAGGATATCTCTCCTTGATAGACCCGAGGACAATACCTCCTTCGCTTCGCTCATAACCAGCTTTCCCCCCCACGGAGCGACCCAGTCTGTCTGCCGCAGATGGATCACCAACCTTGCTACTAGGCGCGAGCTTGACGACAAAGTACATCAGTCGGCTATCCACTGCCTAGGACGCGATCTGTGGGGTGTTAGCTCTGCTTCTGACGCCATGGTGTTGCTAAGCGACCAGAAGCAGTTGACCGAGGGAATGAAGTTGTTGTTGGCGCGGGATATGGAAGCTGCTGCTACCCAGTTGCGGGCCACACTTGTTTCCAGCGTCTTCTTTTCTCCCTCTCCTTCTTCTCCCGTCAGCTGAGAGAAGCCAATTCTAACTTCTTGTCAAAGGCCCGTCGGGAACGCCGGTTGGAACAAGGACAGGCAACGGTTCGCACTACCAAACAAGTCCTGCACGGTTGATATCTGTTCATATGCTAATCGCTTCCTTTGGAAACAGGAGGCCGAGGAAGGAGCCTACCTCCTACTAGGCTTGGTCGCTATTGTCTTTTTCTTCATCTTGATACCGATTTATTATGCAAAATCGCACCCCAAAAAAGACTTGGATGTCAGGTTTGCTTGTGGATGATTGGATGATCAGGGGGCCGTTGCTATCCTAGCGCCTAGGTAGTTTCCCTGATCCCTAGATCTGTGGGGTACACCAGTCAAGGCGGCGGAATCTATCAATGGCACCCCACAACAGGAGCATGTTCGTATGCATAGGTACTGCATTGGTAGGCAGCCTGTGGAGTTGAGGCCATAAAACGCCCTCGTCCAGCCACAAGTTTCACAACCAACGTCCTGCCTATTAGCAATCCATCTACGGCCGTTGTTTTTGCGAATTGCTCCGGGACCATGTACGGCGGCTGCCGCCCACCCCCGGCTGACATCTGGCACGTGCAATAATTCGCACAGGTGGGGCCAGACACATTTGTGGTAGGTCCCGGCCGGCAGCGGCAGCGAGCCCCACATCTCCCAAATTCTCAGCCTCACCTTCAATTTTCCTCTGGGTTTTTTCTTGCCTGCGACATCTTGCCTTCTCCCATCCGTGTATCCACCTTCGAAATGGGCAAGAACAGCAAGAAGAACAGAAGGAGAGCGATTCTAGCCACTGCCCAACATGAATCGACAAAGAAGGAGCCGGAGAGCGTGCCTGAAAGCGGCCCGGAAAGCGCTGACTCGGCGCCTCGGGCCCTGAGCGACTCATCGACTGGAGTGAAGCGCCCCAGCCCCCATGACGCCGACGAAGACGACGATGGCTGGCAGACAATTGAGAATGGGCGACCGGTCAAAAAGCTGAAGAAGATTCCCAAACACGAGTCGAGTCGATACCCGGGGATACTCTTTGCCCCTACGGCGAGACTGCAGTCCAAAGTTAACCTATCCCAAATACGCGACCTGATCCTGTATATTTTGGCCGACGGTTCTGCGCCTCAATGGGTTGCCGTCAGGCATCGGTCTGAGTTCCGGAAGGTCGTTGCGATATGGGTGCCAGGCCTAGAAGAAGCCATGTTCAAGAAGCATGTCGATCTCTCAACCTATTCTCAGACTGCTGCCAGCACTGACATGGGTCAAGCGACCGAGCGCGTGGCAACATCCCCAGATGATTACTACCCCCGTGTGCTGAACAAGGACTTGCTGCCAGAGTCGCTGCAGCCATTTGCAGATATGTTCTCCCACCTCTGGCCCATCAAGGCCCCAGGTGACGACAAGTCAGCCAGACTTCATTCGCCCGTCAACACCATGCTTACTACCCCTCTACCGAAATCCAAGGAAGAGAAAGAGATCAAAGGCGTGAAGCCAGTCTCGGACCCCCATGGCTGGAAGGATGTCCGAACAAGGATTACCGAGTTCCTGGTCACGCCCGAGACCTTCCTGGAGAATGGCTTCGTGCTGCACCCCGCTATGCTACCAGACGAGGAACGCCGGAAGGCTTTCGTGGACCCAGAAGGCTGGGTCCACACCAATGTGGAAAAGCTTGAGGACGGAGACGTCCCGGAAGCAGAAATCCAACAAGGCAGCATGACGGCGGGGCGAGAGGTTCTAGCGCTTGATTGCGAGATGTGCGTGACCGGCGAGAGAGAGTATTCGCTCACCAGGATCAGTATCGTCTCATGGGATGGCAATGTTGTCCTTGACGAGCTTGTCAAGCCGGACAAACCCATCATTGACTACGTAACCCGGTTCTCGGGCATCAGCAAGGAGATGTTAGATCCGGTCACAACTACCCTGAAAGATATCCAAACACGCCTTCTAAAACTACTGCACCCACGTACCATCCTGGTCGGCCATTCGCTCGACTCTGACCTCAAGGCGTTACAGCTCACACACCCTTTCATCGTCGATACCTCGGTCCTCTTCCCCCATGCACGCGGGCCGCCCCTCAAAAACTCTCTCAAATTCATCACGAAGAAGTACCTCAACCGCGAAATCCAGAAAGGACACGGGACGGTACTCGGCCATAACAGCATCGAAGATGCTAGGGCCTGTCTGGACCTCGTCAAGAAGAAATGTGAGAAGGGCAAGGCATGGGCTGCTAGTGACTCTCAGCGCGAGAATCTGTTTAAGCGGCTGAGCCGCGCTGGGACCTCGTACTCCAGCCAAGCCGGACCAGAGGCCAAGGGAGGCCTCGTGACGGGGAAGAGCAGTGCGGCAGTGGACTGGGGAGACCCCAGCAAGAACGAATGTGGTTCTGCGACGTTCAAGATTTCGTGCAGCTCGGACGCCGAGGTCGAGGCAGGCATCCTGCGTGCTGTTAGTGGTGATCCCGACGGCCTGGAAGTGCCAGGCGGCGGAGTGAACTTTGTATGGGCGCGTATGCGCGAGCTCGAGGCCTTGCAGGGCTGGTGGAACCGCAACAAGCTCGCCAATAACGAGCGCGGCGGACCTCCGGTCTCACTACAGGTACAGGCCGATACGATAGGAACGTTGGGCGACACGCAACAACTTGACGGAGAGGCGTCCGACATCAGAGAGAAAGCGGCCACAGCATCGCCGTTGGAAGCGTGTCTCACAGAGCTGACGCAGCGGCTCGTCCGCATCCACGCCGCCCTCCCGCCGTGCACGGCGTTTGTCGTGTTCAGTGGCAGTGGCGATCCGCGCGAGATGAGCCGGTTGCAGGCGTTGCAGGCGCAATGGAAGAAGGAATACAATACCCCGGGCGTGAGGTGGAATGAACTCAGCGTCAAGTGGACGGATGTCGAAGACCAGGCCCTGCGCCGGGCTGTTCAGAGGGCGAGGGACGGCATCGGCTTCATTGGGGTCAAATGAACGCGAAGCAGTCTTGGTAGTTGTGCAGACTCATTTGCTCCTGAAAGTAGGAAGCCGGCTGCAGAAGGGAACCCCAGTAGCCAGATGAGATGGAGCAGAGAGTCTGGCCCCTCTTGTATCGAGTGTATCGTATCCCACTGGAGATGGCTTCAGTCGCAGGTCTCCCTGCAGTCCATGTACCAGTGGTACGAGGTGCTCAATCAATGCTGCCCACGGAGACTCTATTCGAGTCTATGTGCGACAGATCTGCAGCTTGTCAATCCCGTTGTATAATCCTTCGTCTCATGATTTTCGTCTCTTGTGAACATTGACTGTACATGGGAGAGCACCTCACTATCAGCAGAGATATTCCCAAAGTTCTGATGCCAGTTGGCGATCTGCGTTATGGGTTAGGGTTGTGCTGCTATTATTGGAAAGACATCAGCCAACGGTGCAACTTCAACAACCTGACAGGCCACGAAAGTAGAGGGCGGAAACATGTTTCCACGACAGCAACGTCTCTTTGTCCGATTCATTTTCACTGCCACCGTATTCCCTTGAGCTCCAGTCCTACGCGCCGAGAGCGGCCGCCCTACAGGGGGCGCCACAGCTTTGCTCCGCCGCGGCGCTCAGCCCCATACTTCCCTAGCGGGCATCATGGCGGGCTGGATAGCCGTAGACGCCCCTTAAAATCACGAGCTCAGCTGTCTGGATCCGTCGCCTCGAGAGCCATCGATGCCCTGATTCAGGCACATGCGCAGCATTTTAGCGAAAACTCTTTGTTTGTTCTTTTAGTATCTACCCAGGCTTTGGCTACCTACTTATACCCAAACACCAGTCGCCCATCGGCCGCCCACACGGATCAGCTCGTCGTACCCCGCCAAAACCCAAGGGTCGCTCTAGCTACCTAATCCGCAACTCTGCCCAAAACCGTCGCCGACCACCATGGGCCTCCGCGACATCCTCAAGAAGAAATCCACCCTCGAGGCGAGCGACCCCGACCCAGCGACGGTCTCGCGCCTCGCCGGGCCCGAGTTCACCTTTGTGCGCTCCGACACGTACACCCACGAGGTCATCCACCCGCCGCAGTACCCCGACGGCGACGACGGCGATGACGACGCAGGAGGCGGCACCTACCTGACGGCGCGGGACAAGGAAAAGGACAAGACCAGCAGCCACCGGCTCAGCCTAGACGTGTTCCGCGGCTCGCGCAGCCGCAGCGCGTCCGCCTCGAGCCACGGCACCGCCGGCGGAAATAAGGAGTCGTCGTCATCCGCCGGCGGGGCGGCGCGCCGGCTGTCGCACCGCCTCCACCTGGCGCGCAGCCCGACCAGCTCGGAGATGGTGCCGCAGGACCTGCCGGCGATCGTGACGCACCGGGCGCCCGACGGCCGCGAGGACAGGGACGGGACCGAGTCGCAGTGGGAGAAGAGGGCGACGATGCTGGCGAGGGAGAACGAGAAGCACAGGAGCAGGCCGCCGACGCCCGTGGGCGGAGGAGGGGTCGAGGACCAGCTTGGGCGGATGCGCCTCGGGTCGCCCGGGGAGCAGGGTCGGCGGGGCGGCGGTGAGGTGGCGGTGCCGGTGGTGGTGGCGGGCCCGGATGATGGTGTTGTGTCGTCCAAGGCGATCGATGAGGATATACAGGAGGCGATCAGGCTGCATGAGGAGGGCGATCTGCAGAGGTCGACGGCGCTGTTTGCGCGCCTGGCGGATCCGAAGGGAGCTAATAACCCCCTGAGCCAGGTCTTGTACGGCCTCGCGTTGAGGTGAGCATTGATTTGTCCTGTCTGTCGATGGTCCTACGGTTGTATTGAGGGGTGGTGGTGGACGTTCATGAAAGCGAGAGAGGCGGGCCCATTGAGCAAGCACGCCGATCCCACGGACTAACGGGCGATTCCAGGCATGGCTGGGGCTGCGCACCAGACCCAGGGGCAGCGGTCAACTACCTGTCGGCGGCGGCATCGAACGCGGCGACGGTCGAGAACCTCGCCCTGCAGGCCGGCCTCAAGAAGGGAGGGGCCGCTAAGGGCGAGCTCGTCCTCGCTATCTTCGAATTGGCCAATTGCTTCCGTCACGGCTGGGGGATCCCCAAGGACGCCGTCGCCGCGAAGCAGGTGTGTTTCCCCTTTTCGCCTATTCCTATGCTTTCTTGTGCCAGACGGGGGGATGCCCCTATCGGGATTCCAGGAGTTGGCAAAGTTCGCCGACCAGGAATCTCCGCGGGCTGATCCGCTTTGGCGACGGTGACCAGTAACTGACCTTCATTTTCTTCCCCCTGCTGGTAGTACTACGAAACGGCTGCAAATCTTGGAGACACAGGTACGAGGACTGGTCGATGGATGGCGTCTCACTAGTGATGGCTGCCCAACGTTCCATGACGGCTGACCAATTCTCCTTAACCGCGCAGATGCCATGAACGAGGTAGCTTGGTGTTATCTCGAAGGGTACGGTACCAAAAAGGACAAGGTCAGTCGTGTTTCTCCCTCGCAGCACTATCCCCGGATCACTATCGTCCCCCCATGGTCTCTGCATCGCCGATGACTCGAGACCTGCCTGCTCAGCTGGATTGGCCCTGCAACCTACGATACGGGACTACTGGGTCCCCTCCGAGACTAGATCTGGCCATTAGCCTGCGCCAGCTGCTCGGCATGGGGAGTTTGGGCATCAACCAGGCTTTATCCGTTCCGCAAATCGGATGTTGTGATCCCAAAGCCCCCCACGGCGTGAGACCGCGAGAAACAATGAGGCTGACCCGGTGTTTGGACTTGCAGTACGCGGCAGCGAGATACTATCGACTGGCTGAACAGAACGGGAACAAGACACTAGGGAATTCCTGGTAAGGTCCCCCTTTTTCTGGCGTCTGTTCCTTTTTTTGTCTGTTGGTGCCCCTGCCCAATCGTGAAGCTGGCAACCCACCTCGTCCCAGATGACCCTGCGCGCCTGCCGATTGATAGGCTGTCGATTCTCCCGGCAGCACTCTCTTCGCCCTGTTTCTCCCTCGTAAATCTGGAATGCATGCAGGTCTTTGCCTGTATGTGACGAGATTGCGCATCAATCTTGCACTTTCCGTTTTGTTGTTGTTGTTGCTGCTGCTGCTGCTGCTGATCTGAGGCCTATTGTCTCGGCCCACTGGAGGAAAGCTTGCTGACGGTCTATTTCCCTCGCAGGATCTGGAAGGACAAGTACAGTCCCGAGAACGCCAAGAAGTAGAATCCCCCGTCCGCGAGAGGTCCATCCTAGATGCCGCGAGATAAACCATCCTCCACCTTTCGACGCGGGGTCTGCGCCCGGTCGCTTCAACATAATACTACCTTCTAACGTGATTTATCAGACCAATGTCATGATCCATATTGACTTGGACATCGCCGGGGCTCGTCGCGGCGACTGGAAATGAGCATGTTTCGTTTAGTACCGCCAGCGACGACTATATCCAAATACTGAGGCTGTTCTTTTTTATTCAGTTCCCGCTGGGACGCCGTGGTTTGTGCCACTGATTGTTTAGAGGCAGTCGTCCGATCTGTCATACGTATGTACAGCACAAGACCTGTCTGAATGTGCGGGGTCCGGGGAAAGAAGGAGAACGCAGACTGCACCAGTGAGACACAGCATCGAAATACGGGGGCAGGAACTCGCTCCTCCTATTGCTGTGCGCAAGTGCGCAGAGCATGCAGCCCAACGTGCATCGGCTGCGTGCGTGCATTGCATGGCGCGGGGGCGGAGGGGAGGAGGCGGGCACTGCCCTGCGATACTCCATTGAACGCGCTACTATGTATGCCGTATTCAAGTCGTACCGACCTAGGTCTCTTGGGCAGTGGGCGGCGGATGCCCAATTATCGGGCATGTGGCATGCCGGCGGCGGCGGAGAGCGAATCTCTGGAATGCTATTCCTCGGGGGAAGCATACGGGTGATGGGTTAGCGCAACTGGGGCTAAATTCTACCCTGCATAATCGCCAACTGGACATCACTGGGATCTAACTGCTGATGATGACCTTCTGTAAATCACTCGACGATGGAGGCCTCGTAGCCACAGACCCCCCACCCCTCCAATTTTCTTCTCCCTTTTTGTTCGTACTTCCTGTCCCTCACAGGGTCGACCGTATCAGCTGCGCTCTGTGATAGACATGCCGTATCCCAAAAAGGATTGACCAGCTCCTCTGCCATGAGAACCGCTTCTGTAGAACTACCCCAGCTCCAGGCAGGACCGCCATGCATCTGCCCTGATTGACTGATTGAACGGTGCCGACGGAAACGATTTAAGTACGTAATATTCCATCGGGTCGCAGCGTAAACATATATGCGTACCGAGTATATCTAGATGAATTGAATTCCCCCAGCGATAATTCTCACCACCTCAACCTGCTGTCACAAGAGACCGAACGCCCTTGGCAGGCGACCCAACCCCAACATCCCAACTCTAGTGTCTGATATCATTGCATGCATGCAATGCACTGCCGCGTCCAAAGTCATGTATGTCTTCCCCCAGGTTCACTGGCTCACTAGCCCACCGCGAGTGGGTGGTGTGTGTCAGATCCCCCCCTCCTCTTGGTGCCCGATAGGCCGGATGGGGGTCACACATCAGCATCAGCATGTCCGCGAGCCCATATCCAGCGGGACGGATTTGCCCAACGGCAGGTCTGAGATGGACAACCACCATGGGATGGAATGGTCTCGTTACTCACTTCCACGGCTTCACGGCTGTTTGATTCCTACAGGCTTTTTTGTTACGGCTTTGCTTGTGCTGTTTTATCTGCACATCTATATATAAAAAACACCAATGGGACCCCTCCGTCATCCCCCCGGCCGCCGATCCGGTGATGTCTCTCAACCCCGTATGCCACGATCATGTCCCCCTCCCTCCCCGCCGTAGCTGAGATCCGGTGCTTGGGAAGAGGGGATTGTCTCACTCCCTGGCACAGAAGACCGAGACCATCGCCCACACACTTCCCCGACCAATTGCTGCCCTCCGGTCCCAAGAGACACGCAGCCCTTCCCAATCAGTAGTAAGACCAGAAGCAGATCGATCTGCCAGAAGCTAGTCTAGGACGGGCAGGACTGTCTCTCCGGATCAGGACAAGTGCCCGAGACACCACTTACACGCGGACACAGCGAAACGCACCGCTGCGGTGCGGCCCTCCTGCCTGGATGGCGCACCCCTTGCTTGAAGGAGTTGGTCGCTGCGGCAGGAATCATTGCCTACGTAATGTGTCTCACAGTGAAGTTTGTAAGTTGGAAAGTCGTCATTGTGCGTTAGTTTTGTACAGGATCCTCTGCTGGTGATGGTCTCCAACACACCTGTCCGTTAGAGTTCTCGAGGAAAACGGAAGTGGATTCAAAGGGGAAGAGGAAGTAGATGCAAAGCCAGAGGGGCTTGCAGCGTTAAGAGAAACAAAGTAAATATGTGCCGTCTGGCGGGTATGTCGTGAGACGCCTGGGTTGCTACACCCCATGCATGTCCTCTCAAGACGTAGATGCTATCCTATTAAATCCAAAAAAAGGAGGAAAAAACATGTCCCCTAAAATTCCCATTTCCCCATGTGCCAATCTGTGATATGCTTGCCTGCTGATCTGGCCTCGTCCGTCTGCGAGACTGGTTCTCTTTCACAGTATCCGTCCCATCCATCGCAACCCATTGTACAGAAAACAGAAATGGACATAGTTGGAAGAGCAAAATGACTGCTCTCCAGGCACCACCCTATTTTCAACTGTGTGGTGATACCTCTAGATCAACCACCATTCGCCATGCCTGCCTGCCCGCCTCTGCCTGCCATCCGTTCGTAGCCTCTCATTCGAGCTGATATGACGCCAAAAAGCAATAAGCCAAAAAAAGTCAAGAAAAAACACATTAAAAAATCATCGCCAAATTCAGATGCTCGCTCGCCTGCTCAGATTCAAAACAAATAAAGTCAAAAAGTCAAAAAGGTCAAAAAGTCCGCAATAGAGTTTCCCGGACCATTCGGGACCACAAGAAGCATGTTTCGGGTGCGTGAGCAATATAGGTCTCTTGGTGTCGCGGGAGCGGCGGTAAAAGTGTATGTGTTCAAAAAGAAATAGTTCGTTGGAACAAAGGGAAAGATAAAAAGGTACCAGACGTGGCGGTCGTGTTCGTTTTATGGAGCGTTTCGTTGGGTTCGGACCCGTCGTGAGGAAGGTCGTTATCATAGGTAGGTTGGTTTGGTCATTCCGTCGTAATTCATCATCACATCTCTCCGTCGTTACTGCATAGCTGCTGTCCTCCGCTCTGAGTGTTGCACTCCGCCACCATCTTCGCAAATCTCCGGACAACATCGCCCGGGATCTGGTCCCACAGCAGTGAGCGGGTATAGACCTCGGCAGCCGAGTTCTTGTTATTGTTGCGCATATTAGCGAGGGCCTCGGCCAGGTTGCGCCTGCCTTGGCTGGTGGATCGCTCTGCAGGGGCGTCCTGCATGAAATCCTGGGAGTTGACACCGTTATACTGAGCGGCAGAGATTGAGAAGACTTGTTCGTTGGTCTGTTCTTGTGTCGGTTGGATGAGGGCGTCGGTCAGCTCGCCAAGCATGGATGAGGTAACACCCTCCATGTCAGAGCTCCCCATAGCCATCGACGGAGCAGGTGCCCTGGCCCATGCGGTACCGGACGGCTGAGGGGCCATCTGCCCCAAACCCGATGACGATTGAGGGACACCAGCGTCCTTGAGCACGTTCTCCAGAAGAGTGGCCGAGGCGGCGCGAACGTCTTCCGACACGCGGGGAATGGGGGGCGTCGACCGGCTCGAGAGGACGAAGGCGCCGACAAGGAAGAGCATGAAGAGCAGGCCGCCTTGTTGGGCGGGCTTCTCCACATCGGTGGGCAGTGGGACCTCGGGCTTCTTGACCGAGATGACCTGCATCTCCTGCTTGACCTCGGCAGGGTGCTCCAGTGCGAAGTCGCCGAACAGCGGCAGGTTATCCCAGGACGCATCCATTGCGAGACCTTCCATCTCGCTGCCGAAGGCGCCAGGGAAGCCCGTGGGATTTGTTGGCACGGGAGGTGCTGCAGACATGGCCGCGCCCTCGAGCCTCTGGACGTGGTTCGTCAGGACGCTGATCTTCTTCCGCAACTCGCCCGTCTCGATGGTGTGAGCGCTGATCATGTCCTCCTTTTCGAGGTTGAGGTTCTCGATGTACTCGGTGTACTGCTGCTTCTCCCGGAGGAGCTGCTCCATCTGGGTCTTGAGAGTGTCCATCTCCTGCTCCATCTGGCCGATGACTTCGGTGTATTGCTTCTTCTCGTCTTCAAGCCGCTCCGTGTGCTGCTTTTTCCGCTGCCTGGAGTCGAGACTGTGTTTGGCTGTTAGATTCAAGTCGTCAGGGTTACAAGAGGGAGGTATGGATGGGGTGTACTCACGCTGCCTGCCGGTTGCGCAACAATCTCTTTTGTTGCTTGAGCTCCTTGATCTCCTGCTCATCCGTTGACTGCGCAATCAGATGGTCGATGTTGCTGAGGTTCCGCTCGGCGGGTATGTCGAAGCGGGCATTCTTCTTCCGGATGCCATCCCCTCTGCGCAGCTCGTTGTGGGAGCGGATGATGTCGCCCGCCGGGCGATGCCTCTTGACCATGGCCTGGTCCTTGAGGCCCTGGCTGATCCAGTCGTTCTTCTGGGGCGACGTGGGAATGGATTGGCTGTCCGCGTGGGCGAGCTGCTGGAACATGGCGATCTGGTTGCCAGTGTTGCCGAATGTTGCTGGGCCTTGCATAGTTGGCGGCCTTTGGAAGATTGACGCATGTGAGTCGAACTCGGTGGGTAGGCCGTCGAAGGCTTGGAGAGGAGTGGCAGTTCCCGAGGTGCTCATGGGCCATGATGTACCTTGGGTACCGTATGCGGCGGCTGGCGGCTGGTGTTGCTCGAGGCGCATGAAGGGGTTGTTGCTGTGCGGCGGCTCAAAGAAAGGGTTGTTTGACGGTACCGACTGCATGTCTGAGGTATGCCATTCTTCGGTTTTGGGCGAGAAGAGGGATGAGGAGACAGCAAACGAGTCTCTCCTGCTGTCGGCCATGACTGGCGACATCTCCAAGGCTGAGTCAAGTGCGCCGTGGTCGAGAATGTTCTCGTCTAATATGCTGGCAGAATCCTCTTCGAAGTATTTTTGGGCGTGGTTGGTGTCGACCGCTAACGGCGCTCTGTAGAATGCTTGCATCGGGAAGGTTGAGACCATGACAGGCCGGCTGAGGTTGGGAGAATGGTTTCGAGAGAAATCCACAAAATGGACTTTTTTGTGTGTGTTTGAGGGAAGCAGTGCGTCCGCTGGTGTTATATGGGATGTTAGTCGTGGGTGGATCTCAGAGCGTAGCGGTGAGGGCAAAAAGGTCGAGGGTGCCCCTGTTATTTTTGGAATGGAGGGGTGTTGAAAGGGGCGTGTAGATAAGAAGAAGACTCGGTCGCCGTCTCTCGCCAGACTTCCCCTTCCGATCAAGTAAATCGAGGTTTGGGAAAGAAACGATGCAGAGAGATCAAGTCTACCCAGGTAGGTAACAATCGCGCAACCCGGAGCAAAGAGGGGGAAGGCAGCTCAACAAGAGTCTGATAAGTGGCTGGTGTGGAGAGAGCGGAGAGCGGGAGGGCGGGAGAGCGGGAAGACGGAGACGGTGGATTTTTAAAAGAAGACCAGACCGGGAAGTCCGTCCAGGGAAGCAAGGAAAGAAGGGAATGCTTGGTCACTCACGCACTCTAATTCCCGTGTCGTGGGTTGGGTGTACAGGAGGTGGTAGTGGGTTTGTGTTGCCGTCTCTGGTCCTGGTCTTGGTGGTGGTGGGTAGGTGGTTGTTGGTGCTGGGATGAGGGGTACGAGATACAGCGCAAAGCTCGTCGTTCGTACTCGAGGGCGGGATGATTGTGAAGGAGGAGGTAATACAGTTGGAACAAGACAATGGTGTTTACACAGTTCCAAGTTCAAATGTCGGTGATGACAATGGTCAGTCAAGATGATGATGGTGCAGGATGGGCTGCTGGTTGCAGGCTGCTGCTTGGGTTTTGTAGTCTTCAGTCTTTTTGGCCGTCAGGCCGAAGGGCACCTCAACTTGTGATGAACCTTTGCCGTACGAACTACCTATTTCAGACAGGAGGCAGGTACGAAAGTACTTGCTTGGCTAAGGGTGGTGGTGGTGGGGGGCCCTACGAGGTCACGAATGGAAGGGAAGGGATCCCATGGAAAGTGCAAGGCATGTGTGCTGGTGTGACTTTCCAATGGTGTTGCAGATGCTCTCAACTCTCTGTCTCTCTCCAGTGGGTATTCCAAGTAGGGGGGAGGGGTGTGGGAGCAAACATCCGGAGGAAGACACACCCGAACAGCATCAGCTGTTACCCAAAATACCTCCTACAGTACTTCCTACCACATACTGCTTGGCAGAGCTAAGTATGTACTTCCTGGGGAGCTTGATCCTGTCTGGCGATGCAATACGGCCACGGCCAGGCGTCGTCAGCTGCAAGGTTGCCCAGGCGTGAGTCCCTCGAGGATGAAGAGCAGCGGCATCAACAAACGGCCGGAGAGTCCCCTGGGTTGGCTCGATCGAGTGGGCCACAGACGAGCAGCAGACAGCCCTGGCGCAGGTTGGGCAGAAATGGCCTTAGGGCATCGCTACCCAAGGGGACCTCTGAAATCCAGTGAATCCAGTGACCAGCCGCGCCAGCCAAGACTCCGACTCTCATTGCTCAGCGCTGGGTGGGGTGATCAACTCGGAAACGTCCCCCATCTCCTAGCCTAGCTTGCCCAGCCGCTTAGCATTGCCATCACCCCAGAAGAGTCGAGCTGAAAGGGCGACTCTGTCGTAAATCTAGTTAGCGTTGAGCCAGTCAGTTTCGAAACGCTGAGGAACCCCTAAATAAGACCCCCAGCGGAAACGGACCGCAGATTGGCGAGATCGCAGACGCGATCATGATCCGCACGCAAGAGGTCATCTCCCCGACAGGCGGGGCTTGGGCAGAGTTTGTTTGGGGCGGAAACGACTTGATAGCTTCCCCGTTCCAATCAGCCGCCATGGCAAGTTGTTCTCCGTTAATTCCGTCAATGCTTGCCATGCTCGAAACATGACCGTTATTAGAGACGTCCTCCGCATTTGCGCCTATGGTGTTGAGAAGAGACAGCGCTAACCGAACTCACCGTTACGTTACCATCGAGTCGTCAGTATCCCCCACCCCATTTAGGCAAGGTCCCATGGAATAATTAAGCGCCCCTTCGTCCTCCTCAAAATCAACATCAACATTCGACGACATCCATCATCAAACCCGTTGGATCGCGTCTCTCGCAAAATGTTTTGGGCAGGGCCCTGTTCCCGAACATGCCATTCTCTCTCGCTCTCTGGCCGAGTTGACCGAAAGGATGGAAATTGGGGTGGCTGGTTTGCAGGCATTTCCTGATCTCGGACTGGCCAAAACCCCAGTGTGCGTCCGGCCGCATATTCAGAGGCCCGCTACCGTAACCCAATTGCCCAATTGCCCAAACCACAGATCGAAGACCGTCTCTACCCAACCCCAACACGAAGGGTCGGTGTGTTTCTGTTTTGGCACGCGAACGCGTCCAGTACTGCTCCGGGGCCAAGCCCTAGACACCGCTTCCTTCTGACTCGTCTCTTCGGATCTCCTCGGATCTGGATGTTCCCACAGAGCACTCACCGTCCTTTTCGCACCCGATCTTATGTCCGCCCTGTCATCTGCCCACCTGGATACTCCATAAACAACCCAATGTTAGTGTGTTGATGTTTATGTTTCAGCACCAACACTCACCCCCGGGCCAGCTCCGCCGCCGGAACCAATCCGGCCGGGAGAATGCGATGAAGAACCAGTCCCGCAAGCGAACCAGGGGGCCAAAGGGCCAAAGCCGTGTGATGGAACACTAGCCAATGAGTTTTCTGAGGCGATCCTACCGGATCAGATGTCATTGGACTCGCTTTCTCGGCCGTTCGGGCTGTTACCGCCGTTCCCGGTGTTCTGGGTTGTACCTGCCCTCTCACCCAGAAATCGCAGAATCCTGTCACTTGCCGGCAGTCCCATTTGCATCTGGATCTGGAGTTCCCGCTGTGGTTGGTTTCAGGCTCAGTCACACAGCCCCATAATGGCGTTCCTGCGGGAAACGCATGCGCCTGAGCCAGTGTGCATCATCGTCTGCAAACCCCACAACCTGGTCTACGCAAGGACCTACCCTTACAGCAGTGCGTGATCGGATGGACACCACCTCTTTAGGATCAGGGTGGTGGTGGCCTGAAGGAATAGGAGACGGGGTCAACGAAATCGTCTAGCACTCCTCTTCTCTCCTTTCCATATTGCAAAGTGCCATAACGACAACCGAGGTAAACCGCTCCAAGACGGTATCCTGCGTTCAAGTTAAGTTGGCTCTTTCTTCTATCGTAGTTAGCGGTGGGCGTTTTTATGCCTCTAGAAGGGCAATCGCGGCTTCTTACTTGACCTCACGTTCATCAAAATCTAGGAGGCGGCGCACAAAGTTCCACCCGCATCGCTTCTCACAACCAGTGATACGCGACATGATGGGGACGGGCCCCAAATCTCACCACTTGTGCTCCCTTTATTCGGGCTTGCCCAAATCTGAATCGATGGATACCTTTGATACGCCTTCCCTAGCTTCGGTCGATATCGAATAGACGGTATGCCAGGGTTGCCAAGACTCATCACGGAGGCAGCTGGGTATGGCCACGTCGATATGATACTGTCAGCCTTTATTTCCGGTCCTTGCGACGACACGATACGGGATCATTAGTCTTATTAGACACATTCCGACGATGTGGACAGCCCTGCAGATACTATGGCGATATTACGAACTTCGCTCTTGATTTCGCGAGGACTAGAGACGCTGCTATCCTCAGACCCCGTCTTTGGATGGAATGGCCCGCAAAAACGATGCTCACCAGGCAACATCATACTAGCACTAATGTCGCTTCATGACCCAAGACCCGCCCGGAATGATTGCGAAGGAAGGGCAAAGGAAGAGCGGTGAAGCCGTCATCGGTCGCCAGCATTCACCATCCGAGTCCGTTTGCAAGATGCTCAGGAAATGGACCTTCAACTGCCAGAAACCCCCACTGGAAATATTGAGGAGCCTTGTCTAAAGTCGCCAAGCGAAGCGGGCACTCTCGAGATCAAGATTCGTTTGTAACTGTTGGGAGATGGGGGCGCATAATCTGACATCGATAGGGATATGCTAGGACATTTTACTCGATCGTTCGTGTCGTTTTTCACCAGAGGCTTTCCAAACTCTACGCTGCCGCCTGATGTCTTGTTTGCGACTGGTCCCAATGGAGGGCGGACCTGCGTTTGACTTGCATCCCTGGAAATAAATCCGCGGCTTTTCGCTTGGCCGCAGCCTGCATTGGAGCGGCGCGGGACGGGCATTTTAGTCTGGATGAAGAATCATTGGGATGACGACCCTGGGGGATTCGTTCTCCGCGTCTCTAGGCATCCACATTCCCATTCGCAAGAGGGTGAGATTAACCACGAAACAAGAGACCGAAGCTGGAACTCGTCTGCCTTTTTGGCAGGATGGACGGAAATCGTTTCTTACTACTTGCTCTCCGCCTATCACAGCCATCCCCCAAGTGACTCAGATGTAGCGGTGAAGGCGTCTTTGGTGCCCAATCCAGTCCGCTGCCTCTCCCACCATTCTCCTTCGAGACACTCTACCTCCCAAATGCCCAAGTTCGGAAAACTGCCGACGGCCCTTCGTGACTGTACTGAGGTAGTGAAACGCCTTGCCAAAACCCTGGGGAATGTTACGTAGTAGCCCAACCTTTTCTCTCCACTGCCCCCGTCATCATCAGGGTCCCATGGCCGAGGATGGCGCGTCAGCCACACTACACTACCCACCCACCCCCCTTCTCTGCCGTGCCCACCCTCCCCGCCACGTACGGACCGTGGGACTCGCCGAATATCCGGACATACGCTCCTGGTCTTCGCACCCGCGCCGGAACATGGAACCGGGGGTTCGGCTGGCCAGCCCTTGGCGGTATGGGGAGTGAGTGGTGTGGGTTACAAAGGGAGGAAAACCGGCTAAGCGGGCGTTCGAGGAGGGTGAGCAGGGAGGTAGGTAGATAGATAGGTTGGTAGGTCTAGATACCTAAGTCGACGTTTGTTAATCTATAGGAGACGATGTATACTTCCGAACGAGACTAGTAAGGACAGGTAGGGCTCATGGCGCATATCTATCAGTGTCTGTGTCACGGTTTCACGACGCCTGGCACAGTTGGGGATGCAGCCTGGGTAAGACGTGCCAGTTGACATCTCCTGCGAGGCTTGCCTGATGTGTGATCCCAGGGTTGGGCTTTCCCAAGAGGGAGTCACGCGCAGAAAATATGCCGACGAGTCTCTTTACATCTGGCGAGGGCGGACCAAATGGTGTTGATGTTCTTCTCTTCAGGTGCAGCGGGAAGCGTGGCAGAACTTGTTTATTGGCCTTGGGCGAGGACTGTCGTACGATCTAATTCTCTGCCGGTGGGATGATCCACGGTAACACCATAACCCGCCACCGGCCGGTATATCGACAAAGCAGCTCTCTGCTTTGGTTTGCCGAGGTTGAGACTCTAGCGTTCGCCATCCTATGCCACCATCCTGCCACAGGCAACGGCGCTCCTATCTCTTCGGTAGCCCCCACCATTCCTGGATTGTTCTAGTTGGGCGGTATCCAAAAGGTCTTTCTGAGACCAATGATGGTAAATATCTGGTGCCAGGACATGCCACCCATAAGCTGGTAGATGTAGATGTACAGTACAACTCGCCAGGGGAACCCTGTTCCATGGAGATGACGCGCCTGAGCGATACCTAGAATGCCGGAATCACGCCTGCTCAGGGCAAGCCAAAGTCCCACAGCTCGACAAGCAGACTATCTTGCTCCTCTGAGGCGCTGTCTGCACGCGAAAAGATCCGCTTCGGGATCATGAACTCCACCACCGGAGTTTTCTTGACTTGCTTGGACATCTCGGCATCCAAGAGCTGTGGCCACAAATAGGATTAGCAAACGTAGAAATCAAGGGCCCGGCCGGGGGTGGGGTGGAGGGGGCTTGACAAAGCACTTACACTTCCATACGAGTGGTCCAAGAAGTCCTCCAGGTTGTAGACTTGCTTCGTGAACTGCTCCGAGATGATCTTCGCGATGGTCGCAATGTTGGGGTGGTAGTGCGACTGCAGCTGCACAATCTCCCAGAGGCAGCTGTCGATGGCGTGTGTCTCCATCGGGTCCTGCTCGTCGGGCAAAAACGGGTCTCCGACTCCTTCGCTCTCGATCAGATCCTTCTCCTCCTTCGTTCTCGGCACTCTGTGGAGCATGAACGTGCAGAGCGGATGCTTCTTCAGGAGGTTGTACATCCAAGGCACGATTGCGACGATGGCGCTTGGAGGGGCGTTGAGTGTCAGCCTTGCCAGCTTCTTGATAAAGCTCGCGACCAAGACCGCAGGCAGATGCGAGGATGCTAAAAATGTGTCCAGAAGGCGGAAGAAGCGAGAGCGATGCCTCGAGTGTAGGATGTCCGCATCCAGCAGGGAGTACAGCTTGGGGTAGAACAGGGGATAGTCGAGATTTCGCTCCTGGATTAGATAGAAGACTCCTGACAATGCAAGGAGGGATGTTGAACCGCCAGCGTTGTAAGAATCTGTGAGGAAGTCCATCAGGAGCTCGGGTTTGCTAAACCACGGTGATATCGAGACAGTCATCACTTCTAGTGCCTTCTTCCGTTGATCCTTGGTCAGTCCCAGCCTCATCAGCGCAAGCCACGCCTCTTGCGCCTGTTTCTTGTGTTGCGATAACAAGAAGAGCGGATGGCTCTTCGCGTTGGGCCGGTCGACGTAGAAATCCTCAAGGTCCTTGTTCGAGCCAGGTACCCCGTCAATTGAAGTAAGAAGGCCGAACACGTTATCCAAGGTCTGCTCTGAGGTTTCGGAAGCTGGGCGTGTGAGAATGTCCCTTGATGATGGTCAGCACCTTGCCAGAACAGCGAGAGCAACAAAACGAGGGCCTACCTGATGGACTTGAATGTGTAGAACCGGATATCGTCGTACTCATTGACGAATTTCCCTAGGAACTCTTCCCTCACACTGCCATCCACCCCGGGTTGTACGAGGGCGGCCACAATCTCGGTGAAGAATGCTCTTGGGAAGCTGTACTCGGCGTTGCTGTGCAAGTGTTCGGCTTCCGCTTTCAGGATCCTCATGGAAAGAGTTAAAGCCGTAAGCGCTAATTCGTCACGCTTAATCATTGATATGAGGCTCTCCTGGTACTCCCCCAGCCGCTCTCGAAGCCACCGCACAATCGTCTCGTCCTTCTCGGAGGCATCCTTCGTCCTAGACAGGTTTCCCGATGCGAGGAGACGGATGAAGATCCTGCAGAGCGACACCGCAGCAACCATAGCAGCCTCGGCGCCATCATCTTGTTTCCGTGAAATCCCAATCAAGGTGGTGATGTTGTTGTAGTTCTTCCTCGACTCCAAGATGCCCTGTTCTAGGAGCAGGATCCGCGATTGCTCGTCATCGTGGCCGCCGCTGCCGCTGCTGCTGTTGCTGTCCGACCGTGGGCGTTTCTGGGCGGGCTCCGATTTTCCCTTCCGCTTCCTCTTCAACGCGGTCTCTGTAGTTCCCGGCATTTCAAAAGATGTGCAAATCGTTGGCGAATTGCCTTGTCCTTCGTCGTGCAGCAGGTCGATTTCCAAATTCGATGGTGGGGCTTACATGGAAATTTCATCGGGAGTCGCAAAAGTCTGGTTCCGACCCATTCACAGCAACGCCACGTGACCGTCTAACCGAACTGCCGCGTTAAAACCTCTCAACCTCCTTCCGAAGCATTACGGGAACAATCAAGAAGTCAATAGTCCATCTCCTGTCATCCCACAATGGCGTCCCGTTTGGCAAGAAGCGCTGTCGGTGAGTCTCAGCCGCTCATAGAAGGCGCGCCGCGCTCAATTGGACACTCAATTGACTAACCTCGATCCGCAGGGGCTGCCCGTCTCCGGCCATCCGTTGCTCCCCGAGCCCTCCCCGCAATCACCTCTCTGACGACGGCCCGCCAGTCGTCGAATGTGCCGACCCAGGACCCCAAGTCCAAGGCCCAATCCATCATCGATTCCCTGCCCGGCAGCAACCTGATCTCGAAGACGGCCATCCTCTCGTCCGCGGCCGGTCTGTCGGTCTACGCCCTCAGCAACGAGTACTATGTCGTCAACGAGGAGACCGTCGTCGCTTTCTGCCTGCTCAGCGTCTGGGGCGCCCTCATCAAGTACGGCGGCCCGACCTACAAGCAGTGGGCCGAGGGCCAGAACGAGAAGATCAAGGGCATCCTGAACGCCGCTCGCGTCGACCATACCCAGGCCGTCAAGAACCGGATCGGCAACGTCGAGCAGATGTCGGGCGTCATCGACGTCACCAAGACCCTTTTCGAGGTCTCCAAGGTAAGCGGCCAGCCCATGGAAAATTGATTTCTGGGGAGTCTCTCGCTCCTACGCCTACGCCTATGCCACCTGGGAAGAATCGAAGATACTGACGGGACGTTTTGCAGGAAACCGCAAGGCTCGAGGCCCAGGCTTACGAGCTCGAGCAGAAGACTGCGCTGGCCGCGGAGGCCAAGGCTGTCCTGGATTCGTGGGTCCGGTACGAGGGCCAGGTGAAGCAGCGACAGCAGAAGGAGCTGGCCGACAACGTTATGGCCAAGGTGCGGAAGGAGTTGGAGAGCCCCAAGATCCTGCAGCAGATTCTCCAGCAGAGCATCGCCGATGTCGAGAGTAAGCGCGCCCTCCCACCTCTGCTACGTCCTGGCTTGCCAGAAACTGACTCGGTGCTAACATATATGTGTCTCTCTAGGAATCGTCTCTTCCAAGGCGCAATAAACATGCTGTCTAGACACATTAGAGAGCGATTTCCTTTGTACTAGTGTTCATACACGCCCTGTGCAATAGCCAATTCAAGATTTAAAGTCACTCTAAAACTCGCTTTCCCTCATGATCTCGTCTGTGTCTGGCTACTACCTACGCTCGAGTTTGCCTATATCTTGTGACGCTTAAGTTTTATCACAGCGAAGGGTAGAGAGGAGTGTGGATTGACGAGACGAAAACAGAAGATTATATTGACCGAAAAGGGAAAACATAAAAATTGCTTAACAGTACACTAAATCTATGTGTGGGATCCCCTCGGGATCAGTGCGACCATGGCCGAGCCTCGTACTGCGCATTATCCTCTGGCCTCCCCTCCACCGGAATCTCGACCTCGTTCGGATTCAGGTACCAGGACGCATCGCCAGTGGTCTGGGTAGTGCTCCAGCCATTGCCCAGCCAGCGCAACCTGTTCGGGCTGGGGTCGGCGCTCTCGTAGACGTAGTCCTCCCAGCGCGGCGACCGCAGGGCCTCGAGGGCGTGCAGGGTGGAGCCGGGCCACAGGCCGATGATGCGGTCGCCGTTGCCGCCGTCGGAGCGGTACCACGACTTGCACTCCTCGGTGTAGACCGTGCTCTTGAAGTACTCGAGGATGTAGTCGCTGAAGTCGGCGACGCGCTCGGGCCGCGGCTCGATGGTGGCGTAGTCCTCCTTCTGCATCTTGCGGATCACCTTGACGATGTAGTCGATCTCGCCCTCGAACATCTTGGTCAGGCTGCCGAAGCCGATGGCAGAGTTGGGGCCGAACATCATCAGGTAGTTGGGGAACCCGTCCACGGCCACCGACAGGTAACTCTCCGGGTACCGGGCCCAGCGGTCGGCCAGCGTCAGGCCGTCGCGGCCCACGACCTCGAAGTTGGGCGGCGCAGACACCCGGAACCCTGTGGCGCAGGCGAGCACGTCGAGCTCGATCTCGCGGCCCGAGGCCAGCCGGACGCCCGTCTCGGTCACCTCGACGACGCGGTCGACGACCACCTCGACGTTGGGCTCCGTCAGGGCCTCGAGAAAGCCCATCCCGGGCGTCAGGCGCCGGCAGCCCGGGGAGAAGCTGGGGATGATGGTCTTGAGCAGTTCGGGCTTCTTGCCCGCCAGCTTGGCCGTCATCGAGGCCCGGAAGCTCTCGACGAACTCGCGCTGCATCGCCGTGCCGCGCATCGTCGAGTCGTGGATCGAGTTGCCGTCGTTCTCAATCACCTTGCGCGTCTTGAGGTACGCCTCCGGGTCGCGCGCAAACAACTCCTGCTGCTGCTCCGAGACTGTTTCCCCGCCCGCCGTGTGAGCATGGTCCTCCCTTGGAGACACAAAATATGTAGAGAAGGGTTTCCTTACAGCTTGTCACCTTCGGGTCCAGGCCCATCTTCTTCATCGAGTTGTCACCGAACGCGGGGGAGATCCAGGTCGGCGAGCGCATGAAGCACGTCACCGAGATGCCCTCGATCTTCTGCAGATTCGGGATGATCTGGATCGCGCTCGAGCCGTTCCCGATGACGCCGACCCTCTTGTTTCGGTAGTCATAACTTTTGATTTTGTCGTTAGCGACCAGATCCTCCTAAGGCCAGGGGGAATACTGGTTTTTTTTTGGGGGGGGCGGGTTGAGCCTACTCGTCGTCCCACTCGGCGGAATGGAGCAGTTTCCCCTTGAACTTGTCCAGACCCGGGACATCGGGCCAGTTGACCTCGTTCAGCTGGCCGCGGGCGGGGACCAGGATGTCGGCCGTGTCCTCAAATTTCTCACCCGTCACGGTGTTGACGACTGAGATCTTCCTGTGATCCTGTCAATATCGCTATTCCTGCGTTGTGGAAGAGCAGCAGAGTGGGCGAACCATTTCTTCTCGCTGGCAATCCATTCGCATCTCTCGACCTTGTGCGAGGTCTTGATGAACCTTGTCGCACCAAATCGATCAGCTACACCTTGCAGATACTGCTGGATCTCGCGTCCTGGGGCGTAGAGGTTGCTCCAGCGCGGGTTGGGCGCAAAGGTGTATTGGTACGAGTGTGCTTTCTTCTCGTCAGCACCCGTTTTTCATTTTTGCGAGTTGGAGAAACTGAGACTTACATGGAATATCGCAAGCAAGACCTTGGAGGCGCTGCAATTAGCCAGTGTTCTGTTATGTCTCTCGGATAATCTAGCCCTCACCTGGATAGCGATTTAACCACCTGTATGAGAGTCAGTCCTAAGATCTTCGTCCTCTGGGGGCGGAGGGCGGGTGTTGCCACTCGGAGGATGAATAACATACCAGACACCACCGACTTTCTCATTCTTCTCATATACGACGAGGTCAATGTTCCGCAGTTTTTCGGGTATCCTTTTAACCCCAAGTTAGACACGCCTCTCTTCTTCGTCCTCTTCCTCTCGCATACCTGATAGCTGCGAGGATGCCAGAGAAGCCCGCCCCGATGACCACCACCTTCAGAGGCCTTTGGTTCTCAATGGGCACATCCTTCACCTTGAATTCGCTGGTCTGACCGTTTACCACCGTCATTTTTTCTTTCTTTCTGGTTTTTACTTCTCCTCCTTGTCTTCAATAACTTCTTCTTCCGTTTCCTTCAGAAATAAGACTTGGTATCGGCTGGACGTAAAGGCAGGCGGGACAGATCAGGACAGAACAGAACAGGAGCATATGAATATGTAACAAGTTGACCAAACGTACGATGTAGTTAATTATAATACAAACAGAACCAGTCCTTTCTCCCCCCCCCCCCCCAACCCATCCGGCACTCAACCCCAAGCGACTCCTCCCCATTATGTCCGATGGAATCACCCGGTGTCAGAGCCCCTCGGCCGATGTCAGGTCCTAGTGCCGCTTTCTAATACCTTACCACCCCCCATCTAGCCTTCCTCCAACAAGCACTCGCCTAATCCCCAGGGGGTAAGGACCCCGCCCATCACCAGGACTGGTCAGTGGTCGCTCCCAAGAGCGTCTCCAAGGAGGGTCCACAGAGGGTATTGCGGAATGCGTGGGTCTCGACTCCAGTTCCGCATGACTGGCTGTGTGCGGAGTGTGGAGGAAGAGCGGGGGAAAGAGGGGGGAGGGGAAGATAGCCGGGACAGGTGGGTCAGCGGCGCGGCATCGCCAAGTTTGTTTGGGGACGGCATATCAATAGTGGCGACAGGACTGCCGGACTATTGAATTTCCAGGGGAAAAGCTGGTGTCACAAGCTCTATGATGGGGCCGACCTTCGGGATCCGGAGCGTCGGGATATCAGTTCGGACGGGAAGATCCATATTTGTGAATTTCTTTTCCATTTTTTTCTTTCAACGTCCAGTTCCTGTCTATCCGGGATACTGGCATCATCGTGTCTACAAGAATGAGGGAACAAATGACTCTCCAACACAGGATGCATACCCTTGCATCGATCCATAGCCAATTCAATCCATTTCGGACAATGCGCCGGACTCCTTGCCATGTCCCAATGCGTCTATTCTTTTCAATGCGAATAATGCAGCGAAAGCATGAGAAGCAAATTGCGGGGGGTATCCATCAGTTAAGGAAGGGATAGGAAACTGGTGATAGGAGAGGCGGAATGACATCACAGCTGGATGAAGTCCTTCTGTTCCGAGAAGTCGAAGTCATCATCTTGACCGATGAACTCCTCAACCTCGTCAGAGTCCACGTCGTGGCTGTCAACCGAGTCTCCATCCTCGTCGCTCGAGAGGTCCTCCATCTCGGCGTCATCACTCTGGTTGTCGCGAGCAGTGTTCTTGCGCAGGACGCTTGCCCTCTCTCGGTGCAGGAGCTTACAGCCCTTGGTCTTACAGACACCGGTGTTGCTGAAGTCAGGACACTCGAGGGAATGGCGCTCAGGGCACTCTGCGCCTTTCTCGCAATAACCGTAGACACCAAAGGGTCGACATACCAGAGCTCCTGGAGCTAATTTGACGTGCGCATATCTGCAGTTCGGGTTGGTGCAGTGATCCTTGGCAAAATGCAAGCACGTCGGGGTGCGCTGAGGCGTCAGCTCGTGCGACAGGTCGCAGCCATCTCCATTCATGCACTCGCCTTTCTGCAGGAAGTCCTTGCAGATGGCAACCTTGGACGGGTCGTGGATATAGCGGCATCGCGGGCCCTTGGGGCAGGAACCTAGAATCGACGTGTGGTTAGTAGCTGCCCGCATACATACCGTGTTCCGGGCACAGTCGTAGCCGCTCGGGATTCGTGATTGGAGGGAGATACCGGTCGTGGAGAACGCCTTGCAAGGTACGTTGACTTTCTTGACGATGCCAGATCGTCTTGGGTTCCTATAAGTCAGCGGCCGAATATCGCCATGTCGGGAGACATACCGCTGAGCCTTGATAATTCCGTGGCGATACAAGTTCCCGTTTTTGCTTCGATAGAACTTGACGCCGCCGATTACGGCCATCTTCGGGGTAGCCTTGGCCGAGTTGTTGTCGCCTATTCGAGAGCATTAGGCGCGTCATGACATCAAGTAGCGCTGTTTGCAAATTTGCCTGGTGGTTACATACCTGGAGCTTTGACAAGCTTGCTGCCGTTTTTGGCCACAAGGAACTGAATTCCCTGGACCGAAATCTCGTAGTTGTTCGCAGACCCTTGAGGATTAGTGCTCCCACCGCCATTTCCCATTCCGTTCATGTGGTTCTGGCTCATGTGCTTGAACAGCTTTGATCGCTCCATGTGGTCTTTTACGGCGAGCTTGTGTCGGCGCGTTTGCTCGATGGCCCGTGTGCGAGTCTGAGCATCCTTCTCATATATCGATGAGTTGATGAGTTGGCGATGGCGGTCATTCTTGGTGACCCATGACGAGTTGGAAGCATCCGACGCAGTACCAGAGTCCTTGTCGTTGCTTTTGTTGTTCGGTTGATTGGCACCTTTGAGAACTAAAGACCTGTGTCGGTGAGAGGGCAGACCCGCACCACGATATCCTCCTCGCGCAGTATGGGGACCACCACGACGCCAGATATTGGTTCCACGTCCGGAGTCTTGAGGGCGGTCAATTTCGATGCCGAGTGAGTTATCGTGAGATGTAGACATACGGTGCTGTGCCGAGTGATGATGGCTGGTCGAAGGTGCCAGGCCCGTCTGCTGGTTCTTATGGCGATTGATTTGACCTACGAGGCACCCATTTGTCAGCTCTGCCACACGAGTTGAGACGCAGTGATACTCACCAGCCAGTTGGCTGATCCTCGCCATCATTTCCTGATCCTCCGCAGACATCCTTGCTAATGCTAATGTGCTTGTACTCAAGACACTTGTCAGATAAAAAAAACAGGGTGCGGGAGAATGAGTTATGTAAGGGAAAGGGAGGGAGGGAAGGGATGGGATGGGAAGAGATGGGAGGTGCAATAAGGATGGGAATTCAAATGCGCTTCAAATTTGGGTTGCTGAAGGTCAGCGGTTGATTGCGCAGGCAGGTAGCTTCCAAGAAAAGAAGGCTTGGTTTGTGAGGTGAGATGGTAAGGCGATACGCCGCCAAACTAGGATCCGAAGGCAGCCAATCAGAAGCAAAGTTTGCCACCTTGGAATAAAGAACTAGGTGGGGCCCCTGCAACTTGGATAGCCGCATCACGTTCTGTAATATTGATGCATCTCCCTCATTGTCACCCAGTCACAATATCTGGAGGCACCAATTGAAAACCTCTTTCTTCCAGCACCTACAGACCGGAGAACCTCCAATTTTGCTGCTGTTTCTCTCACATACTCACTCCTCTTTCAGATATCGCCATGGCGGAACAGCCACACATTAAGCCCGATCCTGAGGGCGGATCGCCCCTCGTGGAAGACGACTTTGACGATGCTGGAGACCTGGAATTCTACGACCAATCCGTCCCGGGCGATCCCATGGGCACCATGTACTTGGCTCGCTTGCCCAACTATGTATGGCAAGCATGGGCAGATCTCGACGATGATGCCGAGATCCAACTCGGAACCATCCGCCAGTGGGACGAGGTCGATGGGAACGGGGCGTCGCATGTGAGCATTCCCAGTTTGGATATGGATTGTGTCGGCCACGGCTAACGAACCCTTCTTCTTCAGCCAAAGCTACAGCTCCTTCTCAAGTCAGATATTGCCCAGCATCAGCACATCCCGAAAGAGTACAACATGGACATCTCTGATCCAAACGTCTACAACACTTTCGTCTTCACGGAACAGGATCTACCCGGATACGCTGCGAAGAACAAGGCGAAGGCAGATGCTCTAGCTCGGGGCATCCCTGCGCATCTCCTGCGCGACAAGAACCCAAAGCCACCACCGCCTGGTGGTCCTCAGCCGTTTGAGCGCGGAAAGAGGGGCCCTCCACAGTACCGACGCGGGATTCCGAGTTAGTTTATTGTCTGTCTGTCCTCATTGCGAGAGGCTTTCTGACTTGTTCTCAGAGAAAACTACCATCGGCGGCAGGATTAAGCACGAGATAAGCTGTACACCTGTGCCGAACGCGGAAACCGATCACATCCTTCAACTGCGGGCCATAGAGGCGATGAAACCGAAGGCCCAAACCACGATCCTGGGCGCTTTGCCGTATGGCCCCGACGGCATCATTTATGCCGGTACACAGCGTGCCCACGACGCATTTGAGGGCTTCATCGTACGTGCCATTTTCGGGGTTGCGGTTGCCCTTACATGGACTAACAGAGCCGCAGAAAACCGCGCCCAAACCTGATAAGGCCAAGAAGATGGAGAACAAGACGGCCAGATGGGAGGAGCAGAGGCTTCTGGATGCTCTCGAGGTTGCCTTCTCCGAGTACACATACTGGTCTATGAAAGCGCTTCGTGCAAAGATCCCCCAGCCCGAGGCGTTTCTTCGTGAGACCCTGGATAGGTTTGCTGTTTTGCACCGGAGCGGTCGCTTCGCAAACCAGTGGTCTGTCAAGCCCGAGTTCCTCCACCTTATAGAGAAACGCGGCAAGGGATTGCCAGCGGCAGACACGGCAGCACCAGGCGGTGAAGCAGAGGCGGGCCCGTCCGACGTGGACGCTGGGGAAGATGAGGATCTCAAGATGGAGGATGTTCTCTGATTTGTCGTCATCGAATTACATTTTAATTCCGGGTTTGCGTGGGAGGCGGCGTTTTTGCTTCTTGGGCGTTGTGGCAAGGAAGGCGTTAGTTCTGCTTCAGGCTGCATGTAATATCTCCTCAGAGGATACAGACTACGATACCCTTTGCATCCCAGGGAAACGCACGAATTCATCAAATCAGCGCTTCAAGGTTTTGTTGTATAAACATCAACTATCTAGATGTGATCTGCTCAAGAGTGACGTACTGTACCTCATCAGCTCACTTACAATGTGTGATGACTTTAATATTTTTCTCGAGTCAATCAACTTGTTAGCCCCTTAACTGTTGGAGTCAAAAGTCGGCCATTTAAGGATTCTATCAACTGCCTACCACACCTGACTTGACAAAACTCGCGGGACCCACAACAATGGACATCGTACTCGATTTCGACGGCACAATCACAAGGCACGACACCATCGCCACCCTCGCCGCGCACGCCATCTCCAAGAACGGCGGCGCGGCGGCCGCAGCAGACTGGGACCATATCATCAAGGCATACACCCTCGACCACGCGAGATACGTGGCCGGATACTCACCCGCCGCCGCCGAAAGGACGACCCCGGCCCAGGAACTCGCCTTCCTCAACGGCCTCCGCGCCCTCGAGCAGGCCTCCCTCGACAGAGTCTCGGACTCGGGCCTCTTCCGCGACCTGGCGCCCGACGACCTCGCGCGGCTCGGCGAGTGCGCCGCCGTCCGCGATGGCGGCGGCCGGGTCGAGATTCGCCGAGGGTTCGCCGAGCTGCGCGACGGGCTCTCGCGGCGGGGGCGCATCGCCGTCGTGTCGGCTAACTGGTCTGCCGACTTCATCCGCGGCTGCTGCGGTGGCGGCGGCGGGCTGGACGTCGTCGCCGCCAACTTGGTCGAGTTCCCGACGGGGAGGGTCCGCGGCGTCGTGCCTGGCGGAGACGGGGAGCTGGTGCTCACGGCGCGGGATAAGTACCGGGCTCTGGAGGCGGTGGTGAGGCGGTGGGGTAGGAGGCCTGGGGAGGTGGTCTATGTGGGGGACTCTGGTACCGATCTGGAGTGCCTGCTTGCGTGTAGGGGTATTGTCATTGCTGATGACGGGGAGGGGACCCTGTTGGAGACGCTCAGGAGGCTGGGGTTCGAGGTAAGGCATGTTGCTGAGTGTGGGACGGACTTCAGGCTTGCCTGGGCGAAGGACTTTAAAGAGATTCTGGACAGTGGGATCTTAGGTGGCCCGGTTGCAACAGTGGCTCCCGAAGGGATGGACTGATTCGGTGTCAAAGACGGGTGTTTTCCTTTCCGTCTTGGGTTGAAGCTACATCAGTTGCTCCTCGGTGGTCTTTGTTCTTATGGTGGTCAAGCTGCCCTTTGGCCCACTGAAGACAAAGGGCACACACAGTTCCTGGGCCAATGAATTAGTCGGTCCATTGCGGACGCCTGTGCAATTAACATCAAAGAAGCTCTATACAAGAGCTGCCTTGCGAGGTTATACGACCGCGCGCGGCTTAAGAGTTGTAGCTAGTTTATAGATATCCAATACAGCTGGTCCATCCGCCGTAGATAGGAGCGACTTTGCAGTTCCGTGGCCCGTATCAACCACTACAGCAAGTCATTTATCTACTGGATACGAGAAGCTAGCTGGCACCGACTCTTCACGCCACCAAGTCTACCGAGTCAGCCCTCCGCATGTGCTACCACCGCAGGCTCCTCTACGGAGCATGCAACCACTCCGCCTGGCTCGCAAAGGCACAGTCCTGCGAGACCGAGAAGGCTTTCGAAGCCGGAAGCAACGCCGTGGGGTGCAGTTGGATGTTTGCGCATCCCCTGACCACTACGCGGGTCGACAGGCTATGTCCCAAGTGCGTCAGAATGAGGGCCTGGTCGGACGCCATGATCGGGAAGATCAGGACTCTACTGAGGACGTTGCAGGAGGATGTGGCCCGGAGGCTGGGCGCCAGCGACGGCCGGGGGGACGAGACGGATGGGGAGGCGTCTAAGCTCGATTCCCGGGATCTTTCTGGGATGGCAGCTGAACTGGCCTCCTGGATAGCGACGCCGGATACAACTGAGTTACCGCCCTTGGCCCCATCGGCTCGCGACGAAGAGACTCCAGGAAGGATTGTGGTAAGCCAATTCCACTCTGTGTAATCCCACGGTTCTTGATGGTCTTGCGCCACGACAGCCATTGCAAGAGGAGGAAAGAAAAACATAATATTCTTTGAGGCATGCTATGGAATATGCGTTCCCAAGACTAGTTGGCGGCCATGCTAATGTGACATGTAAGAGAAATGAGCTCTGCGTTGCTGGGATTTGTTTGACTTCCTCGATGGACACTCGGAGGCCAGACTTAGCAGCACCTTTCTGAGTGCTCCGTGGGCTGTGGAAAGTGCGTGAGCTGCCTATTATTACCTGGGTAAACTCGTCTTGGTACAGTACATCTTACTTGTGGTGACCGTCTGGAATAAGGACAAACATATGGAAGTTGAGAAATTGAAGTTGGAAGTCCACCTATACAGTGTATGCACAGTGCCAGGTACCAGGGGATGAGTAGTGATAGTCCGTGCATCCTGCCTTTGCGTACGGTACGGATCTCGCCCATGTGAATGTGCACCAAGCTTGAACATCTAACAACAGTCCCTCGCCCCATCAACGGCGACCCAAACCACATTCCAATCTTCAAGTCGTCAGCCCACGATGCCATGGAGTCTGTGGTCGTCACCCCCGCCGTCTGGCCCAGGCAGCAACGATAACCACAGCTCTTCAAAATCCAATGGCACCTCCACCGCGCCGTCTCCGGCTCGGGAAGAGCCCCTCCTCCCACCAGCGACGTCCGAGAGTGTCAAGAAGAGGGCCGTCTCGTGGAACGAGTCCCTCAACGCCACGGACTGGGCGCACTTTGCGGAGCCGCGCAACTGGGTGCCGACGCTGCTCGTGACGGCCACGGCACTGGGCGCCCTGCAGTTCTACCGATCCTACCTGCGCCGCATACCGGGGACGAACTATATCATGCCGGGCTTCTTCCGCAAGCGCAGCCTGCTGGGCCGGGTCACGAGCGTCGGCGACGGGGACAACTTCCACCTGTTTCACACCCCCGGGGGGAGGCTGGCCGGGTGGGGGTGGTTGAGGAAGGTCCCCAAGGACAGGAAGGAGGTACGGGGACGGACGGTACGCTCTTTCTTTTCGTTTGGGCATTTGATGGAGATACATCCTACGTTTCTCTTTGACTCTTGCCAATCTACCATTGGGGCAATCTAGTTTCTGTCACCAAGTACATGGACTAACTCACGATCCCCACTACAGATCCCCGTCCGCATAGCCGGCATCGACGCCCCTGAGGGCGCGCACTTCGGGCGGCCGGGGCAGCCGCACGCGGCGGAGGCGCTGGCGTTCCTACGGGAGTACATACAGGGGCGGCGAGTGCGGGCGTACCTCCACCGGCGCGACCAGTACGACCGGGTAGTGGCGACGGTGCTGGTGCGGCGGCCGCCGCTGTTCGTGCCGCGGCGCGACGTCGGGCTGGAGATGCTGCGGCGCGGGCTGGCGACGACGTACGAGGCCAAGACGGGCGCCGAGTTCGGCGGCCCGGCCAGCGAGAGGCGATACAGGGCCGCCGAGGAGGAGGCCAGGAGGAAAGGGAGGGGCTTGTGGGCGGCCGAGAAGGGCGGCGGCTTGTTTGGCCTGGGGAAGAAGAAGGAGGTCGAGAGCCCGAGGATGTTCAAGGACCGGATGAAGGCTACGGAGAAGAACGGCTGAGAGAGAGCGACCTCGACCGTTGGTCGGGCCGGAGCTCGGCTGCCCTGCTACTTACAGACCTACGGACATAGACATGGGCTGTAATGTAAGATCTACGACGTGCATGAAACATGTCAAAATTGTTTGTCAATTGATACCCATACGATCATAACATATCGTATCAATGGCGCCAAGCCAGCGCTGTTTAAGCGGCCGTATCTGGCAAATCGCCAACGGAACTAATCCATGGGACTGAGACGGGCTCATCATTAGGGGGTCTACGAGACAAATCCCATGGACGCGTACTTAAGAGCCTAGTACGGGTCTCGATGCTTAGCAGATCCAACCAGGCACAACTCAAGGTCTGCTGCCGATCCGTGGTTGTTGATAGCGTATTTCAAGCTTAAAGCAGGCCAGCCACGCGATTTCCCCTCCTACTCCCCCTGTCGCTGTTTATAGAAACCTCAATCCCAGCAGCAGGCGCTTTATGGTTCCTCTCAGCGGCTTGAGACGCTTCTCACTCGCTGAAGAGTTCGAAATATGTTTCGCATGAACCAATCCTAATGCCTGGGCGACGTGATCCAACTCGAACCACAGAACCAACGGTCTTGATCAGCGGTTGGGGAGGACATCGTGGGAGGCGAACGTGGGAAAGGGAATACAGATTGTCGCATGGCCTGGTTGAGGATCAGAAACGGAACGGCGAAAATCTTTCGAGGATTTGGGGCCCCCCGGTTCCTGGTACTCGGCTGGTCTGCGTGATGGCATGAAGGTGGGCGAGCTTTGCCTCAATACTGGATCGGCGGACGGGACCTGCCCACTCTCGGATACTAGGGTTCTATTTTTGACGATGCGATGCTCACTGGGGCTACAGGGCTGAACACATGGAGTGAGGTTGCTCTGGGTCTAGAGCACAGTTGACGTCAATTGGCATGGGAAGGAGATTGGATGGTTTGGAATTGTTGGATGGAGGAGCGTCATGGTTTATTTGCTCGACATGGAATCCCCGCATTTTGGACATAGAGAAACAGCGGCGTCGTTTGGTTTATTGCTGGGCAAATGACAAGCTAGCAATCATGCGATTTACTTGCTGCTCCCAGGACAGGACCCGACAAGCCAATCCACGGTACAGTTGCCATGTGCCGTGCAATAGGTATATCTCATTATATCTACCATCTAGCATAGTACGACGAACTACCTACTGGATCCAATGATCTCACGGTTTCCTGGTTCGTCCATGCCGTTGGACCTTAGCCGTACGAATAGACAGCGATAGTAAGGAAAACCAGGGATGGCGGTGAATCGTGATGTGCCCCGACCGGTGGATTCCATATTCCGTCCATGTAAGGAGGAGCGTGTGGCTGGGCCCCTTGTCTGCGACACCCAATCGTGTCAACCAGGAGGGTCAACCCCGTTTTTTTTCCGTTGCAGCGCCCCTGACTCCCACATGTTGCCGCTGCTGCGTGCAGCAACAGAGAATTCCAAGGCATTCCGTCTCGTTCGTTGTTTGTTTCCGTTCTTTTCTTTCTTTCCTTCTCGAAGCCGAAGGAGAGAATATAGCGAGAGAGAGAAGGAGAGGAAAGTTTACTTCTCGGTATTACCAAAACTATTGTCGCTCTTTTAGAAACCCGCAATCGTCAAGCTCAAACCCAGGTCCTTCGACATCTTTCTGACGCACTTGTCCGCCGCCCCGGCTCCTTTCTTTTCGTGGTCCCGATTGCTGTCATTCGTTTTGCTCCAATCACTGGTAGGTACACAGCCCCTGATCTGACCCTCCCTGAGTGCGATCAGGACGTTTCTCTGACAATGTGCACCCAAACCAGAAAATCCTGGAATTGCTGGTCTTCAATTGCGTAGAATCGCAGTCGAAAACCCGTTTCGCAGAGGATACCGATACCGATACCACCACACTCGTTTGATATTGCCCCCCACTAAGCCGACCAAGCCGACCGGGCAGTCAGTTTTCGAGGTGACGCAATTCAGTTTGCCGGAGTTGCAGGAGGATAGCAACTGTCCCGAGACGACAACCGACACCTTGCCGTTACCAAAAGGTTCTCCGAGAGCCAGTGGTTCGAGATTTTAGATCACATTCATTCGTTCGAAACCAAGACTTCCCGGGGGAGGCAAACCTAATCTATCTGGGAGGGCTTCTCGAATCGTGCCAGTTTAACAAGCAGACCACGTGCAATCCCAAGCATTCCAGGAGCCGCCGGAAGGTCAACCAAATTCGGCCAACTGCGCCCACCCAGCGGAACTGACAAGAGCATAACACAATTTGTGCCGCCCTATAGCTGAAGTCGCATTTGCGAGCGCTTGGAACCAAGGTATGCTGAAGACCGTTTTATCTGGCTCGTTAAGCGTGTGAGCTCGTCCGCCTCTCCGCCTCTCCACGCTCACACCTGTCTATTTGCGCTTAACCGAAGTCGGCTTAGCGGCTCTCAGACAAACGAGGTTGCGTCCCGCGTCCACGACTAACCGCGAGTGCACAGTAATCAAACTCAATCGAGTGCACCCAGAAACCTGCCACGCTCCAGCCAACCTGCGAATCCTTGGTTCCAACTATTTACATCAACCCAACAAACCCGCCTCTCCACCGCCGTCTCGCCGTCTCAACGATCCGCCGATAATCCTCTAATTCCACTTCGCACATTCGTTCAACGCTAAATCGCGACTTTCAATTCCACCGACCCCGCCCGCGGCGGAGATCATTCGTGGAACGTATACGTCTCACAAACCCGACAACTTTGCCTCACCACGCGATTTCGTCTCTCACTCACTTACTCACTCACCTCGCACAACTCTCAGAACAGCAAGCGGGCTCCTTGCCATGGCACGACTCTCCTAGACCCTGATCATGACTCAAATGAAGAGATGAGCATGCCCGCCACCTGATTCTGTTCTCCCAACTACAACAACTCCATATTCGAGCCTCTGATTTGCTCGAATAAATAGGCGCCATTACTTCGGCAGTGCGCCATGAAGTTACCCTTTTGTCGGCGCCATGATGCGCGCGGACGTCCGCTCTCTTTTACCTCTTCCTTTTTCGCCATATCCTCGCTCTTGTCGCTCTCGGCAAGTGCGATTACATTCAAACCCGCCCCGCCGGCGAACCTCGACCTCAGCCAGCTCGGCCGGGTAACACTGATTGGGGACTTTTCCGGAGTCTCTCTCTTCGAATTCGAGGAGCAGAATGAGAGACCGTCGGGCAATAATGGCAGCCAGTCATTGCTGGCGCGGTTACCCAATAGGGTCCTCGCACCAGTCGTCAAGACAGATGCGTCCATCCAAACGATGTGCGCCTACACCCTGAAAAATGGATCTGTGGCCGGAGTGGTACTGGGAGGAAACTTCACAAGTCTCGGCGATTTGCAGTCCACCGCCATCGCGTTATTTAACCCCAACACGTCGGAAATAACGCCACTATCCGGACTCTCAGGCCAGGTCAACGCCGTCCTCTGCGATCAGAATAGCGGGACGGTCTACGTGGGAGGGAACTTTGCCGGTGCGAACTCGACGAACGCCATCGCGTGGGTCGAGTCCGAAGGCTTCAGGAACCTGCCTTTCGCGGGGTTTAATGGACCTGTCACGTCCATCACCAAAGCGGCCAACGGTCACATCATCTTCGGGGGGAGCTTTACTGGACTCGGGAACGCGAGCACACCTAGCCAACCGGACGGCCAAGTCATCAATCTTTCCACGGCGAAAATCACCGCCGGATCCTCCACGACTGCGGGAGGATTCAGTGATCCGAAGAACATCGTCTGCAAAACCAGCGGTGCAGACGGTGCGGGGAACACATGGCTGCTCCAGGACCAGACGCCCGGGTTCTGGCAAGCTTCATTCAACTTCGGGTTCCAACCCACCAAACTGAGGCTGTGGAACACGCATCAGGATGGCCGGGGGACGAAGACGTGGCGGTTCACCGCCCTTCCCATCAACGGCATCTTGAACTTCACGTATATCGATCTGGCAACGGGAGGGAATGCGTCGTGCACCAACGAATGCCCCTTGAGCGACGACCCATCAAAACCGTTCCAGGACTTCCACTTTGTCAACTCTATCGGCATGAACGCGTTCCGGCTCGATATCTCGGCCTTCTACGGCAACGGGGGAGGATTGGACGGCATCGAGCTATTCGGTGACGACATCTTCGCATATGCCATCAACGACTTCAACGAGCCCGCTTGTGCCGGTCTCGAGTTTCCCTCCACAGCAACGGCGACGGGCCCTTGGGTCGTGAGTCCGTCGCAGTCGAGCACCTCCGAGTACCTGTCTGCCGATCTCTCGAGTCCCATCACTGAATCGTCGGCGTCCATCGTCTTCTCCCCCGATATCAGGGAGTCTGGCCATTATTCCGTGAATCTGTATACCCCTGGCTGTATCCAGGATAATACATGCTCATCTCGAGGGCAGTTTGTCATTTCGGGACAGATGACTGCTGACCCGACCAGGAGTGACGGTATAAACCAGACACTGTTCCAGACGAACAACTTCGATAAATACGACCAGATCTACTTTGGCCAAATAGATGCGAGCTCTGGCAGCTTCCGGCCGACCGTCACAATGACACCTGTTGCCGGCCAGTCCCTCGACCGCATGACTTTCGTTGCCCAGAGGGTCGGTTTCACCCGGATCAACTCGACAGGCGGTCTGAACGGGTTATTCGAGTACGATCCCACTTCGACCGTTGTTAACACGAGCGACTTCTCCAGCTCTATCTTCAACAAGCTCGGGTCATCTTTCTCGGCGGGCTCGGCTGTCAACGCCCTCGCCACCTCTGGCGATGTCACGTTTGTTGGAGGCAACTTCACATCCACAACCACGAGAAATATCGTCGCTATCAACCCCAAGGATGCCTCGACCAAGTCTCTGGATGGAGGGCTAAACGGCGCGATACTCTCCATGTACCTCAATGGCACGAACCTATTCGTGGGCGGCATATTTAGCAGCAGCGAGGACGGCTCGACCCCGGGACTGAACAATGTCGCGGTCTATGATACGTCCAAGAATTCGTGGAGCCCACTCGGTTCCGGCGTGGATGGCAGAGTCCTACGAGTGGTTCCTCTCACCATGAACGTCACCAGCACCACTCCCGAGGTTGTCATCAGCGTTACGGGCGATTTTAAGGAACTGCGGGCATTCGATAAAAACCCGGATATTCCGGCTAACGGCTTTGGCATCTGGGTGCCATCTCAGAATAACTGGCTCAGGAACCTGGATCTACCGGTTGAGAGGATAGAAGGTATTCTCACATCCTCGATACTAGATATCCCCGGTGGAGACAGCCTATACGCCGGTTCCATTTCGTCCTCGTCCACCATCGGCGCCAATGGTGTCGTCACCTTGGGCAACACGCTCGGCCTTCTCCCCGTGCAAATCGAGGCTCCATCTGCCAGGACCAGCGGCCTGGGAAAACGCGATACTCTCTCCAACAGCACGCTGTCCGGCGTGGTCACTGGAGCGTTCGACCAGGACAACAACCGAAACGTGACGATCCTTGCTGGACATTTCACGGCGAAGGCAACCAATGGCTCCGAGGTCCGCAACCTCGTATTTATTGATGGCTCAGACAAGGACGCTGTTACTGGATTGGGGTCTGAGATCTCGGAGGATTCAGCTTTCGTTGCTATTGCTGTCCAAGGAGATGTCCTCTTCGCGGGGGGGAACGTCACTGGGACCGTCGACGGCTCGCAGGTCCATGGACTGATAGCCTACAATCTCGCCACCAAGACCTACAGCCCTCAGCCTCCGGCGCTCTCGGGTGGGAATGCGACCGTCTCCTCCATCGCTGTTCGACCTGGCACGGGTGACGTCTATGTCGGCGGCTCCTTCCTGACCGCAGGATCTCTTCCTTGTCCTGGTGTCTGCTACTTCAGCACGAACTCAGGCCAGTGGAAACAGCCCGGCCAGAACCTCGAAGGGACCGTTAATACTCTAATGTGGGCAAGCGACTCGAAGTTGCTCGCTGGCGGTAACCTCACCATCAACGATACTGCCTCCTCGTCCCTCGCGGTGTTTGATGTAAGCAAGCAGTCTTGGGACAGCTTTCCCGGTTCAAACCAACTGCCGGGACCGGTCGACATCCTTACTCCCGCGTCGAAGGACGGCAGTCGGGTTTGGGTCGCTGGGACGTCGTCGAATGGTTCGGTATACCTCATGAAATACGACGGATCCCAATGGAACTCGACAGGCCAGGCCCTTTTGCCCGGTACCAATATCCGCAGCCTCCAGATGTTCTCGCTCAAATCCTCCCACGACTCTTCTCCGCTTCTCGATTCCAAGCAGGCGCTCATGCTGACTGGTTCCATCGTCCTCCCCAATTTCGGAAGTGCATCGGCCGTCCTGTTCAATGGGGTCACTTTCGAACCATTTGCTCTCACGACCGGCGCCGGCAACGGCCTGGGCAGCATTGCGCACATATTCTCGGAGAAACAGAACTTCTTCACCTCCAAGAACGGCAACCTCCCACTGGTCTTCATTGTGCTGATCGGTCTCGGTATCTCGCTCGGCCTTATGCTGCTTCTTGTCGTCGCCGGCCTATTCCTCGACAGGCTGCGCAAGAAGCGCGAGGGCTATGTTCCAGCTCCGACTTCCATGTACGACCGGGGCAGTGGCATTCAAAGGATACCTCCCGAAGAGCTACTGGGAAATGTTGGCAGGACGAGACCAGGCGCACCACAAGTATGAGGAACGAGCTTAAGGGTTGATCGATGATTATCATTACATGACCTGCATGGCGAGCAACTTGGCGTTAACCTGAGGGTTTGGTTGATTCGATTTTCGACATCACAGAGATGGACACGCACAACTGGCTTCGCGGTCCGGCGTTTGGAAACTGCTTCTAACACCACCGAATCGCCGCCTGAGCTTGGTGCTGTTAGTATCTGCCGCCACTGTTCCTAGCCGTGATCGGAAGAACTCGTCTTTCAGACCATTTGAGTCTGGATAAGATGCCTGTCCGTCACTCTCACTACCGACGTCCCACGATATCCCCGCCCTCACCGGAGGAATCAAGCTCGACGAACGATAACAACCCAAGACGAGACGCGGTCAGATGAATGACCCCGGGGGGTTGTATTTGAAATATATCCCCGAGAGTTCGTTCTGTACTATTGCTACTTTTCTATTCCCTTTTTTTCGCTCAACTTTTACTTCTTTTTATTGGCGAAGTCTCATTACGATTTTACGACACCGTCACGTTAATGTTTAGCCTGTCTATTATACCATTCGTGCCGCCTGCCACTACCGCCCTTTGCAGCTTGCGCGCCGCCGGCGACCGACTCCCTAGGTCGCGACGGGGCAGCAGAGGGGGGGTTATGTCGGCACGGCACGGCACCTGTACACTATCTTCTTTCTCTTCATGCGGATACCAGAACACAAAAGGATTTAGACGAGCTGGATTTTCAGCCGGGGTTGGACCAGTCAGATCTTAGATATTGACGTGATTCGCTCTATGGGTTGGAGGGATGAGAGCCAAGTGCCTTGAATCTGGGGGAGGAAGGGGGCGGTGGGCATGTTGGCGGAGCCGACGAAAGGGGAGGGGTTGCGTTTGAAGAATAAGTCGGTTGGCGGTTGCCGGCGGAGCCGAGACGCCTAGAGTAATACCAGACGAGTATACCCAAACTGAGCATGAGTGGACTGTTCTTGATCGAGGTGATTCGTGCCGACTAGTAGACTGGTTCTGAGGGCGCGTCCTGGGAGTGTAGATAGCCTCCCACGCCAGCAGGAATTGATCCCTCGCCGTGAAGCAATTCTCATGACTCGAGAGGATGTCTCTTGTCCTCCGCTTCTCTGTTCTCCCTGCCCTGCCTATCTACTCCGCGCCTCGTAGCGATGCTTCCGCTTCCGCAGCTCTACCATCTACAGGTAGTTGGAACCACGCGATATCCCTCCGTATCCAAGTTTGCTTACCGAAGTAAGCTCTCGCGCCTTGTTTACTACTACCCCCCCAAGAGAAGGCAGCGGGATTCCATTCCCGGTATCCGGCCCCCCATCCCCTGCGGTACCGGAGCCCGTCGTCCTTACGCGTGGGCGTTTGTTTGTTGGGGGGCCGTTGTGGGTTGTTATTTACGTGAGTGAGCATAGGTGCTGCAAGACCTCATCCCTCCCACCCTCTTGAGGCCGAAACCTCGGGTCGCTGGACGTGGGTGATGTCCGGCGCGGGTGGTCCCTTGGTTGGACTTGTCCTGTCGGGGTTTTGGGGATGGTGCGAGGCTCTCTTGGGACATTCCCCTGTCTGTTCCCTTCTCCCGGACAGATGGACGGACGTCTGGCCGCCGGAGGTCTCGTTCTCGAGTCATGGGCGCCTAAGTGGGTGGGCGTGCAATATCGGGAACGGGGACTGGGCTTCTTTCATCGTCGGTTTCTCGGCGGCGGATTGATGCTGGGACGGGAACAGTACGGCTAGGATGCGTGTGGTTGAGGATGCCATAACAGGATCTTGAAATGGGGACCTTGCGCGCGGTTAGGTAGGGAGGTAGGCCTGCACCCCCATCTTCCTCCTTCTAAGGAGCGATGTGACGGTGCTGGCGAAGAGGTAGTGACTGACTGACGAGCTTCCCTCGCGACATTCGCGGCTCAGTCGAAACTATATCTACGTTTTCTTTTATTATTTGACTACATACGCACGCTCCTCTGCTTGACGATGGGGAGTTAGAGGAGGCCACCATCGAGGAAGCGCGAGCCAAGGTTGCCTACAGCACTTACGACCCGGCCTCGAAGGCGGTCGTTCTCTACCGCCTCAGCGGGGGAGAGAGGGGAAGGGGTGAACGTGCGTTCTCACACAGCCGCAGTCGGCCTTCAGGAGACCACAATACGGAACGAAGACTCAGCCCTCTACCGGACCTGGTCTTTGCTGCTTTCAGTCCCCGACTGCTCCATCCATCCATCTGTCCATCATCCACCCCTGTTTCCAAGATTTCCCAGAATCCCAAACCCAAACAGGGACTCCACGATCCCGTACCGCTGCCTCCCCTCCCCTCCCCTCCCCCCTTTCCAAAAAAAAACCGCATCAAAAAGGCGGTCGACAAGTCATCTCCCCCCTTACTGGCTGGTTGCAGCGAGCCGACCTCCCTCGGCTCGTATCTAGGGAGGGGGTCTGGTTGGCCGTGGAACTGTACGTGCATCCACACTATTCGCTACGGCCCCCCTCATGGAGCGGCACGGCATGTTCAGACCTGGCCTGCCTTGGAAAGCAAGGATGCCTGCTACGGGTTCTTCCACCTCCATCAGTGATAGAGACGGGGACCTCGAGCTTGGCGTTCGAGGCGCAGTAAGTATGAGAGAGGCCACGGTTGAAAAAATCACCATGTAGATATACAGGAGGCCAGAGTGGCATGGCCAAGATAAAGCGTGAGATATGGCCGTGTCCCGCCCCCGACGGGGCTGTGGAGACGAGTAGGATATTCGAGGCATGCGTGTGCGGAATGGAATGATGCTGTCTCGGCCATTCGCCGTTTCGTTTTCCACAATGTCTCGGCGCCTCTCCCGGTCTTTCACTTTCCCTCGGGAACCCTTGGAATGCTATGGAAACACTCGTCGTTGTTGTTTTGTACCGGACTCAGCCGGAGTACCTAGCTAGTCCGGAACAGAACATTTATATCCACCCCGATTTCGACAAGGTTTTGTCTCAGCGCCGCCTCCCTCGGCCCGCGACGGCGATGGATGAAGAGCAAGCGTGCCCCCCTTCCTACCTCTTTGAATGGCCAGCGGTTGGAAAAGCAGAATAACCACTAACACGTATTGTCTCACCGATAGCTGGCCCCTATACCAAGCTATAACGTATCACAACCTCCACCTGCGTGTCTGCGTCATGGTTACGACAGATAGATAGGGCTGATTTCGAATCTGAATGGCTGGCGATGTTTGTTATCGATCGCCCAACGACGGGATGTCAGGTCCAACAAGAGGGAGAGTCCAAGACAAAGCGTACCGAGGGGGGTGCCAAGCAGCAAACCCCCACGATACATGTGGGCGAATCTCGGAGTGGCACTCGCTCAACCAGGGTCTCGCCCGTGGGTGGTCATTGGCACTGCATGGCGTTGGAGATGGAGAGGTTGGTGGCGGCGACCGATCCTGACAAACTTCATAGGACGAGCGCTAAATCGACCCGAGTGTCGAATGGCGTACGGATGCAATGGTAATCAGGTACCCTGACGTGGAGGTGAAGCATGGTGTCTAGGTCTTCAGAGGAGGTGAAGCCCAAATCTCCACATATTGCCTTTTTCGGGGCTCGATTCGGACCGGCTGTTCTCTAGGTCGATACCCATAGCAACAGAAGACTAAGACAGTGGTTGTAGCGTAGGCATGCAGGTCTCAGGTCTACCTGTGGAGTGAACAGTGCGCTACATTGGCATTCCTGTGACGGGTCTTTCGTGATAAGCTAGCACAAGAAAAGAAGCAATGTCCACAGCCTGCTGGCAGCCCAAGGAACGGCCAACTCAGCATGAGCCTGTGAGCACATATTCACTCAGGACCGGGAAAAGTCAAGAGCGAGATGCATCGGTTGGTCGAAAGGGGAAGCTAAGGCAGGGCTTGGCTCGTAGGGTCACCGACGATGACCTATCACCGCTTGGGTGCTCGAAGCGGAACTGACAGGTTGCAGGATCTGTCCCAATCGAGCAGATGGAGGGCAGGAGAGGCAGAAGATGCAGACGCTAAACCCCCAGCCCGCCCCGGCAAGTCTCGCAAATGCCGAAGCTGGACGACGAAATTGTTGACGGTGGCTCCTATTGCCCCGGTCTAGGGGCGATCACCAACCTGCAGGGTGCGCATGTAGGTGCCATCACCAAAGACGGTGGCCCGGAAGTGATGCTCCCACGTCATGTGCGCCGTGTCTATTGGCCAGGGGAGGACGGGCGATGGTATTGATCGAAGGCCCGATTGCAAATCGGGGTGGTGCAGGATGGCGTTCTGATGGCGCTCGAGGTGGCTTCAAAATGGTCAGAGCACCCCAGGGTGGGAGTGGGAGATGGCGCTTCGTTCCCGTCATCACAAAAGAGCGCCAAGCTGGGTCGTGTGGGCATGATGGGAGCCCGTGGCTTTGGTCCCTAGAGCCGTTCCGCTCACCGGGCAGTCCAAGACCAACGACGCCTCTCCCAGTGTCCCACTCGGGATATCACCCAGATGCTGGATGACGGGAAATTCCATTTCACGCCCCCCTCTCCGGGGGATTGGGTGATGAGTTGGCACTAACGCAGCAAGGGAAGCCGTTAACAGCTAGCCTCGCTGATGTATCCTCGACTGCAAGGTTACGAGCAAATTTCTGCTGGAGAGGCACAAAGAGACTCCAGAAGAGCCAACACAACTCAAGAGAGAGAAACATGGAGCTCCCCGTGACCAACTGGCTGTGGCGTTCAGCCTCCAGGCTAGCAGGATTGGCACGCCGGTTTAAGTTTGCGTTGGAGAGCAACACCGTTTTGGTGCGGGCCAGTCTCGTCATGTTCGGAGCGAAGTGTTGCCCAGTGGGGGCTAATGACTGATTCTTAGGCAACTAGCTAGTGTGTGCGGGCTTGGTGACGGTCTCTATTATGGACTGTGGTAAGTTTTCCCTACGTTGTATCGCGTAGCTTCTGGTTGGCTGTGCTTTCGTAGCTGGCAAGAGATTGAGTCGTTGCGACAGCGGTGTCCGAGTCTCCCAAGTGTAATACGAAACGACCAAATATTGGATCTTGTCGGCCCTTTTCAGCAATTGAGCACTCAGACCGTGTAGGCGAGGTAGGGGAGATGGCGCTGTTGAGAAATTACATGACAACGAAGTTGTTGAGGTTAGAGCAGGTCAAGTTAGCAGCAGCTGGCTGACGTCAGGGATGGTGATGGTGCGTCCCACATGCCTGTTGTGTCGTTGGGACTGTGGATTTTGAGAGTCACGGGTCAGCGCGACAGGACGCTCTGACCAGACACAATCCACCTTCCGCGGAACGCGCCTCACGGCGCTTCCTCGCTCTAATTTAACAAAGTTGGAAGCGCTTCGTGAGGCTGCTAGTCCCAGTAGAAACGGAAACGGATAATGATCGGCGAGGGCTTGCAAACTGACAGCGGGGGCCCGGGATTCATCGAAAAGCCTTTTAGGAGATCGCATCTTGGGCCCGCATCCTGGAGGTTGCAGCCCCACTGCGCTTGACCCCTTATGGGGGGCTGGTCGAATCTGAGACAGTCCCCTGCGCGTCGATCCTGGTCTGTGTGAACTTTTCCGTCCTGGCCAGCTCCACCTGGTTCCTGGGCTCCTTTCAGGGCCCCGGTCCCTTCCAATTTCGTTTTTTGATGAATTCCTCGTATGTGACCCCCAAGTATCTGTCCTACATACATACGCCTCGCGCAGACCTCGGCGGCATTGTAAAAGCTGGCGTTAGTGCCTGCATCGTGAACTACCACGGTGGTGGTGGTGTGCTCACTGCGCTGCGCAATGTGTTCCGCAAGGGAGCCAAGGCCTCGTCGAAGGCGGATTACCCACATATTATGATGTTCAATCTTGCGTCCCCGATGCGACTCTGTCAAGCCCTCTGACCCCGACGGACCGGGGGCCCCCTTCTCGAGCTCCCGCATCCCACTGTAGCTTCTGCCGGCTGTTGCTCTGCTGACGGCTCGGGGTGATCGGCGCAGTCTGTCATCTCGGGAATCTAGAATTTGATCCTGGTGTTTTTACATGCTGGCGTTCCCCACGGCCCACGCCAGGTGACAGCCCTCTGGGTCAAGTCGCGTGTTTTGCGTGGTGATCAACAGGCGGGCATTTTTATGATCAGCAAATTCACCGTCCGCCCATGATGCAAATCCACGTTTTCCACTGTCTTTCTCTCGTCCCGACTATTTACATAAGGAGACAGGGGAGCGAGCACATTGAACTTATCTCGGTAGAAGTTTGTTGCGTTCTGTGGCTGCAATTATTTGACCGTTCTCTACAAGTAATGCCGAGATGAGATTTTTCCTTTCTTTTCCGCCTTTGGACCCCGGGGTTGAGAATTCTTGGCTAACCGACCCCTTCCGGCGAGGCGCACCTCAAACCCACAGTCCGAGTCATCGGAAAGGGATAGTTCGGCTGAAAAGATGTGAAGAGCTGGGGTTGGCAATGTAACCTGGTCAAGGGCAATCTTGTGGCTGCGGGAGCTGCTGACTTTGAGATCTGGTGCAGTGTAGGTTGGACTTCGTCCAATAATTGGGTGCCTGATTGGTTTTTCTGTTTTGACCACATCTCAGAAGGCCGATGCTGCGCTAGGGGACCACAGGTGACGCTAATTGACCTTGACCAATAGAAGATGCCTGGCCCCCTCGTTTGGACTGACGGGAGGGCAGTTGAATGGGGGTGCCGCCTTTTGGTCTGGTACATACAGCACCTTACCATAGTAGTGAAGCTCTCCTTTTTGCACCTGCAGACGACTGCAGTTGAGGAGGAACGTTGAGCAGATTCTGCAGGCAATTTTGGCAAATGTTGGCACAACCCGGCAATCCAAAGTAGTTCATTAGTAGTTTCCATCTTTGTCCCGGTGTCATTTGTACCTACATTCCTTGGTAGCTACCTTACCCAATGGCCTAACCCGCCGCTCCCCGCTGCGGGCTGTAGTGTATGGATGTATTGTACGTACATTGCTTGCGGCTCTGCCTTTGAAGGGGCTGTTCGGCGTTTCACGTAAATATCAATCTATATCATGACTGACGTATGTAGGTAGCATCACGGGTATGCCTTCAAGATTTTAATTCAGCGTGACCCTGAGGAAGGCTGAATCTGTGACGATATGATTGATGGAACAGCACTAGCCCGAAGTAAGCACCGTGGCCCCTGCCCTTACAAACCCCATGATTGGCTGGCTTGGGTGTAAAGGTGGAGTAAGACTTGGTCAAGCCTTGCAAGTCTCCTCTCAACTCTGCTAAGGTTTACGCTAGGTACTCAGCAGGGCCCACTCTGGTTTGTCGGGCATTAGGGTTGGTGAGAGAAATTTGAAAAATGAGAACTACAAGTATCGCGGCAACAACCCACCAAGCAGCCAGCAAGTCTTGGGTTCTTGGGGCGAGGCGCGGGGGGGGAAGGAGGTGTGAGTCGATCAATAAAACACCACGGGAAAATGCAGAGTTCCCTGTGAGGTTGGGCTTACACTAGGTCCAGCTAGGCAGGTGGTAAAGTGTGCTTTGGGGAATACCTCGGGAGATGAGCATTCTCCCGGAGAAGAGGGTACGCTAAGATATGTACAATTGTCAAGGATTATAGTATACAACATCCAGCGCATACCGCTGGAAATGGTTGGTTGGCAACCATGATTTGTGCGGGGAGACCCTACGCGCTGGTCACTGTTTGATGCTGAGACAAGAGACAGCTTGGAAAGAGAACTTGGATGCTTTTGTTAAATCAATTTTCTCTATGTAGTCGTGTCAGGGGTGAGAGTAAGACAGATAGCATCATCGATACGTTCGCAAGCTCGAATTGTTTACCAAGCCGGAAAACGCCGCGTTTCAAAGTCAGTATACGTCCAGTTTCGGTACTGAACACGGCTCCACCTCCGCTTCACTCCCCGCGGCACTAGGAAAACGCGCTCCGAGTTCGCTTGAATCGGGGGGAACGTTATACGGGCCATGTTCTGAAAATACAAAATGGAGATGCAAGGACGATGTACTTGCCTTATCCCTCAACTCCTCGGTAAGCAGTTTTGACATTTGATGTCAGAGGGGCACGCTTTAACATCCATCCCGCCTGGCTTTCGCCACAGGGCAAGTGCAATGACGACCGATGACTGTTACATACCTAGAACGGAGGAGGTCTTGGTGGGTCCTTACGTGCTCCTCACTGGACGCCGGTTTTCGGTGACAGACCAGGAACGCCAAGTCTCAAAGCTGCCTTTTAGGTAGACTCCCTACGGGCAATATGCACACCCCTCCCCCTCATCGGGACGCATCGGGATTGGGCAGGCTAGGTTGGCCCCCCTGGTAGAGTTGCGTATTTCCGTAAAGGTACACGTACATATGTACACACTCACAAGGTGTGCTTCATGGAGCATGAATGGTGGAGGAGGTGAGCCAGGTCATGACGGGTTGGCTGGCGATAGGTATGGGTGGATCTCATTGCATGCCAGGATGGAAGCCTTCTGTAGCAGATCCATCCGTCAAATCCTACGCACGCCTCTGGGCCTCTTACTCGGTGCCTGAATAGGGAGAAAGACGTAACAGACTAGTACTATGTAGGCGAACAAAGAAGGTGAAATTGGCCCAAGTGGGCGCCCTTGCTTCTGGCTTCCAAGGGTCCCAGCCTCATGATCCATTGAGAAATTACACCTCAAGCCATGGCCGAGTTGGGCCGAGAATCATTTCTGTGGTGTTCATTCATGGTCGAGGGTGGACGTGTGTGAAGACGTAGCTGGGCGAGGACCCCGGACACCTAGTGGGGGACGCTACCAGTAAGTCCCGGTCAAGAACTTGGAAAAGCCATTGCCGCGATTAGGTGGGCCTGGCGACCGCAGCCAAGTAGGTACCTACCTAGTGTACCTGCGAGCCGAGTATCTCCAACCGTCCATGCCTTGCTCAATTGCGGTAGCTTGAATGCGTAAAGTGGCGCCGCTGCAATCGGTATGTACCTAGCAAGGTACCTGAGCAATACACATGTAAATGTATTTCTCCTTGGGATGTGAACCCTCGACAACATCCCTGACGGGCAGGCAGGGAATCTGGACTGGCAAAATCCACCCCGTCTTGGCCCACCCACTCCAATGCTGAAGGGTACCCATACGTAGGAAAAGTACTTACCTCCACTGCGTAAGTCATGTAGCAGCCCTATCGAGGCAGCGCGGTGCCACAACCCGCACCACCGGCTCAAAAAGACGCCTTGCCTCATTTCAACATACGCCCCCATTCCCTCCACCCCAGATGTCGTCTCTTGGCCACTTCACCTCCCCGGTCCCTGTTCCCATCGGCGGCTTATATCTATCGTATGTATGCGTAGTTGCCACGGGCATATCTTATTTCGCATGTTAAGTAAACCTAACCCCTTGACCTGCTCTTCCATTGCCCTGTCAAGTTCAAGACACACACAACCTCCCTCCGTTTACCTGGATATCAACAAGCCAGAACATCAGATCCCAACAGTTCACCACCAGCATCTTCCCTCCACCACAAGGATCTTGAGACCAACGTCCCTCTCTACGTTCTCCGGCCACGCCCAATCCCTCGCACTGGGTGCCATTGTCTCGGTGCCAGTCAGACATCTCTGTCGCCCTCCACTTCTCCGGCTCTTCTACCAAAATCAGACCCCCAGGCATTTCCCCGGTCGATTGGGCCTCTCAGAACTCACCGCTCAACCATCTCTTCCCATCTTCCGTCGAGCTAAAGAGGCAGAAGAGCAGCATCTTGGTCCAGCCCCATCTTCGTGCTGCTGGATAAGACTCCCTCCGTCTGCAGTCGTCCTGTGCCAACCCTGCAAACCCCGGCCGCCCTTTTACATTAGGGTCTGTCTCCTCAAGAAGCATATTCCACCGTCGATCACCCCTGCCCGGAGGCGTCACAAGTTGCTCAGGACGGCTCCACCTGTCCCGCTGACCAAACGGCAATACCGTTCACACTGGCCCCAGTACCGATTGGCCCTAGAGCAATCCTACCCCCCCCCCCCAAGCACAGGGCACAGTCCCGCAAGCCATCTTGTCAGACATTTTGTGTCCCCTCGAAGACACTTAAGGTCGCTGATCCCTCCATCTCGACTCGTACTCTGGTCCCTTTCAGTTTGAACCTAAACTGAGAGTCACCGTCCCCGCAGAGGTGGCGCGAGACCTTAAAACTTTACTCTATCGGGGTCCCGCATCTGATCAGCGAGCTTGCTCCTGAACATCTTTCCATACCAACTGGTGCCCAAGAGAGGGGATTTTTACTTTTTACGACGGGAAGGAACGGTCCTTCTTACCAAACCACTCCCTACCTTAATCTCATCATGACGATGACGATAGACGCAAACCAACAACGCTTCGCACCATTAAACCTAGACCACATGTCTTCCTACTCGAACCATCCCCAGTTCACGAACCCGTGGGCACCGTCATCTCAGGGCGGCGCAGCATCTCAGGGCGGGAGTCAGGGCATGTACGTGGGCGGCCACGACGGCAACCCGACGCCTGGTGTCCTCCCCCATCTCAACCTCAATGGCTTGGCAAAGCACCCGCAGCCTGGCTCCCGGGCAAGTACCAGCAGCAGTGCCTCTCTGGCATCCTATGGTTCAATGCCCGTGACCTCTGCGTCAGCAGGTAGCCCTCTCATGGCGGACATCTATGGACAACAAAACTTACCTAGTATCCCCCAAGATCCCTCCAGCTTGAACAGGCTGCAGCACCAACACCAGCACCCGACATCGTCGGCAGCCTATGGAGACCCGGCCTACACAACCTCTGCCTCCCCCGTCAATGCGCCATATGTAGCTTCGCCAACGCCCTACGATCACCTAGGGTATGCGCCTGCGCCCCTGCGAGGGGCCTTCGCCCTGGCACCAGACGCAGAGCACGCGAGAAGGTTCTCGCACCAGTCAGTGAACCCCCTCCGAGAGTCGGTCCGCGAAAGGCTGTAACCTGACTGACCCCGTTTACAGCCAACAGGAGGAGCGTAGAAGCTTCCAAGACGCGCTGGAGGCGAGCCATGGCATGCTCTCAATGAGCCAGGACACGCCGCGCAACATTTACGACGTCCGGAACCGCAGCCGGGGATCAGCCGACTCGTACGGGTTCCCTTCGGCCCATTCGACGAACTCGAGCATATCATCGGCCGGCATGAACGGCTACTATGGCGGCTCCGTCGACTCATCGGTCAGTGACTACTCGACAGCAGGGTCTGATATCGAGTCCCTGTCTGGACGGACGTTGCCTCGGCCGCAGGGATTAATGTCGAGCCAGGCACCACCGGCACCTCAGTCGATGATGAGCCAATTCAGCTCCAAGATCTCGTCCAGCACGCAGAAGAAGCACAAGTGCAAAGTGTGTGATAAGCGGTTCACTCGGCCCAGCTCGTTGCAGACTCACATGTACAGCCACACCGGAGAGAAACGTGAGTAGTTTTCACACGGAATTCCCTGGTCGCATATTGGAGGACATGAGCAGACGAACTAACTGACACGTATCTAGCCTTTGCCTGCGAAGTTGAAGGCTGTGGCCGCAATTTCTCGGTAGTCTCCAACCTTCGTCGACACCGCAAGGTGCACAAGAACCAGGGCCAGGGCGAGACACCCTCAGAAACAGGCTCTGAAGACCACCAATCCGAATGAACATGCCCGGCCTCAGACGACACCGAAGCAGAGACGCATCTCCTTGACGTTTCACGAAACCCGGATAGACTTACGACCTTTATAATTCTCATCTTTCGCTACATGTGCCTCGTCATCGGTACCCTGTCTACCTCCGCCCCCCCGTCTGATATACCGTCATGTGGCGTCCCCACCAACCATACCACCCCGATGCCTTCCTTATTCTGAAGGATAGGTGTCCGGACAGCATAGACTGCCCTCACTGGGTCGGGGTGGGAAGGGGCGAGACGGCGTCATCTCAACCCCCACATTTAAGGCACCCTCACTATTTTTGGGGTGAAGGGGTTTGATATTGCTGGCCCCGTGTGTCGGTCTATTGGCTTATTCCTATGCCTCTGTTACGCTCTGAGCGTCGGAGCGTGTTTCTAATAGAATTGGGTTGGATTTGACGGTTCGACCGGTTTGGTTCCTTTTCTCGTCGATCACTCTCTCCATTGGGCTTCCCCACAACTACCCATCCGCCATATACATAATACTCCCGGGGAACCTTTGTTTTTTTACATTGTTTTTGGACGATTACTCTGAGAGGAAGCGAAGGGGGGGTGATTATCCTCCACATGGGTCGTGGGAAAGGGGAGGACCTCGCTGGGACGATACCCTCACGAACTGGCGTTTTCATGGTTGGCTTTTCCATCTCAAGGGCCCTGCAGTTCCCACGGATGGGTCTGATCACGGGCTCACGAGATTTGGGTTTCTGTCTCTTACTGTCGGTTGTTGATCTCAAATCCTTATCACCTCTTGCAAAAGAAACATCTTTCTCATGGGCTCTTCCTGATGAGTGGGATATGATCTGGTGCAAATGAGGACGGGCCCCACGGCGGCATAGTAGGTATTGATCAAGTTGATGATGAATCGAAGGGGGCCAGGCCACTAAGGTTAACACCAGTCACTTCCCGAACCTATCCTATTTTGAATGGATTAATTGGAGATGAAGAGAAGACAAGGCAAAATGGAGTAAAGTCGAACTGTATTATTATTAGCTCTCTCACCATCTAGCATATACCCCTGAGTATAGTCACAACCAGCAATTGCTGCATAGCCATCGTTACTACAGCCACCTGCGGGCTTCCTACGGTCTATCAAACCCAAAGCATCGTGCCTGCGAGTTATCTATGATGAGAACGCCCTCAAGGGCCTCCTCCCCCAAACCCTACCCCAAACGTAGCCCATCATCGGAATCTCTAGACCCGCCTCGCTCTTCAAGGAACTAACCATGCAAAAAAAGCCCTCATCACTGATCAGCTGTCAAGTTTCAGAAGCGAATAAACAACCCCAGAATGTCTCGCAATAACTCCACCGCGTTTTTTCCCTTAGACAAAGAAAAAGCCGCCGTGTAAAGTAACAACAGTAGCATCGGGCAACTGAACGGGAACGCAACCACCCAACGACATACGTGACTCTCTCTCTCTCTCTCTCTCTCTCTCTCTTGCCTCTCCTTGTCACCCGCCCGGCGGCCCGCCCAGGCCGCCCTTCTAATCGAAACAAGCAGCGCCACCCCATCAGTGAGCGGTTCTCCCGCCCCCGGCCCAATTGCATTGTGACGAAAGAGCCGGTCCCCCCTCCCCGCCCCTTCGCCTACCCTGGACTACAGCGGTAGGAACTGGCCTCCGTGGACAGCTCTGGCATGAGATCGGCGAGGGGCCCGGGGGTGCGGACGGGTTGGACTGGGGGATGGTTGCCTAGTTTTCGCTGCACATACTTGGGCAGTGGGCATGTGAATGGGCTAGGACGACGGGGGTGGAGAAAGGGGGAGGGGGCCTCCTCCCATCAAGAGCCGGCGGCAGACGAGGAAAAAAACCACGCCCTCCATCCATCCTCCCCTTCCAGCATGCGGATGCGGGATGCGGGACAGGCATGCATCATGAGGGTGTTCGGATAGGAACCAATCTTTTGGACCTACCAACTCGATCGGCCCTTCCTCTTGGCGATCAAGGGTTTTGGATCAGATGGGTGGGCAGTGTCTGTTCTCTCTGGTGGCGTCTGGGGTGGGATTGACAGGAGGGAGGTCCACATCCTCGTACATACAGTACACATGCTTCGCACCTAGTCAAGACGGAATGGCGGGAAAGGGGGGAAAAAAGGGGACGTCAGGGGGAGGGTTGGTGGGTACTGAACTACAGCGTTATGGACAAAGCAGGCATTGCAGATTTCCAGACCGGAAGTCATGCACGGCATGGCAAACGTGGGTGGCTTAGCAAGGGCTTGCGAGAGAGGTGACAAAAAGGGGGACCGGATTTCTGATAACTAACCGCCCACTTATCTTGAAGCTTAAAAAAGTGTGTGCGCTTGGCAACATAGCTTAGTCGAGATGGCTTTGTGTTTCAAGTCCTGCAAGGCACCGATCATTGCCTTGTGAGGCATGGAACGGGCTCGGTAGAGAATGAGAATGCGTGTCTCCCGGGGCGCAGTTTTTTCTGTTGCTGATCGGCGACGGCGCCGTGGGGACGTCGGTGGATATACCTTTGGGGTGGGGGGGGGGGGGAGGAAACAACCTAGGGCCACCCACCTGCAACTTAATATGGGGGTTTGGATATTAGGGGCTACCTAGTATATGCCACTGCAACGTACTATATGATCATTTGGGCGCACCGGGGAAGGCTGGTGTCTTCGTAAAGGAGTCTCGGGAGCTTATTGGCCGGGCTTTTGGCAACAAGATGACCTCGTTCGTTCCATGTTTCCTGGTTCGGTTCTCTATCCTGGCTGACTTGGATGGATGAGGCTAAGTCGTCGAATTTCCAAGGTCGAGAGGCCCGAACTGACTCACAAACAGGGCGGGCGGTTGGTTCGCTTGTGGGAGCAGGTTCGATGACAGTTGCCTCTTTCCTTCCTCCTTCCTTCCTTTCCAGAAACGGAGCGCACTACGGGCAAGCGAGGGCATGGCGATGTGATCTGTGATCGTGTGGTCATCAAACCAACGATGTGGTAGGTTGTAGAGACGGTCACACATCCTCCCGTTGGCAATGACGTTTAGCGGGCGTTCAATGACGTCGATATTACCGAGATTGTCCTATGAAACCTATTTGAGCCGTCGATGTGGAAACATGGGTAGGGTGGGAATTCTGCATCTGCCTTGGCCGTGGTGAAAAGCTTGGTTGCGTTGATGGGGGGTTCCATGGGCACACGTGTAGAGTAACTTGCCGCCTTCCTCGAGGTGGTAGAATGTCGGCTGATTGGGCGGCGAGATGTGATGCAGGTGCTGGCCGACGATCTTTGGAGATGGCCACGAACGAGTCTCGTTGCGCTACGCAGGTGGCTGGGCCCTTGATCTTCAGGGTCCCTAATCAGGTCCGTGCGGGGCTGTTGCACCCAAAGTTGAGATTTGAAGTCGATGTGACGATGCCAAAGTCAAAAGGGAAGAGAGGAATGCGGAGCTGAAGTTAAAGTGAGGCAATTCAACCTTTAATTACAGCCGAGCTGCCATTACCACGTTTTGCTCAAATTGAGTCGGCATAACCTGTAAGCACTGCAGCACTGCAGTACTGCAATGAGCCAGCCTTGACTTCGAGGCGAGGCTCCTCCTCTCCCCCTTGCTCTCGTTCCTACTCCCGCCAGCGAGGGATACCTAGAGGAAATCAGAAGAGGGCTTGCGGTAGTGGCGACCAGCAAGAGATATGACATCTGCTTATCCCCTCTCCAACGCTGTTGTCGGTGTCGTCAAAATAGTGCCCATGTGTGCTGACGTACGTGGCGTCGGTGGTTTCGCCCGTTTCCGAGAGGACCCTTGCAAATCTACTCTCGTTTGATCGAGCCACCCCTCCTCCCAATCCGGGACCTGCCCCACAGTAAAGCTTCTACCAAAGTGGTGTCAACCCCACCATCTGTGGTTTCAATCTTCTTGTGTTCAATCAATTGGTCGCTCCGCTTTGAATCCCTCCCTTCCGTTTCTTCCCCTTCCGCTGCGGGCTTCTTGCCTTTCTTCGTATGGAGGATTGCACCGTCAATTTGCTAGGCCAGGTTCATGCAAGATGATGTCATATACATGTTTCAGATCTAACCCATGACTGAGGTGGGGTACCTACTTTCGCCCTGTGGTGAGGTGAGATACTTGGTACTTGGCTTGGAAACTTCCATGTCCCTTCCGTATGCATGGCATTCCGCAAATGGTCGTCATCCCGTTTCTTCCACTTCCGACGTGATGAAAATTGTAGACAACTAATCAGAAGCCCAAATAAAAGAACGCATCGCTTTGAGTCCTTTGCCCTATCACGTCATTGTGTCACATGGAAAGACCCCCAGAATCACCGCCCAACTCGTTGTTTCCCGGGTCCATCGCCTTCCCTCCGTCTGTGGACAGAAAGAAGAATCCTCCACTAAACTCAAATTAGACACCGAGCCTCCTTGCGAACTGCAACCGCCATTTGACGAACCCCGCTCCCGCACCACACCACCCCACTAAATCTGCTCTGCCCTGCGAACTCGCAACACTACGTTGTACTGCGTACAGGTTCGAACACAGAGCACCACACGCTTTTCACCGCCTCTTCAACCCTCCCCCTCTGCGGCCGCCCGCCCCACCCCACAGCGGCAGATGCCTGATGCTGGGAAAGAATGCGGCAGGGAAGTTCCCTGTTTCTTCCTCGAGCTTGCCAAGGAGAGGCCCGCCCTCATCTTGCATACGTGGGGGAAGACAGCATGATGACCCTTTGCTTCTGGTGGTTTTGGACTGGACCCTGTTTATTAGGCCTCGGCTTGGCAACGCCCCCTGTTCGTATCCAGATTAATCTACACGAGGCGGCTTATACCTAGGTAAGGTGCTTCCTTGCAGAAACATCAAGGGCTTGTAACTATACCCACATCTTTAGTTACGTCCCTGTTCGTCACCCGTCAAACATGACTCGCCCAAAGCAAGTCAAACGAGGGACAACCACCACAGGACGCAGATAGAGTAGGTAGTTCGCCACCTGGTCCTCCCATCCATCCCATCCATCCATCCACGAGGCCGCGGCATATCGATGAAAGGAAGGGGCGGGGACTGGATTCCCTTCCCCTTGGTCGTTAGCGACCCCGAAGTAGAGCAGAACGGCAACCTCCGCCAGCGGCCGCGCGGGCGAGATGCCTCACTTCGGAAGGTGCCCAATATCCCCGCGATGGTTAAGAGGCGGGGCGAACGAACAACCCCCAATGTCCTTCCTGTCCTCGATAGCGCGCCCCCGGGGGAGCCAACCGGTGGCCCCGACCGTATGAGGAGGGGGTAAGTAAGAAACTTGGTATTGGAAACCTGGAGGGGTAAGAGGAGCTCGTCCGTGACCCTGATCCTGGTGAAGTGATGCCATCATCGCTCGGTCGGCATTTGGATAACGGGAGAGGCAAAGGCTGTCGTGGTACGCATGTGATAATCGTTGCTTGTCCCTACCCGGCCGAGTTCATGGTGTTGCCTGGTCAGGGGCCACGCGACCTACTTGCTTCTCTTGTCATGTCGTTGCGGACGAATCAGCTCGACACAATCGTCAGGGGTAAGTAAATATTAAATCTGACTTTAGAAAAAAAACATCCAGTCCAAAAAAGGGGTGCATTTGCTTCGGCTCGTGAAAGTCAAAGAGGTTGGGCAAGTGAATCGCCTCAAACGTTATGCAAGGGAACAAACATATTCACCTCTCGTTGCTGCCCGGCGGCAAAAATGATTGATGCCTTGCTTGCTAAACTCCTTGATTGCCGTCTACAGCCAGACCCTGAATACTTGTACAGTACATACATGGCATGACACCTGTGATCTGAGCTACCGCAGATTTTTCCCTTCCCATGATGAAGGAGCCGTGGTCTGCTGTGAGGGCAACGCCCACGGACCGGCCATTAAAAACAATCGCAACATGATATGAGGGTGTCTTGCGGGATCTTCATCTAGCCCGCCTGAGAAAGAACGATTATAAGACAACTTCAACAACCTTACCCTACCCTCGCACGATGCGCCCCTTAAAGCACGATTGCCAACTCGCCCCTGTCAATGATGTCCTCCTCCAGGTTGGGATAGTACGGCACCATGGCATCGGCAGCCTGCACGTACGCATCGTTGAAGAGCCGCCAGTAGGGCGTGCGGACCTTCCTGGCGGGGTGGAATAGCCCCGCCCAGACGTAGTTGAGCACCAGGCCTGGGCCGACGGCCACGCGGATGGCCTCGACGGCCTCGACGATGCGGTCGATGACGTGGGGGCTGGTCTCGAAGAGGTTCGGGTAGATGAGATTGAGGAGATGGATCATGGCGTCCTCGCAGCCGAGACCGACTACGCCCAGGGCGATGTGCTTGACTACCGACGCGGCCGTTTGGCGATGAACCTGGTCGCGGTCGATAAGGGCGTCTTCCAGGAGAGGCGTCACCGCGTAGACGTAGTCCTTGGCCATCTCGCCGATGTACTCAAACAGGAAACTGAGGGACTTGAGGACGCCGTTCTGGACGTTGAGCTCGGGTACACGGTACTCGTTCATCAGCGCCGGCAGCACTGTGAACGGTGCGCAAGTCTCGGCGACAATGCCGATGGCGACGGCAGTGTTGACTCGAGACTGACGCTCCTGCACCCGCAGATTGTTGAGGAGTGTCGCAAGCACATCCTGGGGGCCGATGGCCTTGGCGATGAAGCCAAAGGTATTGTTGGCGGCGCGGCGAATGCCCTTCTTGTGAGCCTTGAGCATGTCGAGCAGCTCGAAACAGATACGCATCCATTCCCGGGCGTTGACACTCTCGGGGCCACGATCCGCGATTCTGCCGACGAGGTCGATGGTGTTCTCCTGAACCTTCTCGTGACGATTGCGGAGAATGGGTGTGAGGCGGGGGAGGAGATCTCGGATCGGAGGCTGCATCTGACTGATGCCGACGACCGTCACGATGGAGCGTAGTGCACCGAGAATGGAGCCGAGGACTTCGGGGTACTCCTCGCCGAGATATTCGTAAAGGACGACACCAAGCTTGCCCATGAGCCCGTCCTCACCGCATTGCTTCATTACCATGGCAATTCGCGAGATGAGATCCGCAGCTTGTTGTCGGACCGTGGGCGACTTGTTGTTCAAGCGCCAGAGGATGGTGCTGACGATCTGGGGAAGATAAGGCTTGCAACGAGTGCCGAGAGCATTGACGACGGAGCCGAACCCATTGAGCATGATGATGTCTTCGACGCTCTGCTCCTGGAACGAATGTAGGATGCCGTCGATGAGCCGTTCTTCGAGCCGCTCGCCAATATCTGCCGCCCCCAGCGAGGCCACAATCTTCTCGATCGTTTCCACCGTCATCTTGCGGTACGCCTCGCTCTCGTCCTTGAGATTTGCGACAATCCTCTCGACGATCTCACTCACGCCAACCTTCTGACCGATGTCAACCGTCGTCTCGACGACCTGGCGATAGTTCCGCTTGTCCAAAGCCATCCGCCGGACCCAGAAGTTCTTGAAGAAGTCGTCGAGGACGTTTTGCTTAAGATAACCGGCAGTAACACCGTCCGTGCCCGAACATTGGGAGATGACCTTCAACACGACCTTCTTCATCTCCTCATCCGGAGAAGCGAACTCCCGGAGAAGAATCTCCATGATCTGGGTGGTGTAGTAGTTGGCGTAGTCCTCGTCCATCAGTGGAATGATATATCCAACAGCTTTGAGATAGCCTGCGAGACTCTTTCCGCGCTGCTTGCGAGCGCCGGTCCACAGAGGATTGAGGATGTCGTCGAAGCTCTCGATACCGTAGGGGTTGGAGGCTTCAGCAAGAGCCGCAATGGCCAAGCTAGTAACGGTGCGAACCTTGGTCTGCTCGTCATTCAAGTTGGGTCCAATGCAATCCACCAAGCGCTTCAGATGCGGCAGGACTGCGCAGCCCATGAGGATGGGAATCTGCTGAACGATCTTAACGCCCGTGTGGCGAGCCTGCCACGATTTCTTGCTTCGACAGACTGCTTGGAGGAACGGCAGAAGGGCGGGGATGCCAAGGGCAGACGCGACGACCGCAAAGGCCCTGGCTGTTGTGTTTCGTACATACTCGTCTGTGTGGTCAATATCCGGTCTCATGGTGCTGATCATTGTTGCGAGGCCGGCAGCCTTGCTGAGGTTCGAGATGATCTCGCGACCTTCGACTCGTGCATAGTAGTCTTGATCAATAAGCAATGGCTCTATGACGACCAAGATCTTGTGAACGTAGGGGCGGACCATGTCATCGAGTTTGTAGAGGATACGATCAATGACCTTGACGAGCAAGTGGCGCTCCTGATCCTCGAGAGTCTTTTCCATGAGAAGCGGGAGAATCTGGTTGAAGAGCGGGCCAGCACCAAAGTTCCGCGCATTGTCGGTAAGCTGTCTGAGCGCCGTCTTCCGCATGGGAGGAGTGCCGTTCTTGACTTTCAGCAGCAATCTCATGATTTTCCTCTCCTTGAGCTCGTCGACGGAGAGGCTATCTTCGTCCGAGCCGTCGGTGAGTTTGCCAAAGTATGCCATGTCTTCAGGCTTGAAAAACTGAAGATCGCCAACACCAGGAATCTCCTTGGGCATCTGCTGGCTGGTGATCCTTCCACTCTCGGGATCCTGCATCGTAAATCCGGTGGCCTGTACGGGTGTCTGCATCAACTTGTGAGCCGGTGCCCGCACCGGAGCATATCCGGGAGGGAAGTCAAGGATCTTGTAGCCGTCGTCGGGGCCGGGGAGCATGGCGTCGAGCTCCTCATCACTTAAGACCGTGTATCGGCCTCCCGTATCCGTACCGAAGGCGGGGGCCATCGCGGCACCCTGGCTTGGGTGGGCTGGTGTGGCGAGGCCTTGGTTTCCCATGGGAGTTGCAGCAGGGGCTTGGTCCCAGCGCGAGCGCTTCTTGGGTGCTTCTGCGGCTCCCGGAGCCGCGACAGTCGGAGCCTGGTCCCATCTTGATCGCTTCTTGGCCTCGGGAGCGGGAGTGGCTTCTTCTTCCGCCGTCGTTGAGCTCACATCCCACCTCTTCTTCCGCTTTCGGCCAGCGCCGGCGTCTTCAGCAGATGGGGCTTCGGGAGTTGCCCTATCGGCCTCAATCTTGAGAGTGGGCTGATGTTCGACCTCATCGCCGTTGAGAGCCTGCTCCTTGCTTTTTTGCTCGATTGCGTGTCGGATTCGCTCTTCCTCGCGCTCCAGCTCTCTCCGTTCCATTATATCCCGGTAATTCTCTCCATCTTTAGATTCGGAAGCGGCAAAAGGGTCGGCGCGAGTAGGAGCCAATCCCCGGTCGAATCGGCGCTTCTGGTAGTCGGTCTCTCTGTCGGTGATCCTGTTGCTCCGCTCGCCTCGGCCAGCCAAGATGTCCTCTTCCTCAACCCCGCTGCCTCGGGAGAACTCATCAATCTGTGATCGAGTAGCTGTGTACTGACCGACCAGGCGGCGGGTGTTGTCGCCGTCGGCCATGTCCACATCATCGTCACCACCTGCATCCGGTAGGGTGGTGTGGTACCCAGCAAACTTATCGCCATTGTCGCGGTCGTAAACCGTGGTGTCCCAGGCATCTATCAGCTTGGCCTTGGTTGACGTGTCAGTACGCAGGTTGGCCGGATCAAAGGTTCGTGATCCTTTCTTCGCAGCCACAGCCGCATTGCGCTCCTGCTGCAGCTTCTTGATCTGCTCGAAATCGGCGTCCGACATTGTGCTAGATGTTACTTTGCCAGTGCAAATGTCATTCCATTTATCATGGAGATACGCGCATGCTTTTTCGATGGTTTTGCGTGCTGCTGAGCCGCCGACGCGATTTAGTTTTGTGATGGAATGAACTTTTGCCGTCACGGCGATGCTCGACTGAAGTTACCCGATTAAGCATGAGGCTGAAAAATTCTGGCACCCTGTTTGGCTTAGCTAATCATCCCTCCAGGATTCACCAACGCTGGGTTCTGGGTTACAGCCACCAAAACCTACAAAATGTTCACCAAGAGCTCCGCTAAGTACATAAATTTAAGTCGGGGAAGGAGTATTCTTCTTCGGAATTGATTCCTAGGGTATGTATGATTGTGTGTTACCCAGAAATTTCACTGAGGCCATCTTTCAAGACCGGCCATCTCTATAATGAAGGGCACGTGACAACGCGCTGCAAGAGATGTGCCCATAGCGCGTTTGCTTGTGACCTAAACCCGACATCTCGAGATTTCCATGCCCAAAACCGCAAGTACTTGATCCACTGTTGCAAGGCCACGTGGTCTCTAAGGTGTGCGCTTTCTCGTGCTTCAGACTCTTATTTATAGGGAACAGCTTCATCAGGGCACCCTAACCCTAAGCGGAGCAGTGAAACATGAGGACCTCGAAACTGAGCAGAACCCCGCGTGCCTCGACGAAGAGCGTCGTAACGAGACTCCCACCTTCGAAGAAGAAATCACAACCCAATGCCAGCATCCTCAACTATTTCAAGAAACCCTCCGATGAACATATGTTTATTTGCGAGGGACAGGACAGCTCGGAAGTAGGGGAGGAAGAGGAGGATATATATGGTCTCGACGAGCCGTTAGCGTCAGAGGAACCAAGATACAACGAGATTGAGGCATCGGTAAAGAAGAGGAGGTTAAGTTGGAGATCAAGTCCACCTCCGGAAGAGCCCAGCATCATCAGCCCAGAGCCGAAAGTTACACCGCTATTGGCGCGAAAGCAACCAACGAGAGTCTCGAATAACCCGTTTCTCGACGATTCATCTGACGAGGAAGAACCTTCGACACCAGGAACATGTGTGCAGTATTCGGGTGATAATGGTGTAAAAGATGGGGAAGGCATCGTTCTCCTTGGCTCGAGACCTGACCTCGGCCTCGGGCGCTCAATAGCCGCGGATGAGAACGGGACTGCTCGACAGCCTTTCCTACAGAAAGAGAGTTCTGCAAATAGCGACCTCATTAAAAACACGGCGAAAGTCGGGGATACACCTTCAAAAAATGGAGATTTTGGGGAGTTTGCAGACCTAGATATGGACGAGTTTGCTGAATATGACCCTGATGGCGAAGAGTTTCGAGAAATGCAGTACATGGAAGAGCAGGCGAGACTAGAGGCCGAAGAGGTGCGGAGCTACAGTTGCGATGACGGATTTCCCCAGCCAGCGATGGAAGATGCCGTGGCGGAGAGCTGTCCGATTTGCAATGGAAGTCTGGCCGGAGTAACACCAGATCAAGCAACAGCTCATGTCAACGCCTGTCTTGACGGCAACCCAACCCCTCTACCTACGCCATCTAGACAGGACAAGGTCGAGCCAGATAATGAAGTCGACGCCCCGCAGATTGGCAAACGGTTTGCTCGAGCTGCCATTCCTCGCCGGGGGCAGCCGAATCCTATCAGTCTTGGGGACGATAAAGGGTCTGGGAAAGGGCCGTCGGGTTCCGCATTCACCAAACTAATGGCCGGGCATGCAGAAGATGCAGCGTGGACTGCGGCGGCGGCGGCGGAACATGCATCTCGCGGCAGGCCTGCGTATCAGCGGACATGTCCTTTCTACAAGATCATGCCGGGCTTCTTCATCTGCGTTGACGCATTCCGGTACGGAGCTGTAGAAGGATGCAGGGCATATTTCCTCAGCCACTTCCACAGCGACCACTATGTGGGCTTAACAGCCAGCTGGACCCATGGACCCATCTACTGCAGCAAGGTCACGGGGTCTCTGGTCAAGTCACAGCTACGGACGACGGCCAAGTATGTCGTGGAGCTGGAATTTGAGGAGAAGACTCCGGTACCTGGCACGGAGGGAGTTTTCGTCACCATGATTCCGGCCAACCATTGCCCCGGCAGTTCGTTATTCCTATTCGAGAAGGCCACGGGCGGCAGAACGCAGCGCATCCTCCACTGCGGCGACTTTCGTGCTTGTCCGGCCCACGTCAAGCACGACCAACTTCGACCCCACAGGATAGATGCCATTACTGGGAAGACGTTGCAGCAGAAGATTGACGTATGCTACCTCGACACGACGTATCTAAACTCCAGGTACTCTTTCCCGCCGCAGGACGATGTCATCCAAGCCTGTGCCGACCTCTGTGTGTCTCTCGACCAAGCCCTCGAATCCGGCGACGACAGTGCGTGGGACGGCATCCTCCGTCGTCGCGGAGGCGCAGCAACCGGGATGGACAGCGTCAGCAAGTTTTTCACCTCGGACAAGAAACTACATGCCGACAACGCCTCAGCTACCGTGACTGGAGATCGCAACAACCCCAACTCCGATAGCCCCCCCTCCCGAGCCGCCACCACCGCCACCCCCCTCAACGCCTTCACCGCCCTGATCCGCCAGCCCAGCCTCCCCAGCCGGCCGCGCCTCCTCGTCGTCTGCGGCACCTACAGCATCGGCAAGGAGCGCATCTGCAAGGCCATCGCCCAGTCGCTGGGGACCAAGATCTTCGCGCCGCCTTCCAAGGCCCGCGTGGTGGCCCAGCTGGACGACCCGGAGCTGGCGGCGCTGCTGACGACCGACCCGGCCGAGGCGCAGGTGCACATGCAGATGCTGGCCGAGATCCGCGCCGAGACGCTGGCCGAGTACCTCGCCTTGCACCGGCCGCACTTCGCCCGCGTCGTCGGCCTCCGGCCCTCGGGCTGGAACTACCGGCCCGCGAACTCGACCGGCGCGAACGCGAACCTGGCGCCCGCAAGCCTCCCCACGGCGCAGCTGCTCCACGGGGCCGGGTGGCGGGCGAGGCTGGTGGCGCGGGACCTAGTGCCGCAGCGCGGGAGCACGCGGGAGGCGGCGTGCTTCGGGGTGCCGTATAGCGAGCACAGCAGCTTCCGGGAGCTGGCGCTGTTCCTGATGGCGCTGCGGGTCGAGAGGGTGGTGCCGACGGTCAACGTGGGCAGCGAGCAGAGCCGGAGGAGGATGAAGGGGTGGATCGACCGGTGGCTGGCCGAGAGGAGGAAGGGGGGGTTGGTGAGTGTGCTGGGGGAGGGGGATGAGAAGGGGGACGGTGCCGGGGTTGCGCTTTGGGAGGGAAAGGACGGGAGGGGTGGTGGTGTGTATTGGTGATTCGGACGGGGGTGATGCCCTGCTGACATGTTCCTCTCGGAAAAGGGGGGATTCCGGGCATCGGATAGATAGAGGCCATGATGATATGACGGTGATTTGGAAGGGCTAACACTTGTCTGTAACCTGGGTCTAAATTAGATTGACTAGCGGTTCACATAAAGATAGTCGGGTAGCCAGGTATGCCTCGAACTCCGGCTGACCATGACCTTTCATCCTCCAATCGTCCTATTGTCTGTTTTCGAGGGTATCCCTCATCGCTCAAAGCCGCCTCCCCAATAAGGGGCAATGACTGGTTCCGATTAATCGTCCGCTCCCCGGCGCCAGTTTACTTCTTGCCTCGCCTAGGTCGAGTGCCTTCCCCCAAGTTATGAGGAGCTCGTTGTAGTGGTTCGCCACCAAAATGCCCCGCCACCGATACCTCCAGCTCGGTCATGTCATCCATACACACACGCACGCGCGCGCACGCATACACATGTCCAGCATCCACTCTCACCGATCAACCCCGGCAGCAGCTACCCCAGCCATGCGAATCACTTAGCCTTCCCAGCCTGGTTTGCCGCCTCTGCACACAAACGCGGTTAGCAACGGGCACCGGGCTCGGGAGGATCCATCGGCGGACAAAAGAGAAAAGAGCCAGCCAGCAAAGACCGAATAGGCCGGAATCAAACGGCCCCCACGGCTGTATTTCCCCGACAGGAGGTAAAAGGAGCCTGGTTCGGCCTAGGGGATGGAGAGAGAGGAGAGAGAAGGAAGGAAAAGGGAAAGGAATGGAAAACCCTACCTCTCCTCGTCGCATCTTCCAGTAGTGGGATGTCGACCGCGCCGGCCGGCAGGTGGACGTACCGCACGACGGATCCGCGGATGAAGACGTTCTTGACGGCGCTCTGTGCAAACCGAGGGGGGAAAGATGATGTCAGCAAGGCATTCCTGCCGCAAAGAGCTGGGAAGGAGAGGGAGGGATGTTGGTTGGGGCTGGGGTAGGGATTGAGATGGAGGGGGAGTCTCGTACCAGGTGGGGATAATTGAGATCGTCGACGACGCTGATGTCGTCGAGCTTGATGTTGAGGTACTGGTCGACGCTCTTGAGGGTGCCGCGGATCTGGATGTCGTTCTTGAGCTCGACCGTGACCTCGTGGTCGATGAGCGTCTTGAAGAAGCTATGGGTCGGGGACGGGTCAGTTTCATGGCAAGAGGCGCGGCCGCATTCAGACGACAAAAGTCCGTTTCGCTCCCCCCGGGCCAGGTGCTGGAGTTGACTCGATGCCTGATAGTCGCGCTTGCGATGGCAATGGCCTGGGTCTCCGCCCACACGACGCCCTGCCTGTGCCCCGGTCGATAAACCAGTGACCCAGCCTTCCGGCCATTGAGAACCACCAGACAGCGTGCTATCATCGTAGCCCTCGTTGCTCCGAGAATGTCGTCTCATCACGGCAACTCCCGTCGCAATGCCAACTGCCCCCCACAAATCGAGCCCATGACGAAGGAAACGGCGCGCAGAATTTTAGAACCCCGAGACGTACCTGAAGAACAGCATTTTGAAGGACTACCGACACGAAATTGATAAAGGAGTGACCGAGGTCCGTGGTATCATCCGCAATATTTAATTCGACTGGGATAGTGGTCGAATCACGAAGCGGTTCTGCCTTCCTGGTCGGGAGTCGCTGTCACGAGGCAGGTCACCACATAAAATGTTGATGCCTTAAATTTTAGGCGCTAACAGCTTTTGCGGTGTGACTCGGAGAGAAAGACGTCCACCACGACAGGGCCCAACAGAACGATCATTCCTCTGGTGTCAATCAACTTTATATACATGTCATCCAATAGCACCGCACCAGACACCTCCACACGTTTTCGAGGATTGAGTATCAAATCTGTGCGCTTCTTCCTGGCTGCTCATCTCACTTCGAAGGAGACAACCATCCGACATGCAAAGTCATAAGCCGTAAGTCATGAGGTGGTTTATTGCACTAAATACGGTAGGTAGGTAAGAGGTAGAGTAACGAGAATCATCTCCATTTGACTATCCGGCGACGGATTACCCATTGCGAGTCTATCATCATCCTTCCGTCCCATTCCAAATCCCAAGCAATAAAAAACCATAACGGTATGGAGCAGTGATGTAATGCCCCCGATTACCGAGAAACGAAGTCCGTCTTATCGCTGAAAACAAACAAACCCATCTTTTCCAACCCCACAAAGACAAGGTCATATCTGTTGTTGATTCTTTCGCATCTTTTCCTGCTCTCTTCTGCCAATCTGCAACGTGTGCTTCTGCTGTCAGAGGTAGGTAGCCAGACCCATTCCTACTTCGCCAAACCGCAAGAGAGAAAAAAAACAAAGAACGGTTGAAATAAAAAGGGGGAGGGGGGCTGGCCTGATAGTTGTTTACATCGGAATCGAGCAGACGCAAAAGCAACGCGGAAAATGATAAGAAAATAAACAGAACTAATAACCGGTATGATATTGGGGGTATCCTTCGTGTCGATTCATCCATGATGCACAGTCTTTCCTTTCCTGATCATATAGACAGAGGAGAAGTGTGCCCTCGCCTTAAAACCCAACGTCCCAGTCCAACAACGACCCGCTCGTCCATCCAGCCTGTCGGGGTCTTCCTCCGTCGCAATGTTGATGCATATTTGTCGTGAGGTAGAGAGTATCGACATAGGAAACAATGTGATAAGCCCTGGCTAAGCAAATCGAGCAAAGTGAGTGAAGAGTGGCATTCTCCAATGCCACCGTGGAAGAACGATATATTCTGCGCAAATCTAACTTCCGAGTAGAAGTTGACGTATGCACGAAATGTCCGACCTAAGCAGAGAGGTCCATGATGGTGGGCTTTAGTGGCCAGCCACAAGGAACCCCTCCTAACTTAAGCTTGTCCCAGCCACTCAGAAACAGACCAGTGCACAAGGTGTGAGGAGAATGCTGGGGTCGCCGAATCTTTGCTTTGTCGTAAATTCGTGTCGTTTATTGGACAAAGGAAATTGGGGTATCAGGTTGATGCAGCCTTCTCGTACGGTATATCGACCCTCTCACCCGTCGTCCTCCGCATCTTCCTCGTCATCCTCTTCCGGGCTTGACGTGTCAGTCTTCACCTTCTTGTTCGGTGCGTTTGAGGAACCCTCCGACTTCCGTTTGGTGCCGCCTGATGCCGTCTTGGAGCTAACTCCTTCCGTAGCTTCCTCTTTTGTGTCACCGGTCTGGACGCCCTTCTGTCGCTCAATCTGGGCAACCTCGTCGGCAGTCAAGAATCGACCTCCGGGGCCGCGTGGCCGGCGCATAGCGTGGTTGTGTCGCGACTCGTGGAGATAAGGCTTCCGGCCCTTAGACGTTAGCCGCAGCGCTTCCTCTAGCCGCTGTCGCGCCACCCTTCTTTTCAAGATGCGGTGAAACTGTTTGGCATTGACGTAGAGGGGCGATTCCTCAACCGCGCTAGTCTGCATCTCGGGAGATTGTGGGTGCGGCATCCCCTGAGAGGGTGGCATCGGGGGCGGCGCAACGGCGGGCCGGCCATGGCTCAGCATGGATTGCGGGTTCGGCACGCCGGGGCTGGCGACTTGGCTGAGGCGTCGCTGGGGTAGACTGTTCATCTGTTGTGGTGAGCGAGGGCCCCTAGCATCCTTCTTCGCATTCACGCCAGACATCCTCGGCGAGCCTTGGGTCAAGCTTGGATCTGAGGACATGTACTGGTAGCCTGAGCCAGACGCCGCTGCCGTCGCAGCCATGGCCGCTGCCTGGATCTGGGGCATGCCATAGTGCATGCTTTGTTGGGGTACGCCATATTGAGGTTGATACATGTTGTGGCCTTGACCTCCTGCGGACTGGTGTTGCTGTGAGGAAATGATTGGCGAGGTCTGGACGCCGTGTTGCGGGATGTGCGGGTTTGAGGGTGAGGTGATGTTATTGCCACCGGCCGAGCTGGGATATCCCGCCTGTATGTGAGGTTGCGAATGTGCCGCCTGTGGTTGTTGTTGATATTGCGCGTACTCCATCATGGTCGAGGCTACGATGACGAGAAATCGTCACGAATCGCGTCGAGCGCGTGGTTGGGAAGTCTGATCGCGCGGCTGCCGGGTAAAGCAGGGTCGCTGCTGGCGAACCACAAGTTGAGTGGGGTGTAATGGTTGATATCGATCGGCGTCGATGCGGGAAACAATTCGAAACCCACCAAATCTGAGCTTTCGGTACTGATAAAGACTCTGGACCTGGACCGGAGTTGGGCTCGGCGCGTTGGGACGAGTGTCGTCACTTTAGTTATCCGTGGGTTGGGCTGGATGTACACCCAATCTATTGGATATGCGTCGATGCGCTGGCAGAAGTCGCGTAGATGGCGAGGGAGCTGCGCAATTGGTCGCACCACAGCATATGCAAGCTGATGTAGTCGCGGGGCGAAAAAGTTGGGTGGCTCAGTCCCAGTGAGAGAGAGACGCGGGACGAGAGAAACCACGTGAGGGGGGGCTGCGGGGATACCCAGATGCTCTGGAAATAGGGCTACTATTTGGCCGAGTCCGAGGTACGGTAGACTACGGCTGCCGAGAGCGGGTACCTTTTTTTTCTGGCGAAACAGCTCGAGGAATGGCTTCCCGGAGAGTCTGCAGTTGATATTTATTCTGTGCTTTCAGATCTATCCATAGACATTAGCTTTGCATGGGGGAAACATGTAAGGCGCCTGGATGTTTTTGCGAGGGGGGCGGTGGGTGGTGGGAAGCTTCCTCATCAGCTCTTTTTCTTTGGTTCCCGCGCCTTGGAGCACCTGGTGATGTGTTGGCATGCATGACGGAACATGCACGAGCCAGGCCCACCCTGAACCAGCCAAGTGCCTAGGTGGGGTGGGTGGCTGCGCAAAGTGAGAGGAATTGAGCCGGGTCAAGCAAAGCTAGGCATCTCGAACCAACGTAGGCGGGCTGCTGCCCACAAGGCAAACGGGAAGGTAACTTCTAGGCAATCTTCCGTCGCGATGTCAAGGGCGCAGTAGGCTGCAATCTGAGGCGCGCGCCTCACCTGGTGCAGCTTGCAGAGGAAGCGGTCGCAGGATGCGGCACTTGCCTCCGGCGGGTAATCCGTCCCAACCTTACTGCTGACATGGCAGGGTAGGGAATGGTAAGGGAAGGGGGAGTAGCTTAGAAAGGTGTAGGTAGTGTGGTGCGAAAGAGTGATAGAGGGGGAGAGACCACTGCAACCGGGCAGCAAAGAGGGGTCAGGATAGCGCCGCTCGGCCTGGGTGGAGAGACGGAATAGCACGTTTGGACGGGCAAAAAAAAAAAAAAGCAACGAAAGTTGACGTACGCACCGTTCCACAACCCTCTTGCGGTCTATTCTCCCCGAAGGTTGCTCACCGACTGGGAAATGGTATATGGAAGTTCTCGATCTATTTGCAGGTTAGCACCGTGTCTTCCCGAGTTTTAGATAAACTAGGCGGTCTGGCTTAAGACAAAAAGCTAAGGACAAAGATGGATGTACATTCCAAGAATGGCAACCCAAACAAGGAAGGACGCACAGGGGGGAAGTTGGGAATGGATGACATGAACGAGGCCGAGCAGCAGTACAACAAATAAACCAACTGCTCGTTTCGGCGAAGGATGGTGTGCAGCAGCGGGAAGTCCGAAAAGGCGCCAAAAACGGGCCTAAGGCGCGGGAGGGAGGAGGGGGAAGAGGGGCAGGAATGTCGGAGGAGAAGGTAGACATTGCCAGTCAGATAGATATGGAGTGCTTACCCTAGGATGCTCCAGCGGATTGTCGCGATACTGCAGTGACAGAGAGTGGTCTGAATTGAACAGAGCCTTTGATTGAGCGCTGTCAAACGAGATGGGTTGATTGTTTTCCGCAGGCAGTTACTATCACGGGACTGCGTCTAGGGCCAATAATGAGGCTGATGGTGAAGGTGGCCGTGATGATAGGTTTCCGAACTCAAGATGGTTTCGATATGCCCTGCGTCGCGAGGATTGCGATTCCAGTGCTGATTTGCGGAGCGCAACGGCTTCTTGAAGAAAGTTTGCGCTCGGCCGGTGACTGGCTGAAAAATCTGGGCTGGGGGTGGAGGGGCGCCGGGGCTGGTTGCGTCGCTTAGTTGCAGTCGCAAGGGACCGTACTAGTGCCTTAGGTGAGCGGGCACTCTCTCCTGTCTTTGAACATGGAAATTTGTTCGAGTTCGGGGGTGTGGGCGCAGGAGAGGAAAAGGAAGGTGATTGGAAGACGGAGGGAAGGGGGGTAAAGGGAATAATTAAACCAGAAATAAGAATAAAAAAGTAAAGAGAGAGGGAGCAAGAGGCGCGTCCCGAAACTGCGGTGAACCTCCCGCCCCCCTCCGCCGCCCCCCAGAAAAGCCCTCAGTCGCGTTGTCCAAGTGGTGCTGCATCATCCCCTGCAGCTGAGACGCGAAGCCAGCTCGATCAAGGCAAAGGGAGCGCAGACAGAAACGTTAAAAGTCCATACCTAGTATGATTCCCTGATGGCGCGGATGGGCGCGATGCGCGGGCGCGTCTTTGTTTCGGTTTTGGACACCGGCGAACTGGCCACTCAGAAGCGTGCCCCCAGGAGAGCTTCGATTGCTTGGAGAGGTGGGCGTCTGGAACCTAGAATCGAGGCGGCGGATCGGATAAAAGTTTGAATAAGCGACTCGAATGGCGGCTCTCAAATGAATCAGAAAGGTCGACGCTGTCGGCTGTCCCTATTGGACTGAGATTTTGTTTGATTTTAGGATGAGGGTGGCCGTTGATTTGATGAATTTTTCCCACCCTCTGCGTTTTGACTCGACGTGCTGGCGACTGTGGACCAAGCGATTGGGTGGTTGATTGGTCGTGCGAGGAAGAGGAGAGACGAGGGAGAACGAAAGATGATTTGAGGGCGGACCAGACTCTTTTGTAACTTGTGACTGGCTGATTCAGCCACTAAGTGGGTCCGAGTCCGGGTTTGTGGTCGTTTATGGATAAGTAACCGCCCCCGGGTGGCTGGACCCGACGACAGTGCACAGCTCCCAACACGCGAAGGGCTTTGTCATCAGGTGACTGATCGGGTCTGGTCACTCTCTCTCTGTAGGCCAAAGCGCCACCAATGTGAAGAAAATACCTGAATTAATTGGGGGAAAAACGAAACAAAATATACGAGGAAGGGGGAGAGGGAGGCTGAAAAGGCGGTGATGCTTTTGAGGATAGGGCTGTCGCCACCACTACTGTAGCTGTTCGTTCGTCCGCTGTCGCGTTGTTGTGCTGTTGCGCCGTGGTGCGCCGTTGCGATGATCCGTCCTATAGCCTGACAACTGGTGCCAAATGTCAGGTGTCAAAATGCCAGATGGGGGCTGCAGCGAGGGAGAATAACGGCTGGTGATTTGCTGATGGCTGTGACCCAAGCGAAGGAATGGCGTACGGCGGAAGTATTCTTTCTGGCTTCCAAGGGCCCACACTTTTTGAACGGGGACACCCCAGGCATCAATTTGCGAATATGGTTATTATGACTTCAACAACCCGCTAGTTGGGCTTGACTGCCGCTCCCCGCAGCAGGGGATACGAAAGAAGAGGCGATAGTGGTAGCGATAGCGGTGACGACACGGGCGGTTTCCGAAGCTGAAAGGTGCAAAAACAAGACTTTCCCGATCGAGGATCGGCCTGCTTTCTTTCTCGGGATGTCGCTTTGGCTGGACCCAACCCCCTGCCTACTAAATTTAGACAGAGCGTCTCGCAACGTCGCATAAAACAAGACGATGACTGCAGATACAGCAAACGGCCACAATGCCGACACCGCCGTGCCCTGCCCTGGTGCGTCGTCGGGTGGGAGGGAGGCTGGGGCCCGAGTGAGATCGATACCTGCTTGGGTCAGCGTCACAACCTGATCCTGGTGCACGTGATGGAACAGCATTAAGTAATAACAGGGTTGGAATCCAAATGAGAACAGGTTCGGGTTAGCAGCACCCTCCGCTCCCTCACACGGGAGGCCATTATCAGTTAAGGTGACTCCCTGGAAATGCCAAGAAATAATTAGGCAGAGTTGGTCTTCGGGGAAGCAGGAGTAGCAAGCATCAGGATGTGAGGCAGGACAGTGCCAACTCATCAGCCCAAATGTCGGTGTGGAGAGATATGCTCGGGCTGAAGAGCCAGCCCAACCTGTGAGACAACTCCTGCATCCCCAGTTTTGGTTGTACCCGAAGAGCAACCCGCAGCCTCCGATCCATGTGGGGGATCCCCCCACCTGAGAAAAACAGAGAGAGAGCCCAGATCAGATGCCGGCTGCCTGCCCCGCTCCCCTCGTCTTTCTTCCAAAGTGGCGGAAACTGCACCTGGCCGCACGGAGAGAGACAGAAGCCGTAAGGAGCAAACAGAAACTTACTATATGGTCTTATTAATAATTCCTCAATAATCATCCAAGGTTTCGTGTTGTCTCTCGGGAATGGTACTTGGGGTTGGGCGAAATCGGGTACGTGGCTGGATGGTGGTGGCGCTGCATGAATTGAATTCCCGATTACGCACGAAATCAGGTGACGACAGAATGCATCATTGATGCGTTGTCAACCAGGCTTTGTGCGAACAACGGTTGAGGACTCTACAACTAAGAAGAGCAGGACTAGGAGGGGATGGATGGATTTGGCGGGTGCAGCAAACAGTGAAATAGTTGGATGAGAATGCCCCAAAATCAGCCTGACTTCCATTTTTTGACTGGTTGGAAAACCCCCCTGTTTCTGCATTTTCAAGGCAGCCCACTGGTCCTTTTACGGAGAATTTAGACGAATCTCGAGGGAAGGATGGGAGCTTGATCGGAAAGGAAAGCGTTAAATCCTGGCTGTCATCAATCACCTCATCTTCGTGTTGCCATCGTGACTTGTTCTCATTTCAGGCCTGCTGACAAAGGGCAATACTGGGGCTCGAGTGAGCACTCACTCCAATGGGCAGCTCTGTCACGGCGATCCCTGGCGGCACGCAGGTTAGCTTGCGGTACGGATCGAGCACCAGACCAGGGCTGCTCCGAACGTAGCCTTACCCCGGGCTCCATCACACCTGCAACGTGC